CTTGGCCCATCATTGATGACCCCATGATGTTTTGGTCAAACCTGGGCAATGAAGAAATCTCCGCGTCGGGTACCTCTTATCTTAACCGTACCGAGGCTACCAACGTCGAGAAGACTGTCACACGCTTCTTCAAGGCAGGTGTTCAACCTAGAGATATTGGTATCATTACTCCATATGAGGGACAGCGGAGCTATATTGTCAGCTCTATGCAGGCAAACGGCACCTTCAAGAAGGAACACTACAAGGAGATTGAGGTTGCCTCAGTTGATGCATTCCAAGGCAGAGAGAAGGACTACATTATCCTTTCTTGTGTTCGTTCCAATGATCACCAAGGTATTGGATTCTTGAGTGATCCTCGCCGTCTCAACGTGGCCCTTACTCGTGCTCGATATGGTCTAGTCGTCCTTGGAAATCCCAAGGTCTTGTCCAAGCACCCATTGTGGAACTGCCTTTTGCAGCATTTCAAGGAACGCCACTGTCTTGTGGAGGGGCCTCTGTCCAACCTTCAGGAGTCCTTGATTCAGTTCAGCCGGCCTAAGCAAGCTTATAGAGGTCCGCAGCGCTTCCAGATGTCTTTCAGTCAGACAAATAATGCTCCAAACAATGCAGTGAATGGTCGTAACGGCGGTCACCGCAATGAGTATCATGACTCTGGGTCTGTGGTGGGCTATATCCCTGACGATGTGTCTTCTGTTCACGGCTCGGCCCTTGGTGGTGTTGGCCTTCCATCTGGCTACCCCCCTATGTTCCAGAATTTCGGCGAGTCGTGGCCTGCAATCTCTGGCGGCCGTCGGGCAAACGGTGGCCGACCCAAGGGAGCCCCTAGTGTGGCTGGCGAGTCAGTCGCTGCTACTGAGTCTGATGTCACCTGTAGTGTCACCGACGGACGGAGCGTTGATCAGGGCGGTGTCAGTCTCGCTGGTCTGAGCATTAACGATATGAGCAAACAGCCCAGTCTCAGCCAATCCGACCGATTGAAGCGCTACGTCGAGTCTGGTGGACGCGAGCCTTACAGGGCTGGGGTCCCGGACAACGGCAGCATCTTTGGAGGCAGCTCCGCTAGCATTCGCGTGACTCGCGGCGTGCCTGGCCAGAACACTCACGATGACGACGATGCCCGTAGCGTCTCCACTGCGTTTGCTAGCCAGGTCGGTGGCAACTATGACTGAGTGACTTTTATGCCCAAGATTTCCCAGGGCAACCTCCAACAGATTCGCCCATCTTACCACTCGGCGAATTAATGTCCGTGCATACTATCAGGGTTCTTTCCAGCAGAGTCTGCCCGCCCGTTTCTTTTATGCCGACCAGGAATTGGGATCGGCAAACCCAAGACTTTTTGGATGCTTATCCCCGGGTCCTTTTGACCTGCTACCAGAGCGCCGTTCTGTCTGTCGAAGGATTGTTCCCTGGGTCTGATCCCTCGCCATTGTCACCGTGACATTCTTGCAAGGCGTGACTATTGGGGATGAGGTGACAGACAATGACCCTCCAGTATCTTCCGGTTGAAGGAATTACTGAAAACTCACCCGTCGATTGCTGATGCCCAGTTCTGATAGCCCCAGTAGCAATTACTGGGCAACTCTGCAAATTTTCCCTACCCCTTGGCCATGTCTCATACTCGCTATCTTTATCATTTAGGTAGTCAGGTACTAGCTTAAAAAACAATGCCAATTATGATCCCACACTTTTCTTAATATCTGTAGGTGGGCAATATGACAAAGAAATCAAAGACTAAGCCGATCTTCCAAGATTGGAATCTTCGCCGGCTTATGTTCCGAGTTAGGGCTGAAGCCGTTCCGTTTCAGCTTCTACCCATCAGCCTCATCAGCCGCTTCCCAATATCAGCCTTACTGTTGTACTAACTCAAGTGCATTCTCTCAATATAGGAAGGTAGTACTCAACTAAAATAGAAGACCCAATGATCTCAATCGGCACCCACCGCTTCTCTTACGCCATGCCCACGACACGCGTACCTCATGGGCCACCTCATAGTCGTAATGCCAGGGTTCGGTGATGTTGCATTCTTTGTTGTTTTGCGTGGAATTAGCACTTATGCATAAATGTATGCTGATCGGCCATGGAGGCACCCCAGGCACTTAACCCCAATTCTTCTATGTATAATCTGTCTAGAAACTATCATTTCTACGGTTTAGTACTTGTTAGTACTTATCTCATACATTTTTTTGTGACAAAGAGTCTACAGTGGAATTAACCAAGTGACAAAAGCGATGTCCATATTACATACAAGTGAGCATACTAGGTACAACAATGGAAATCAGTGACACGATTTTCCATACTTCCGGAGCCGCAGATAGTTATACGGCAACGGTGCCAAATATCCAGCACCGATCGATACCACTGCCGCCAGCCAGAACTTCGGATCTTCAAAAGCAACTATCCCACCAGTCAGATGATAGTCAACTACATTCTCAGCTAGTTCCATTGCCACCATCGAAACCATACTCATGCCCATAGCGGTACGAGCAGCCATAGGCCACGACAGCTGATCAGCACCCCGACGGAGCAGGACTGTCTCGAGGATAACCGAAGTTGTAATACCAGATACCACTAGATGGTCGCTGTTAGTACACGCGGCCTAGCGAGATTTGATTCGCTCAAGGAGGCAACCCACTTGACAAGGCCATGATGCTACTCATACCCATCTCAGCGTAGTAGGTCTGCAGGATCCATAACGCGGAGAAATCACCGACTGTACATCCTACCAAACAGCGGAAAGTGTTGATTCCTGCTCGTCTCCAGGTGGACCTGCAGGACCAGAATGGAAGACTAAGCGTCGAAAGGGGCTGGGATGGCGGCTTTGCACATTTCAGGGTTTGAGATAATTGGTTTTCGCGCTCGATGCTTTTTGGGCACGGTTTCTTCTCTGTATGGCAGGCTTGTACACGAATGGTGCCACTGAAGGCGCGTCTTGAGGCCAAGCAAATACCTCGGCTGCGCTGAAGTAAAAATAGGTGGCGCATTTGATTCATATCCCAGCTGATTGGGATCTTATGACGAGTTCACTTGAATGGTAACATACGGAAGTTTGAATATAAAATATCGAATGAGACAAGGTCAAGGGGTGTCAGGTTGTCAGGTTGGTAGAGATGGTGGAGCATATTTCCCGGGCCTGTAGCACAAATGCCGCAATGAGATAGTGCCGGATATACGATTTACGTGCCAAACCACACATTGAAGAATATGCCAATTAATGATATTGCTTTGGTAATTCCAAAGTATCACAAAACACAAGAGGAAATAACTAGCGAAGCGAGAGATACACAATATAAAAGGGAAAAATAGTTTTTAACATGTTAAGTACTCACCCTCAGACTATATCCGGTGGGGCTGCGGGAGCACTAGGAGCATCTCACATTGACAACACGATGAACTCATTCCCAAAATTTGATGTGGATGATATGGATGTGGTTATCATGCAATTCTTATATCCCTGTTGGTCCACGTCAAATGGTGGCTTTGCGTTGCCAATTTAGGCGTCGTTTTGGGTGTATAAATCTAGGGTCTGGTATAATGCCTCGCTTGCTTGCCCTAATAACATAAATTTCAACCGGGCAGCAAATTACTTGAAACAGATGAGCGTGCATTATGGCTTATCTAGCATAAAAGGCTGTTCTATTATGATAGAGGCGGTGTTAATTAGGCTTTATAATTAATCTCTGTGTGAGGTCTCCGCGTCCGTATGGAATACAAAAGACATACTACATGGTACCTACTATTTAGTGGCTCCAATGATGCTCTACTCTACAGCATGACCTCACGGGATAGTCGTAATGTTATCATTTATAGTTCTGCAAAAAAAAAAAAGATATAAAACGCAATTCGTCGTGTGGCAAAGTTTTATAGTATTGTATATATTCCTAGAGTATTCATAGGCTACAATATTCTCAATAGATTGATATACAGGTATATCCATGCTAGCATGCTAGCCACGTTATTTATGTGCTACTTCCCTTAGAACCCCCCGTACAACGTTCAATATTCTAATTTTAAGCAAGCTTGCATAGCCTAGTTTAGGTTGAGAAAGCTTCCTACTCCGCACAAGATCGATCCTTATGCTGGTGGTCCTTTTAATAGAAGAGATGATTGCGTGGACATGAAGATCATTGATTTTTAAGCTTGTCAACCATAATGAGTTTGTTGCAGCCTAACATCGGGCATTGCGAACATACATTGCACAGCAAGGCACTGCCCAGGTGCCCGATCTTGATGCTTAAATAAGCATATTTGTCATGCACGTGATTGGAGACAAGGATTGATCATCATCACGTGTACTCACCGCCACCCAATTTGTCAAAACCATTTGTGGCAACTCCAATATTCCGGAGTGGGCGGCTGCCTGAACACACCCTGGACACCTGGGCAGACATATTGCTTTGATACCTAAACGGGTCCGCCGATATGGGACAACAAGATTGGACTCCGTACTCCGTACCGTAGACATAGATTAGTATACAGTCATACCTTTTAGGGTATGAGTCACTTGTGTTTCCTTGACCCCTCATCTCAATATTCCAAGGCATTAATAAACAACATCGTCCACATTTTAACCTGTAATATATATAAGCTCTAGCCAGTTATGATTTCAGATGACAATCCAGCTGTTTGAAAATTCCACTAGAACACGAAAGAACGAAGATCCTGCAGGGACGCTGAAAAAAGAACAAGGATCGACTGCGCCACAAGAGTGGCGCACCCACACCTGACGCAACCGGTATAAATAGTTCGCGGATGCCTTGCTACCTGAAAATTTTGGCAACTCCTCATCCTCACCTCGAATACATACCCATCGACATCTACTAGGCGTTCACCGCCAATTTATTCGATTTTTTTCCTAAACAACTCTATTCTTGTTGTTTACCTCTCTTCAACTATCTGTTGCTCCCAAATTTACCGTTGTTGTGAATTGACGACGCGTCTTTCCGGTATCTACTACATTCTATCAAGATCCCCTCAGTAGTGTGGGGTATCAACTTCTCGATATGGGCGACGGGTCTGACTATCCTAGCCCACGAAGTGAAGGTCCTAACGGTGCTCTCGCTGCCTCAATCCTTGCCTCTGCATCTGAATCCTCGCTACCAATTGCCAAAATGAACGACCCTCAGCCGATGAGCTACATTGACGGTGCGCGCCCGCGCCTTTCTGTCCGACGCGCCCGCGATCCTCCCAAGAACTCTGAAGGTCAAATCTTTTGTGATCACCCTGAGTGTCAATCTGCACCACCTACTTTCCGCCGTCCATGCGAATGGAAGTAAGTACAATGCCATATTGTCTCTTTAACGCGCCCAGCACTAACATGATTATAGCAAACACATGGATAAACATGATCGTCCCTACAAGTGTTATGAACCAAACTGTGACAAGATCCAAGGTTTCACTTATTCTGGTGGTCTCCTCCGTCACCAGCGCGAAGTTCACAAGAAAAACACCGATACTAAGAAGGCTTTGATGTGCCCTTACACTGATTGCAACCGCAGCACTGGCAATGGTTTCACGCGCCAGGAAAATCTGCGAGAGCATCTTCGCCGCCGCCACATGCACAATGACGAAGCTCCTCCTATGGTCGATATGTCTTGGGAGCGCAGCAATGAACTTGATGGTGTCGACGGCGTCCGTGCCCCTTCACTCCCTATTGCTGGAATGAAACGTCGCCACGACTCTCCTGCTGTCGGAGATCTCCGAGACATGCCTGAGACCGATGAGCATGGAACTGATTTGCACCAAGAAATTAAGAGACTCCGCCGTGAAGTCCAAGAAAAGGATCGCCGCCTCGAAGAGCTGGAGCGAATCGTCGCCAACATTCAGCAAGCTATCCCCCAGCAGTCTGCTGCCGTACCCGACCTCCAGGACCTTTCGCAGCCTACTCAGCCGGCTGCGGCTCCTGTTTAAAGGTTGCTCCTTTCAGATCGAGACGTCTATGGATTTGACCTATGCATCATGTGGGCGTTTATCGAAGCAACCGATGGGCTTCAAAAATTTCTTACTTTGCTTTCTCTCTTGTTTGTGTAAATCTTTGCGACTTTGCTTTCTTTCTTGTTTTGAGTAGCATTTGGGTTCGGTCTCCATGGTTCTTCAATGAGAAGAAGTTGGATTCTGTGCGTTGTGCAAGGATTCAAGGATTGAGCTTCCCAGTCTTTGTGGCGTTTTAGCTTGATAATTTCATATGGGCCAGGCGGTGTTGTCTCCAGAGGCGGTTTACACGTTGTCTCGCCTCATATACCCGAGTGTTTCATTCGATGTGTCCTTTCGGATAATTCGTTTTGCCACTCAACTCGACTTTCAGTTTGATTTGTTCCTGATTACTAGCAGATTGTACGAATAATATCATCTTTATTTTTTAATCATCCTAGCCTTACTCTGTAGTCCAGCAGCCTCAAGAGGCAAGCACCCAAATACGATCGTTCTTCGTGGCATTGAATACGGAACGCACGTTTAGAGCTGAAGTATAAGGCAGCCAATGATATTCATGGATGTATCCACGACTAGACAAGTGTTTATTCCTGAGGCACCCAGGCTTCCACGCGATAGCGATTGTTCTCAGGCAAACATTTCAGCCACACTACTTCCACCTCGGGTCCCCTGCCTAGTAGATTCCGGCGAGGCTCTTGCGAAACTCGAGCACGGCCGTCTCGGAAACTATCTGGCCCGCTGGCGGCGTCCTAATCTAGAACGTCGGAGTTAAGGGACAAGACCGCCGTTAACGGGCTCCGTACGGAGGTCGAGGCTCCCGACGGTGGCCTATGAGGCGCTAAGCTTGGTCATAATACCCTCAGACAACCAATGTGACCCCTTGGCTGAGGACACTAGACTGTGACTCATTATCACACGGATCGTGTGTTCGGTTCTTGGCTCGAACTCGACGCGAGCGGCTCAACGCGATATCACCTGATGGCCTAGATGCATTGTTTTCGTGTTCTTCAAGTCATTCTTCCTATATAACCTCACGTGGCTTTGGATGAGAAAGTAAGGTGTAGGCAACGCTCTAGGCGGAAGCGTGGTTGTTGGGGATAGTACGATAATCGCAACGACAACACGTACATCACAGCACGCCATCTACCCTTCTAGGAGTTTATTCCGTCTGTTGCCTACTGCATTGGCTCTCCTAGCATAATCGAGATGTATTAGCAATAATGCTCTCAACAGAATACCCTCTAGTGCATCACATGTATCTTGGTCGATACATATCTTTCACTTTTCTTTTTGACGTCCCTGATCATGAAACCCGTACGTTTTGGTGTGCATACTATATAACTATTCTATGATGCTGTATTAATAACCAGACTGACCCTCACATATGTATATCACATATGACCATGGAAGGGATAAGTGTTTCTTCCATACTGGTGACCAAAGTGTTCTATACTTCTATCAGTGAAGGACACCTAGCATTGATAACTTCTTAGATTTGCGAGGCTTGCTGAGAGTCAAGAGAGGGGAGATACCTTCTAGACCTAAACCCTTCAGATTTGGTGTTTCAATTACGTATTGCCATGCTGCTCTAAGCTCAAGCTAGGATGTTGCCAAGGCGATAGTTCCTTTTCTTAACCATCCTATGAAACAGATATTTCACAAATGAAGATTCCGATTGTATCTTTAGTGCTATATATTATCAATATGTTGTTTTTGCCTGGAGAAACTACAGTGTCTTGATCAACCTCAGAGGCAGCGTCAATAGATACAAGGCCGATGTTGTGTAAGATAGAGATGCCATAGAATCACTGTCACTGTAAAAGATTTAGGGCATTGAAGGTTATCACCCAAATATTGTGTCGCGATGTTTATATTTAGGACTTTTATGCGCTCATGACTCTGATTCCGGGACAAGAAGGATCTCCATAGTGATCATTATATAGATCTCACTCGACATGTCTTGATGGATATGAACTATTAGGATGCAACGAGGCTGTATATACTCTTGAATATTGTTTTCTCTTAATTTTACGCATACAATCCTTAGAAAAGTCCAACAGTCAACTTGAACGCTGGGCCCTTGAGGGTTTATAGGTCCAGGGCTTGATAGTGGAGGCGCCGATAACGATAAGGAAAAAAGTGCAAAATTCCACCCCACGTTGGATTAAAGATAGTCACATTCCTTACAGAAGACCAGACGAAACGAGTTTATTCTCGGATATATATAATGCCTCACGCCCCACGTCAGGGAAACCGCAGGAGGTCCCCAGGTCCGAAAGCGAAAGCGCAAAAACCAAAGCAAGCGCCGCCAGCAAACAAACAGCACGCCAATCGCAAAGCCGAACTCGAAAAAGCCAAAGCCGACGCCGAACAAATTGAGGAAGAAGAGTCTGGAGGTCTTAACCTTGTCAGCACAATTCCTCTCACTCTCCAGCAACTGCTCTTGGACGTATTCAAAACAGCCCTCCTCGGCAACCCAGTCGCAGAATCGGAATCTCCAACCCAGGACACCAACCCCGCTGAATCACAAGCCGAAAATAAAGATGAACAACTAGACATTAAATCTCTTATCCAGACAATCAAGGGCCTTCTCTACCAGCGCGATTTCGACTCTGCCTTCACCGAGGCAGGCGAGGATCTGCTGCGCGCCTATGCTTTGCGCTGGAGTGCGTCCCGATCACTGGGATATGCGGGCCTATTAAAGGGAGTTTTGACCTGGATGAAAGAGGAAGAGGAAAATACACGAGGCCGTGCTAGAAGCAAGAATCCCTGCACACGTGTTGTGTCAATTGGTGGCGGAGCCGGTGCAGAGATCACTGCTCTTGCAGCTGCATGGAGAGACATGGGCTCCCAAGCCCAGTCGCTCGAGGAACGTGTTGCCAAGGTGTCTCTTGAAGAGACAGAATCTCAAGATGAGAAGAAGACTGAGGTTGAAGATGAAGATGTCAGCGCACCCAGTCTGTCTGTCATGGCTGTCGATATCGGAAACTGGTCGGACGTTGTTGAGAGACTTTCACGAACCATCACTTCGTCTGATGTGCCATTTTCGCAGACAACAAAGTATCGTCCCCCGTTGCTGTCGGAGAAAGTGGCCAGTGAAACATTCTCAGTGGCTTTCCGTCGCGCAGATGTCCTGACTCTTCCCGAAGAGGGCCTGAAAGAAATTCTCCTCGGCCCCTCCTCATCCCCTCCTTTCACTTCTATCCTCATTCCTATCATGTTCACTTTGAATGAACTCTTCTCTACCTCCATGCCAAAGACTACCGGTTTCATGCTCAAAATGACGGAAATTCTTCCTGCTGGTGCGGTGCTTCTGGTTGTTGATAGTCCTGGCAGCTATTCGACTTTGAAGTTAGGAACAAAAGGACCAGATGGTGAACCACAAGAGCGAAACTATCCGATGAAGTTCTTGCTTGACCACACGCTGCTGTCTGTGGCGAAGGGTAAGTGGGAATGCGTATACACTCAGGACTCGAGGTGGTGGAGACGGGACGCGGTGCGTCTGCGGTATGATGTTGGCGAAGGAGCAGGCTTGGAAGATATGCGCTTCCAGATGCATGTGTACCGGCGTTTGTAGATCTGATGTGTTCTATATCACGATATATAAATACCCATTAATGAACAATACGATTGAATATTCCAAAAGAAAGAGAAGGTGTGGAGTGAGGTATGGTATTGCTACAGATAAGGTGGTTTAGTTCAGACCACTCCAAATTCACGCCACGAGGCCAGGCTCGCCCCAAGTCGCGGCAAAAATTGCGATTAATTGGTACATTCAATGAGTTGTGAAAAACGGGGCCCATCAATCCCCGAAACAGCCATATAGCCCCCCTAACTCCGCAGACCCAGCAACATGCTAGTGCCCTTGTTTCCATCCTTTCCATCTCCTCCACCGGGCAGGTAAGTGACGTTGGGGTTCGAGGACAGAGTCTGGGCGATCTCCCTGCTGGCCTCGATACGACGAATCTCAATCAGTCCGCTGCCAGCCTTGGCGACGGCCTTGCTGATAATTTCGGCACTCAGGGCTTCACCCTCAGCGCGGATAACGTTGGCCTGGCGCTCCTGCTCGGCACGCTCGACGATGAATCGGGCTCGCTCGGCATCCTGTTGGGCGATCTGCTTCTGCTCGACGGCCCGCGTGAACTCCTTTCCGAAGGTCATGTGTGTAATGGAAACATCCTCGAGCGCGATGTTGAACTGTCCGGCACGCTTCATCAAGTCGGTACGGATACGGTTGGAGACAGCCTCACGTTGTGTGATCAGCTCGGCGGCGTCGAACTGGGCCACGATGGCCTTGAGGACTTCGTTTCCGATAGAGGGGAGGACACGCTCATCATAATCGGTACCGTATGACTGGATAGCTTTGGGTTAGTCTTTTGGTTGGGTAGATCTCTGGGGATCATAAGAGATACACACCTGGTAGATCTGCGGCAGCTTCGGCACCTCCGGGCGGTGCAACACACGCAGCGTCAAGCTGACCATCTGCAAATCCTTACTTCCTGTCGTGGTTGAGATGTTACGAGGCTTTGTGCGGACATCGTAGACAATTGCGCGTTGCAACCAGGGGATCAAGAAATGTGTTCCTTCGTTGACAACCTTCTCTTGCACACCAGACACTCGATCGAAGATGACAGCTCGTGTGCCGCCCTTGACATCGTAAAGGGAATTTTGAATCAGCATACCACCAATAGCCACGGGGAAGGCCAGGCGATAGACATTTTGGAGCATTTGAGCCATGGTTGGAGGTGGAGGGCGAGTTGATGAAGACGGATGATGGAGATGATGTCTGCTTTTCCCGTTGCTCGCTCTGAGTGTTCCCGATTGGGTTTAGTGCCCATCTTCCCAAACCTCCAACTTCGCCCGACCTTCGTCTTTTCCTCACTCATTTCGCTAACCTCCATACCTATTCCACCCACTCCTCTCTTTTTACCCGAAATCATTCACAATGGGTGGCTCTGTGGATCCTAAGACTGGACAGTAAGTCGTTTCGCGTTTGCTCCTGGTGTAGTGGGTTGAGTACCGGCCTCCCGGATGCGTTACCCGCCCGGCTACACAATGCAATCCCCAAAAGATACCAATTGAGTCGGGTTTTGATGGAGTAAATGGCTTCTGCGTCTTTCATTCAGTCAACTGACATTTTTTACTTGCTATAGCTTCATCGGCAACTGGGGCGAGTTCGGTACGTTTGACAATGACCCTTGAACCTTTCATACGGACCCGACGCATGCGCAAGACACCGACCCCCCATGCGATATGGAAGATCGCGATAAAAAATGGAGCCAGATCCCGACGAACAATGCAGGGGAAGGCAATTCGAACGGATCGCTAATATCCATCTTCTAGGTTGCCCGACCCCCCAGCGCATCGCCACCTACTCGCTGTCCGCTAACCGTCAGCGTCCCTTCGCCGGTGCTGCCCACGCTGCCATCTTCAACGTCTTCCGTCGTTTCCGTCACCAGGTTCTCTACGTTGTTCCCCCCTTCGTTGCCGCATACGCCGCCATGAACTGGGCCATTGAGCGGTAAGAACGCCCGTAGGAGCCGCTTCGATCGGTGCGCTAATTTGATGGTCTAGCAACGAGTACCTCAACTCCAAGCCTGGCCGTCTTCTCGAGGGTGGTGGCGAGGAAGAGTAAATTATTTGAATTTGTGTCTTGGAGTGAGGTTGGATTGGTATAACAGAGCATGATACACCCAAGACTCTGCAGTTTGGGGGAGCTGTATGCTTGTACAGTAACTAGAAAGCAATCGACCGTTTGATTTTCCTCTTATCTGCCATCCTTTTGCGCTTGAGGGGTCATTTTCTTCTTATAGTCGAAGTCAAGCTTGAGTAAGCGTCTTTCTAGGGCTCGCTATTGGTCCCTGAGGTGTCCATACTCAATTGTGGGCATAGGGGATGTCTACTGGGCCGAATTGCAATCAATTAAGGACTAGTAAAGTCAACCAACATATATTACCTATACTAGAAGGTCCAGCCCTGTTTCTAATGATGTTTAGGGGATGGTTGGTGGCAGCTCAGTGGTTCCCCACTTGAGCCGAAAAGAAACAAAAAATTCGCCCAAAACAGCCAAACTTCCGCCGTGCCCTTTTTCTTCGAATGCGTCGTCTCTCCAGACTCTCTTCTTCTTTCTACTCAACATCTTTTTTTCCTCGTCGTTTCTCTTCTTTCACCATAAAAATGAGCGAACTCACCCACCCCACCATCCAGGGTATGCCTTCACTCCCCCTCCATTACCCCGCCTTCCGGTCAATTTGCTACACAAAACAACATATGATGCTGATATTCATTTACAGATGGCTGGTTCTCTGAGAAGTCCGGCATGTGGCCCGGTCAGGCCATGAGCCTCAAGGTCAACCAGATCATCCACCACGAGAAGTCCAAGTACCAGGATGTCCTCGTCTTCGAGAGCAGCGACTACGGTACCGTTCTCGTCCTGGACAACGTTATCCAGTGCACTGAGCGTGATGAGTTCTCCTACCAGGAGATGATCACCCACCTCGCCATGAACTCCCACCCCAACCCCGAGAAGGTCCTCGTCATTGGTGGCGGTGACGGCGGTGTCCTCCGTGAGGTCGTCAAGCACGCCTCTGTCAAGGAGGCCACTCTTTGCGACATCGATGAGGCTGTCATCCGTGTTTCCAAGAAGTACCTGCCCGGCATGGCCATTGGCTTCCAGCACCCCAATGCCCACACCCACGTTGGTGACGGCTTCGAGTTCCTCAAGAACCGCCAGAACGAGTTCGATGTTATCATCACTGACAGCTCCGACCCAGAGGGTCCCGCCGAGAGCCTCTTCCAGAAGCCCTACTTCGAGCTTCTGAAGTCTGCTCTTCGCGAGGGAGGTGTTATCACTACCCAAGGTTGTTCGTCACTTTCTTTTTCTCTCTCGCCCATTCCCTTTCGTAGAACAATCACTTTTTGATTGCTTATTCCCTTCCCCATTCTATCATCCCTCCCAAAAAATAGATCAAACGCTAATTATCTTTCGCACCAACGCCGCAGCCAACCCGCTTTACGGGCTCGGTTTTGCGGAGCTGTGCTTTACATATACCAGCCGAGAACCAATGGCTCCACCTTGATATGATCTCCGAGCTTAAGAAGTCTTGCAAGGAGGTCTTCCCCGTCGCCGAGTACGCCTACACCACTATCCCCACCTACCCCTCCGGCCAGATTGGCTTCATGGTCTGCTCCAAGGACCCCAACCGCAACGTCCGCGAGCCCCTCCGCACCTGGACCCCCGAGGAGGAGCAGAAGCTCTGCCGCTACTACAACCAGGATATCCACCGCGCCAGCTTTGTCCTGCCCAACTTCGCCCGCCAGAAGCTCGGCAACTAAGTGTTGTGAACTTTTAAAAAGCTTTTATGGTCTTTATATCCTCGTGACGATATTGAAATGAAATCATGGATTTCCGTACATTTGATTTTGTAGATTTGTTCTTCTTGTCCCTTCTTTCATGTGTAATCCTGCCTTGCGCTGCCTAGATGTTTACTATAACCGTCATTTTGCAGGTGAGAGCTCATTTTGAGGTGGCCGAAATTCGGACCCTAGGATTGTGGGTTTGCTATTCAGATCTCTCATTCTGACCAAGGATTTCTTCAAAAAATCTCTCGCGACACTTTTCCGCCTCTTTTTACAACAAGGCACAAGACAGCGGTTATTGGATCCAAATCCTCAATGTTCGGCTCCCCCGGGTCTCAGTGTTCAACAAACAGTACGACGGCAATTTTATGCGGCGATGATCCAATGTGCCTATTGAGAAATAAATCTTCATTGGACGTCGAGATTTATAGCCTTGGAAGCTCTGCGGAAACGAGAGCCGGCCCCATTAAAGGCGATGTTGATAGGGCACCCATCTATACGGCAGATTTACATCATGGCTTTTATTCATTTTTCCTATAAATATTCACACTGTACGGCAATGTAGATTGCTGGGTATTTCACTTGCTCTCAATTGACCCCCAATTCATTACAATGAAGATCTATGATACTTGCATTCCATTCACCGTCTTGGTCTTCCTAGCATCCCCGATCTCCGGGCAGGAAACTCTCAATTTTACAAATGGCACGAGCAACGGCCTCGTTGGCATCGTACAGGGACCAAACCTGTGTACTTCAGATGACATTGCCAAGATGGACGTGAGCGGCTGTGCATGTCCATCAACTTTCCCACCATCACCCACTGACCTGGTCTGCGTTACACCGGCAGGACAATGTCCTATCACCTGTAACCCTCCGCCACCCGCATCACCCGTGATGCCACGATCAGAACTCTCTCAATGTTACTCGGGCTGTGTCGATGCCAACTCCGAATGCAACGGCTGCTACATCTGGTTCTCTAGTCTGTGTCGGTGCATTCGCGACTTCCAAGCGGGAACACAAACAAATTGTATCGCCAGCCCTTCAATTAGCGCTGGCCCGCCTCAGCCCCACCAGTCCCCTTCATGGGTAGTGCTCGGTGGTGGGGACTTGATTACAACTACAGATTTGATACCGGGCATTCTGCAATTAAGTTCAGCTGCTGACGTGGACGGCGGCTTCCGGCTTGGTCAGGATACACTCAGAAACAGACAGATTAGGGATACGGGAACACTGGCGATAAACAGTGTCTCGACCCGCTCTGAGGAGCAGATTCATATCCATGTCTGTGATCATCCTGGTAGTACGGTGCGTGGTATTCTTGATCAACTGCATCGGGATAATTTCAAGACTACATCGTCGGTCGACTTGTCTGCCCTTGCTAGACCGAATGCTGCTATGTCTTGTCGGGTGTCGCCTAACAGGGGTGAAGACATCAACTTAGGCCGTGATATTGTTGATTGGCTGCAGCAGTATGTTGGCACAACGACATGTGCTCAATATGATGTTGGCGCTGGAGTTGTTACTGATACCAATGGTTACTCTTGGGCTTGTATCACTACGGGTCATAGGGCTGCTGAGAATCTGTTTTGCAGTGATTGAAACCGGATGATGAGGCGTTTTGCTGAAGGAAGTATATCCTTGATATTACTATCTACACTATCTATCCTCAATTACTTTTACTCTGCCAGCTCACGAGGTCAACCCACCGTCCTGCATCTCGATCAGCACGGCGAGGACGCGACACCTTCTCGTCAACCAGGTTGTGTAGCTTTAATCCCCTAAATGCTTCACAGCAATTGCTTCCCAATCGTCAAATTATTGCTTCGAGCATAGCTGCGGTGTGATTTTGTACAAGTTGTATTGTAGGGGCCTGGGAGTTGATATACTTGATTCGGTGCTTGTTTCTGCACGCGCTCTACAGCACCCGGTCGTAATCCGCCGGGGCACTTACCCCATACAATGGGGCATCCTTTGAGTATTCCATCTTGTGTCTGTCAAGCTGTATCCGATGTGAAAGCCGGTCTTGCTGTGGCCGGTATCATTTAGTGCTATGTTTTGTATCCAGTTGCCTAGTCATTTAAGTCCTCTTTTCTCTCTAGTTCATCTGATCATACCAAGTCCGTGAATCTCGTAGCTGGGTTGATCAAAAGCCCGTCTAAATCACGCATGCCATATGCTCCATTTTCATCATCATCAGAAATCAGTACTGGCTTCGGCTCATTCGGAAGACGACTGGTGAAGCCAAGCCACAACAGTACTCTAGCGATCCTTGCGGCTTTGATAGTTTTGATAGTTTCATTGTTCACTCCATTTTCTTGGCTGAACGTGCTCCAGAAGATCTCATCCAAAAGGCAATAATCGTCATACCTTGACCAGCCATGTTTCAAGTGGATCTTGCTTATCAAACGATCATGAGCATAGAGATTTATGCCGAATGGAGCAATCTCAGCTTCAGCCCAATCAATCACACCGAGCAGATTGCAAGAATTTTCGTCCACCAGCATGTTGAAGGCGCCAAATCATTGTGTAGTAGCACCATGGGAACTGAAAAGATGGCTGGCAACGAGTCAAGAGACTTCTTGATCAATGAGTGGAATCGAATTGGGAGAGAAGCAAGTAACAAATTCAGGTCTCTTTCGTACTGATGGGTTAGGCTCTCGCGATACGTTTGATCAACATCCTGAGGACCTTTCCAAGATAGAGCAAAAAATCTATGTAGAAGACATATAAACAGCAATTTTGTATATAGCACATGGAGATGAATCACATACTTTGCGTTGTCAGCCACAATATTTTGGCGCCAGCGAGAAAATTCGAGTGAGTTTTCAGGTACATCACCGTTATGGGCTAGGATGAAAGCCAGGTGCGAGATGCCTGGCATTCGGTTCATCACGTATATGTAAAGCGGCTCTTTACTCTCATGGGGTTCCCCAATCTCTCCCTTGAAAGAGATATGGAGTGTCAAGGTACCGTAAATGGCTTTGACGAGGTTCATAATGTCCATGTTCAGCGCTAGCGACTTCAGACGATACTGCACGACAAATTCGGCGTTTGGACCAGCATAGACGGTATAGCTACACACACCTTGCACGTCGACTGGAGTGACATTGCCACGAAGATGCTTACTCGCATAGTTGTCACAGGCCGAGCGAGTCGTTGTAGTCTTCTCGAAGAATGCGGTAATTTCTTCTTCAACCTCGTAATTCATATCGCTGGTGGTCGTGGTTTTGCGTTTGGAATGTTTGAAAATGGAGCTGATTCAGTGAATGAGCCATCAAGAGAAGAAAACCAACTTAACAAAGTAAAAGAATGACTAGAGGAAGAGCGGTGTGCTGAAAAATAGGAGCTGGGGGCTAGTTTGCCAACCCGGGTCTTATGCATGAGACAGCTATACAACCACTTTTAGAAGTGGGAATTTCTGCCAGGGAAGATGAGTGCTACAAGCCAATCAGCTGAAGTAACCCGCACAAGGATCGCGCGACTTGTGATCTCTCTGATTCTCCTTTGAGCTGGCCCGGCTAGGCACTCACCTTGATTAGACAGGGCGGGGATCTAGACGAGAATTACCTCCTTTGGTTGACCCCGCACTGGCCCTTTCTATTGAATATGAAATATATTTTATTTGGCTATACTTATACTCGTGAGTGGGAATATTGACCTCCTAGAACGTGAAAATCACCATAGAAGCATTATGCAGCACCTGGAGGCTAGCGTAGCTTACTGCTCTTTTCCTCTGGCTATTCCCCTTCAATTTATATGGCTCACGGTTGAATCTGCCATTCTGACGTTTTTATGCAGAGCCTAGATGACACTTGCTCTTCGATTGTTGGTTATAGTTTACATACACCGGGAAAGTGTTGAAAAGCGAAAACTCACCAGAACGTCCCTGCTGGTGCTGTAACTACTTCGCTGGAGAATTTCAAGAGATATGTTATTTCGGTAAAGCTTCAACCTAAGATGGTTTGTCATTTGACCATCTGCTTCATGGAATATACTTAAGCTAAATTGCACTTTCGTGCGGTGTTCGAGACGTAACCTTTGTGGTCAAAATAAGCAAATTGTCTACTTAGAATGTTCTGACAGAGACCTTATAGTTTGACAATTTATGGTTGTCAGTAGTATGCAACTCTCTAAAATAATAAAACCGAGAATTTCAATCTCCCAACAGCCACAGTTGGCATAGACATGCTGGCAACCCATAATATCAACTCCTAGGGCCGCCTCGCACCCCCTACACACTGACAAATTTATTCCGCGATGAGACTTGAAACTGGTACCATCCCGTCTCTTGGAACAACTATTCAGCGGCTAAAATACTACTGCTGCTGTGGTCACGATTGATGTTCCTCTTCACGGATGTAGTTTCTGTCGTCCGTGGCGATGGAATATAAACTCCTTGACTCGTCGAAGACCGCTTGGAGATTGTAACCCACATATCAGTCCAGTGTCCTACTCCACCGCCGACCGTAAACTTTGCAGTTGGTTTACTGGGCACGACTTCAAATTGGAACTGACGTAAAAACTGCTCGACATTAATTAGGCTCAAACTTGTTGGAACAGGTCAGGCAGGAAAACAGCACATACCTGCAACGGGCCCTTGAGCAATTCCATCATTGCAATATTTTTCCCGAGACAAACTCGGGCTCCATACCCAAACGACAAGTCGTACTTTTTATACAACGTTTCTCGCTCCTGATCCAGCCAGCGCTCCGGACGGAACTCATCTGCATCTTCACCATACAGTTCGCGATCTCGATGGACGATCCATGGATGAGATGTGATCTCTGTTCCTGCCGGTACAAACTTTCCGTAAAGACTCATACCCGGTGCTGACACACAACGCGGAATGATAGAAGGCGCAGGTGGGAGAAGGCGCAAGGTTTCGCGAATGCAAGCAGTGTAATATGGAAGATTCTCGACAACTTCACTGTACTGGGGCATATCGGATATAAGACCGTTCCGAGCTGCCGAGTCGATCTCTTCCATTATACGCTTGTGCACGTCTGGGTTAGCAAGCAGTAATTGAATTAGTGATTGGAAAGTTGTTCCGGTGGTATCAGCCCCGGCGATTAACACAATCAGCACCTCTGCACGGACGTTCTCTATATCTAGAGGCATATCATCCTCAGTCCTGGCATTAAGGAAGGTCTGAAGGAGATCGATCCGACCAAGATCTTTGCTTGTTTGGAGATCTTGTAGGCGCTTGTCGATGAGTTTATCGCGGAAGCGCATAAGAACACCGATACCCGATGGATGACTAGGTGAGGCAACGAGGAATCTCTTCAAGGGTGTTGTCTTCACCCATCTTGTGAAGGGATGTAGGCGGCTAAGAACTCCAAAGTGCGGAAAACCATTGCGGACACCTTGGATAACACCGCCAACATCCTTGCCTTGCTCGACAAAGCCAAACGGAGCACCAAACCCAATGTCACTCATGATATCATATGCGATGTAACTGCCATTTTATTTTTATTAGCCCAAAAAAACTAGACATGTGCCTAATTAGATTTTGAGGTGCTTACTAGGCCCAGTATGTAAAGTCGAATGTAATACCAGTTTGAACGAAGTTCACATCCAGCGTGTTCAGCCAGTTAGTGATTCTATCATCAATCAATGGCTCCATCTTCTTGACGTTGCTGAAACTGTACTAACAGAGTTATAAATTGATAGGCCCTTGTGTAATAGAGGATTTAAACTCACAGGCCCCGCAAGTTTCTTTTTCAAGGCTGCATGAGCTTTGTGTGATCGAATATTGAACAAACTCTCGGTTTCTCCAAGACTTCCAGTAATATAAAATTCCGTTTTGTCTGCATTACGGTGGTAGATATCTGGAAGTTTTTCGGGGTCACTGACCAACAAAAGTGTAGGGGTGATTCGTACAACAGGTCCTGATTTTTGTTCCAGTTGAGCAATGAAATCAATGAATGCGAGGATTTATTGTCAGCCAAAACGAAACGAATATATCACTAACCATATTTTCGAGCTAAGGCATATATTGTCGGTACTTCTGTTCGCATCAAGCTATGCCATGCAAGCCAAAGCCTGGTCACACCTCCCCAAAAAGGTCCTGGGAAGACGGAGAGAGGATGAAAGAAATGATAATACACAATTTGATAGGCAAATTTGAGCATAAAAAGGGTTAAGAAGCCTAGAATGATCTTTGGAACTGTAGACATGGACAAAATGTCTTCCCCAAACCCCATTGTTGTGGTTAGTCGTCAACCGACCCTGAGCTCGTTGAGGACAAGAATAATCAGATAAAAGTTTTTGGTCAAGCTTATATGAGAGCGCCAATGCCTAATCTCGTGATAAACTGTGAATTAACCAAGGAAAAGAAATAATATTTTACCGCGGTTAGCCTCTGCAAATTCATTACAGATCCATTGCAAATTCTAACAGCTCTAGTGTCTTTTATATACTAATGTAGCCAATTTGAAAGGTACAAACCCGATTTCACGGCACTAAGTTCCCCATTATTGAAGCTGAGTACTTGAAGTTTCGCCACCAAAAGCCGCTTTTGGCCTATCTATAAACCTTCAAGCAATCCTCAGTTTTACTACAGGATGACCACGTCTGTAAGGAGTCACTAGCTGAATTGCAGAAATCTTGCAATTATCATTTTCTATGTATTAGATCAAAGCTTTCTTTTCTAACTGTTTTTTAATTGGTTTAACTGGCCCTCCTTTGATTGGTCATTCTATCATTTTGTTATAATTTTATACTCCCATGATAGATCTATCTATATGTAGTTACTACTCCGTTTATTTAACACAAATGCAACCTCGATAAATAACAATTATACGAATTCAATAAAACGGAACTTGAAGGTGGTATTATAATTACTTATACCTTTATGACCATCAAATGCCCCAACTAAGGGTTGTGGCAGGAGATCCTGAGGAGCGTGATCTGCCGGAGAATTGGAGGGTGGTGGATAGGTGTTCCCCCTTGGCAATCTTTATTACTGCCTGAAAGTACCTGTGAACATGCAGAGAAATCTATTGACAAGCTTCCATAGCTATAACAAAATCGCGATCTTCAGCTCTTCATTATCAAAATTCGATGAGAAACGAGAGGCTGAACAAATATATTATTCGTTAGCGTTTTTATGGCGAATATAGGGGGTGTCAATACACCTTTGACACCCCCACGTACATAATTTCCTGGGGACCCAGGCATCATCTTACCTACTATTCAATCTCGTGGAGGTCCGTGTTATCTCGTGGAACACTGTTGCATCCTTTTGGACCCTTCCCCATTAGACCACCTCAGACTTGAGAGGAGAGTCTGAACACAGAGCTGCAGTCAAGATTTTCAACTATGCTGTCACACCCTACTATGTAAGTCCGAGGAGCATTCCAGATACTAACCGATGCGCTGGCGAAAAAAAAACCTCAGAATCTCAAGCAAGTTTCTAAGATTACCATTTACGATTAAGGATATGATCTGGTGCCTGTAGTATCCTGAAATAAGCAGCTGTTTTTTTTTTTTTTTCAAGGAAACTTACGCAATGAAATATCTGTCCCACCAGTTTGTGCTACGACATGTCGATCTTGGGAGTATATATCCCATCAGATGCCGACCAATATGGAATTAGAAGATGAAGAGGAAGAGGATCGGTTGACCACATTAAACTATGAGTCTCAACGGACAGAAGGCAGTCCCCAAACCTTATGCATAAACACTCTCACCTGAGCACTTCCAAGACTTGGAAGGTTAGAACCTTCCTCACTTGAAACGCACCTTCATAACACAAATTCCTCCGGGTTTACCCTTGGATTTTAATATATCTATATATAGTACTCGGCTATAGAGTATACGAAAAGTGAATCTAACAGACTCGAAAACGGAATTCAATATATTCGAACTATTAAAAATGGAATTTCTATCATACATCATAATTGCCCAGTTGTCAGATCTCTAGTTATCAGTCCGACGCAGTACTGATCGATTAAGATGCTCAGGAGATACCGACTTGATTCCTGACAGGTGGAGGGTCAGGTTAAGATCTCCTAGGAGACTCTTCAGCACATGGCGTACTCCCGCCTCACCTTGAATGGCCAACCCATAGATGTATGGACGACCAATCAGGACCATCTTTGCACCAAGCGCTAACGCCCTTAGGATATCAGCACCGCAGCGCACACCCGAGTCAAAGATAATTTCCAAATCATCTCCCACGGCGTCCACAATCTCCGGCAAAACATCCAAAGACGCAATACCTCCATCTTGTTGTCGACCGCCATGGTTGGAGACGACAATTCCTTGGACACCACATTCCACAGCTTTCTTCGCGTCCGCTACCGTCTGGATTCCTTTCAGAACAATTGGACCATCCCAATGCTCCTGAAGGAATTTAAGATCTTCCCAGCCGTGACTAACACCGGGGAATACGGTATGCGCCCACTCTGTGGCTGCAGTTTCGAGATCCTCCTCGATGGGTTTCCCATGCTCTTTTTCAAACTTGCGGCGGTATACAGGGTCAGAGAATCCTATTGCGACACCGATGTCGTCTGGACGAATGAAAGGATTGTAGGCGTTGTTGAGATCGCTAGGACGCCATCCAAGAATGTACGTATCCAAGGTGACGACCAACACCTTGTAACCCGCTGCCTTCGCTCTTGACAACAGGCTCACCGTGATGTCATTGTTCTCATTCGTAGGCCAGTAGAGCTGGTACCAACGAGACCCATCCCCATTGGCCTTTGCAACATCTTCGATGTTCGTGGCGGATGCGGTGCTGAGGATGTAGGTGACATCTTCTTTCTCAGCAGCCTTTGCACTCGCCGTCTCCCCATCCGGGTGGAAAATCCGCTGCACGCCCACCGGTGCCATTGCAATCGGATAATCGTACGTCTCGCCAAAAAGCTTGGTTTTTAGGTCCGGGAAGTCGCTCTTGACCATACGTGACGGCACGATCCCCCATTTTTTGAAGGCTTTCTTGTTGTTGTCGTCCGTTTCACGGGTTCCGGCGGACCCCCAAACATATCCGTATGAATCTGCCGAGAGGCGACCTTTGGCTAGGGTTTCCCACTCGAAGCAGTTGAAGGTGATCGAGGGTTTCTGGCCCTTGCGACCGGCCTGATACACATCGTTTTCATATGTAAATGGAGTGAGCTTGGCGGTCGGCTTGTTATCCGATTGGTTGTCCTGTGGAGACGTCATGGTTGGTGAAGCACACAGAAAACTGAAGACAAATGGAAGTAATTGGCACAGACTGTGAGTAAATATGAAAGAAACTAGGGAAGATAAGCTGCTTTTATAATTTGCAGGGCTATGATGCTTGAAATAATGGGGCTCATCGAAATCTATTTTAATTGGTGGGTTCATAGGTAGAAACCAGTACCATCGGCAAGCTCGGTGCTTAACGTTAACGCATATTCGGCCGAGATACGTCATTGAGTGGCCTTTTCATCACTGTTGAACATTGAGAAGCCATCATCCACCATGGTCCGGGGAGCAATAGAGATATTCCGGCTTCTTTGTTGCCACAGTATGGATTATTATAGTGAATTTGTTAATCCTAGATCTTTTGGGATAAAATTGAGTATGCTAGCTCTACTCACATGCACATGTGAGTGGCTAAGGAGCTTTCTAATTGGGCTCTGTAAATTTTATCGGGATAATTATACAAGTCTTTAGTGTTTATAGTATGGCCAACCCCCCCCCCCAGGCTCCGGGGGTTTCCCAGAGCAGTTTCCCAAAATCCAATCATACACTAAACAACAGCAGAAGCTTCCTGTCTGGAAGCCCTTCTTTTCTCAGACCACGGGAAGTGAAAGACAGGAATGATGAAAAAGCTGTTGCTGTCGTCCGCGATACCTGCCAAGGCAGAATACCACGCCAAAAAGGCAGCAATGAGAGCAAATAAACCGCCAGCTGTGAGGATTTGCGGATTAGGCATTCCCTGAGAATCGCGATGGAGGTGTCCAATCCCAAGTAGCAAGAACGCTATATCTACAGAAAGGAAAAGGGAAAAGAACACCGCAGTGGATTTGACAGTGCACGTGAGGAGCAGAAATGTGAACACAAACCAGCCCTAGGAGTTGTTAGGCATGATAATAAAGCGTGATTTACATGAGAAAAGTTACTTACCATAAGATACAACCCATACGAGTCATAGAACATGTCGGTTGACCCGTTATCAGCCTTCTTAAGCTCTGACATGATTTGGAATCCAGGGGTAAAAGTGATGCCTAGAGAGATCCAAAAGCCTCCGTATGAAGATAGAGCGGTAGCGCCAAATGTGTTTCCAGCAGCCATTTCCCTATTAAAAAGACAGGTCAGTCAGATTTAGGTCACTTCATAACGCACATGCAATATGAAATTACTTACCACATGCCAGCGAGAAGCTGAACAAGCCCGCCATAAGCATATGCAACACCAACAACCATATTAGGCTCTGTAATATTCCGTGTGCCCATGTTGATACACCCCAGTACAAATGTGGTCAGGGCAAAGCCAGAGAGACCTAGGGGTGCTGGATTTGCAAACTTTCGAAGCTTGGGCGTCCGATAGAGACCTGGCTGCAATTCGCCTGCAAAGGCAGGCAGTCGGGACTCCACAGTATTCACGTGTGCTAGTGGACCATAGTGTTCAAGATGGGATGGTTGAAGCTCGTCCGGTTCGATATTGGTGGCAGTCTCATTGTTGGATTTCTTCCCTTGACCGGGGTTGTTGGGATTGGAAAGAACAGTCATAATTGCTGCTTCTTGCTAAGCGTAATTGAGAATATTTTTGCTTCCAAGATGAGTGGGTATGACAGATCTTATAAATTGTGAGATTGAAGTTATAAAAGGAGCATAGGATCTTTGATGAGAGGTAAGATCACATATAAATACTAACTACAGGATTCTACGTTGTGCGCACCCCTGGAGAAACGATCTAGGCACCAATGCGGGGTGAACCATTACCCCAGGTGAACACCGCAAAACAAAGACACTGCGGCAGAGCAGGTGAGCTCTTTCGGTATAGGGGGTTGTGGGGTAGGGGTGCATTTGTTAAAATGCGGGGACCAAATTCATTGTGCGCTTTCGTGGTGACTGGCGAAGAAAGCTGCTCCCCACCTTGCTGATTGACACTAGTCTCGGCCGAGAACGACACAATTCTGTTTAACAAGCATCGGCCGAGAACTGCGCTCTAGTTCACCGACAAAGTGGATGTGGCATGCGGGTGTGGGTATAAACCCCAATCTATGTACGCATGAGAGCGACACTCTTCTTCAAACATCAGCAGGCAAAGGGAGCTGAAAAAAAACTACAAAATAATATGTATATTTGTAGAGGGGCTCAAAGATCGAGAAATCTTTGAACACAGATAAGCTTTGGAGGCTGATTTAACCATAACATTAGGTAATTGCCAAGGGTGGGGCACCCGAGGAGAAAACCTTGGAATGAGCCACTGGTTAGCTTGTAGATTCCAAGTTAGCTCTAGGGTGATCTCGCTAAAATAATGTATCTAAAACTCATCTGTCATCCAGGCTCTGATTAGTTGGAAGATATGCGATGAAGCTATAGCGGATTTGGCATGCCTCTGAGGGGATCAGCAGCATCAACCACTCACAAACTACATATACTAATACCCTCGTACTTGTACATCAGGGGCTGGCCCTGTAAGTGGTTGATGCTGTCGATCCCCTCAGAGCTACGGGTTATAGTAGAAAATTTGGGCTGGCTAGGGCAGATTGGAAAGAATGCCGAAAATCAGAGACCGCTCAGACAGGATTTTTTTACGCTCTCCATGATTTTCTTCTCTTAGATGCACTCAATAATAACATATGGAATATGGAAGGAATTTGGGGTAAACTTTTGGGGTAAATTTTTCCCCCAACAAATGCCGGCATAAGATTTCAGTTTTTGGTCTAGCTTACGACGCGTGGTCGCTCGTTGCCTACTCAGGCCGGGCTCAGCATTGCAGGTCGGTTACGAAAGGCTTCAATAGCTCCGGAGGCTTGTCTACACGTGCTAAATTGCTAAGTCATAGTAATTTGACGAAGAAATCAACATGGGTTACCGGGGTTTTTAGGCCCCAAAACCGGGCAAAAACTATGTATGACCCGCGCTGTATAAAAATAGAAATCTACTCGGCCGAGAATATGTTCGAATAGGTATCGGACATGTATCATTATTCCTTGCCAAGGCACGGCTGTTGTCACGGTAGAAACATCTCATAAGAACCGCAAAGCTTTCCTTTCTCTTAAAACTACTTCGTTCACATCATAACGCAAGAATTTGAGAGACGGGGTTATCATAATCTCTACTCCTACAAGTACCAACATTCCGAACGCCACGCCATACTCGATTAACCGTCAAGGCTGCCCAACCCGTCGCATTCCCTAGCTGCGAATCTGAAATATATATCGTGAGAGTAGAGGGCACATGACCGCCCGTTGGACTTGATCTTCTCGAATTGGAACCTTGGAAGCTGGCAGAGCAATGTCTTTCCGCTGACGGCGCTTGGATATGTTGGGCTCTTCCGGAGCTGGGGATACAAATGACAACATACACGCCGCGATTACAAAATGTGGGAATGTGCCTTTGAAATTGGTGAATTCGAAGTTTCAATCTTCAAATTGAATGAGAGACCATTAGATTAGGCCCAGCCGATTGAACGTGAGTAGAAAATTGGCCATTTCTCTCACTGTTACTCGTCTAGACGCTGCTCTACGTCAATCCATCATTGGACTTCATTTCAGATACAATTCCCAAGAAATTGCTAATTGATGACAATTGGCGTATTAATTGATTGGTGTAGCTACACTTCCAATCGGGGTGTGGTTATGGTATATTAAACCAGTGTTGCTTTACGAATTCAGAGTAGTTCCTGCGTCTGGAGAGCTTCAATGGCTACCAAGAGCCTATCATCTTGCTCCAATAGAGTTTCTTGGCTTTGTAGGGCAAACTGCCGGCATATGATGGAGTAGGTAGTTGAATAATAGTGTGTGTTGTTGGTTGTGGTGAAAGGTTTAAAAAGGTTTAGGTGGGGGATTCGTATTGCTGAGTAATAATTTCCCCAGACTGGCTGGATTGTTCCACGCGCCGGATAATTCTTCGATTATCCGCGCATATCACTTTCACTTGGTCACTGGATTGCACAAATGGCAAGACGCAGATAAATTGCCAACCCACGCGCGTCGAATATGCCGCCTGAGGCGAAATCTTCCAACCCGTCTAGCACCACCCAACCGCGAGGGTCGCCGCCGCAGATTACCCGGAAACGTGTGAGCTATAGCTGTCAAACATGTCGTCGGCGCAAAGTCAAATGCGACAAGGTGATCTTGGTTTCCTTAGCCCATGATAAATTGCGAATTTAACATTCCTTTTCAGATACTTCCAGTATGCGGAAACTGCACGAAAAACAATACCGAATGCATGTACGACGCGGAACCACGGCAAGATGACGCTCGATCCAGTCGTACCCGCCGGGTGAATAAAAACAAACGGCGGAGACAGATTGAACAGGAAAATACAGACGAGCCGACCCATGACCATTCGAGGCCTGCGCCATTATCAAATGTGCAGAAAACAGATTTGAGCGCAGTCGAAGCTCATCTGGCTCAACTTGTATCGCTTGTTGAGCGGCTAAAGAGGGATAACAAGGCTCAAGAATCAGCGGAGGTTCAAGCGCCTGTATCAAAGCCTAGCGCGGAAACGGTACCCCTGGAAGAAGGCAATCTTCGCAGCAAATCGATCGCGCAACCGGGTAGTCCGCTCAGCGCTGCTGCTGAGTGTAGCAGCGATGAGTTTCCCATCCCAAACGGCCAGACTACAGATCTCGTAGATCCACTGGAAACTTCAAACCTAGGCCACATGTCCTTGGGCGATGGCGGGAGCTCAAGGTCAGTATCGACACACTAAGCTAGAGTGCGTTTGGATGTCTAACTTTGGCGTAGATATGTTGGAACAACGTATTGGGCTTACATTTCCCGTGAAATGGAGGAGCTCAATCAATTGCTCGGGAACCAGAATCGGTCGCATGACTTAACAGCACGTAGTGATCATATCGCAACTGATTCGGTTTCTAGCGAGCAAAGACAGCGGAAGGAATCGATAAGCAGCCAAAACACCAGCCAGGCCACGCGCTCTCCCTTTCCATTCGGCTTCTCAGAACCCATCCAGAAAGCCGTTTGCATCCCATCGCGCCATTTCTCGGTGAATGATAAAGCGGTGGAGCCAGATACTCTTAAGCATGTTCCGACAAAATGGCAAAGCGATATCCTCTACAGGGGATTCATGTCAGGCGTCCACTCATTGAGTCCTACTATTCACCCTCCGATGATCTTAAAACTTTACAACGCCTTTTGGGACTGGTACGACTGCAAAAGTTATACGGGGGAGCCGTGCCCCACTCCTTCTTTCATTCCGCTCTTATACGCAATATGGTTTGGAGGCTCAGTTTCGATTTCCATGAGAACAATGGAGACAGAGTTCAATACTTCTTCGCGAGCTATCCTCTCGACAAAGTATAGCGAAGAGGTTACTTGTTGGTTGGCGAAGATCTCGTTTCCCCACAGTGTCACGCTTCACGGTCTGGCAGCCTATCTCATTGCGCAGACAATTTTGTCAAGAGAGGAAGAACCCCTGGCGAGTAGTTTGTTTGTCAGTTTAGCAGTGAGAGTGGCGCAGACCTTGGGGTTACATCGCGATCCCTCCCATTTTAATATCGACCCATATGAGGCAGAGTTTCGACGCCGATTGTGGTGGCACATCATGCATATGGATGGCGTTATCGCGATGTCAAGTGGGCTTCCGCCATTGCTGACCGATGAGACTTACTGGGATGTTCGTGAGACGAGCGAGGTCAAGGACACCTTAGTGGGTACTGCCGAAGCCAAACAGTATGAACAAGCGGTTGCCTGTGGCCAGCGACCACCCGATAATCCAGACGACCCGACTGTCTGTGGTGGGCCGTCGATGGTGAACGTGTATTATTTATCCGCAAAGGGCAAATGCATAATGGCCCGTGAGTGATCTTAGGCCTAGACCTTAGGGGCATGGACTAACCTTTTCGCAGAGTCTGTTCGTAGAATACTAAAAATCCAGCTGGGCACGAAACCCTTAACAAGAGGGGATATGGTGGAGCTCCGCTCCGTCCTTCACGATCTTCAAGTCAAGCTCAACTCCATCATAAGCAGAATTCCAGAGACAACTGCAACTGAAAAGTCGGCAGCGTCTTCAAGACGAGCTCCTCGTTCCCCTGCGGAGGAACTGCCCATTGAAGGTCCATCTGGCTGCCCGGAGCAATATCACTCAGTAGTCCTCGTCGCGTTTCATAAATGGGCCAGGATTATTTTGTCGTTATTCATTGATAAGGTCCTCTTTTTTATGCAGAACTCCCGTTCGGCACTAACACGGATGTAGGCATTTTGTGTTGCATACCAACCATTCCTCAGAAATCCTCGAAGTCGAATCTGGCCTGTAGCACGTCAAAGGTAAGCATCACGACCCATTGAGCTATTGAATCTAATTGAAATAGTGCGCTACGGCATTGCTACGCATTCATGGAGAAGTTTATCCGACTGGCAACAGATCCCGACTTTCAGCCGTTCCAATGGGGCTGGCCAGGGTGAGAATTCCAATTTTCTAAATAAGAATTCAACTGACTATCGCCAAGGAACCACCAGCCCATGCATGCAATGATGTATGTCAAAATCTCGAGTTAATAGCCATGCTAACTAGATCTAGGATTATTCTCATCGACCTGTACGAACGACCATATAGCCCCGAAGCCTCCGTATCACGCGGCTTTGTCGATCAAATCCTATCGCTTTCCGGACCAGACGGGGGCGTCGTAAGTGGCGGAGATGACATTTTCATACAGCGTCCGTTAAGGAACGGCGGCCGTGAAGCCTGGGACATGATCCGTCGTCTACGCCAAAAGGCCTGGCAGAAAGCCGGTCTGAACCCGCAACTGCCCCGGATGGGACAAGACTGGCCAAGCGAGTCTGATTTTGCAAATGCGCCTCATTTCCAATCCATGTCATCCACAACCGCGACTGCACCTACTAGCGCGGCGTTTGCTGCCGACTTGGCCTTTGCTCGTTCCTCCGCACGTACTCTCCCGACCACCCTCAACTCTCCTACGGTTCACTTCATGGACACCGCTGATCCGAATGTATTGCCCGCTTCTGAGCGCTCTGCCCCCTTCATGATCGATCCGAGTTTCAACTTTGACTGGGTTGAATGGGATAATATCTTTGGGCAATCTTTACCCGTCGCGGATGAGCTTATGGAACTCGATCACGTTACGGGACTTGCGTTTGCGGACTTGGAAAATGGTGATACGTGACGAGCATAAAGGGAGACAACTAAATATCCTGCTGGGTCTCGTTTCTCGGGCTTTGCATTTTAACAGTACGCCTTTCTTCTTTTTTTTCTCCCCACTCCATATGAAACGTAGTTTTCCTTCTCTTCCACTCCTTATTTTGCTGTGTGTTCTATTGTTCTTTGTCTCGTGGTATGCGCGTTGAATTTTTCACGCCCTGAGATTATGCAATGTGCACTCAACTCCAAATATCGTGGTAGAAACCAAGTACTATATATCATTCGGTGAAAAATCCAGACATGCTAGGGGACCGGTCTGACACAATTACATTGTGTTACGTGTTACACTAATACTGACTCCAGAAATGTATAATGTAGATAGCAATGTCTGACTCTATGCACTGACTTCACGCACCCTTAAGCCAATAAGCAGAGATGCCCTGTCATGGACATCACCCTCATCCAGTTCCAGATCAACGCCAATTCGTCTTAATTCAATGGAATATTCCTCATCGTAGGGATCGCGTTGGGAGAGAACATCGATCATACGAGTATACCAGTATCCTTCCAAAAATTCCATCACAGAGAGACCAAGATCATCGAACTTGATCTTGAGTTCATCGAGAAGTTTTTCGAGTTCCATTATTTTTAAACTTCTCCTCGTCACGAATCTCTGCAACCTCTTCACCTGCTCTACTTTCGAGCTTGTAGCAGTCCGACCAATACCCTTCTGTTTCGATGCAACACGAATGGTTCAGACCCAATGCATCAAAGGTCAGAAATCGGATCACCTCCCAGCCAATTTCCGTATCTTCTCTGGTCCACCAAAGGAAGAATTGGATTAACTCTCGGAACCAAAAGCTGGGTTCTTCAATCTTGTGGGTGGAAAACAAACGGACGATATGTCGTAACAATACCGACATCGTAGTACACCCGCCGGGAGAGCACGCGCAGACACATCCATCCTGGACAGAAGGAAGGAGAAAACCCTCCTTCCCGGATTCCAAGACATTCTGTTTCCAAGCTCGATATTCTTTGTGGGGTTCTAACTTGAGTCGACTGGAATAGATGACATTGTGCAAGAAATAATTAATAATCAGCAACCCGAGAGAATGTGCTTCACTTGCACTGGTTCCTGATACTTCCTGATATGGATCCACACCTTTTGAAACCAGCCAAGCCATTCGCTTTATACCCTCTCCCATATCGTCAGCTCCGATCATGAGAGGCATAACCCCTCGGGAGTCTAGTTGGGTAACGCCCTTGAAGCCGCTTTGGTATAGTTCCTCTAGCGTCTCAGCAGAGAAGAGTGGGAAATGATAAACAGATTCTTTATCAAACTGTAGGGTTAGATCAATGGATATCCCTCGGTCTACCAGTCGGTCATATATCTCCTTGGCGTGTATATCGAGTATTGAAGTTTCGCCCGTCTTCTCGTCTTCTGAGATCAATTTCGGAAGTTGACTAGTGGGGAAATAAGCCTTGGCCAAATGCCAAAGTCTCTGATAGCGTGCAGCTAATTCATTGATGAGAAGTGATTTTATTTTGCTGCTGCCTTCGACACTTTGGCATTCTGAAATACTCCACCAACTCAATGGCCATCCAGCGTCGAGGAGAAGCTTGATGGAATGATAAGTATCCTCGTTGTCGTTGTCTTCAACATAAGGGAAGCTATAATGAGGGGCATTTGGAGTTGCGCCTGCTTCTATTAAGATCTGAATCCCTTTTGGCCACCCAAATGCATAATCAATCAAAGGGTAACCGTGTATTACGTCATTTGGGGAAGCTCCTGAGTTGAGGGCATCTCTTAATACATCTTCCGACTCTGTGAGAATTGCCCACACAATATTTGGTATTTTTATTGCTTTTGAAGCAAATTAGTTTAAGATTCATCGAATAGGAAAAGAGAACATACAGTCATCTCCTCGGGAAATCAGGTCCCGCATATCCTGTTTCTCGACTGGAGAACGAGGAGGGTAGATGGTGAGGAAAAAGTCCAGTTCGGATAGCCGCGATCGCAAAGCGTATTGCCCGAAAAGAGCGAGGTCATTCCCAAGATGGGATAACACAAATTCTGACCCATGGCCTGGCCTGGAACCACAGTCCAATAAGAAGATGAGAAGTCTGGAATAGTGCCCCATCCGATCCATCGGATCTGACACTCCGATCGGAAAATAAAGGAAAGCACACTATATTATGTGAGATAGAGGATTTTCTGGGATTAGAGGATATATAGCACCTACATCGAAAGTTGAAATCTCGGTCTTGGAGGAAGTCCAAGTCACTTCAAATGGAGTTGCCTTCTGTAGATCGAATGCTTCTTGCAATTGTTGTATCGTGCGATCGATGGCTAATCCAAACTCATCTGTTGTTACATATTTAATCCTGTCCAACTCAGATAAAATACGGTATCCTTGACTATCATCTTTGTGCACTAAAGGCTGTAAATATAGCAAAGGGGCAATCGAATACCCCCCAGCTCCCCTTGTGAGCGAGAACGAGGCTCGGATAGCAAGGCCTATCATAGTACTACAATAGGAGTAAGATAGCTTGATGACTTCTGTTTGCTTGTAGAGTTGGCGTGAATGAGATTTAGATCGAGTCTTCGCCAGATTGCAATTCTGGCAAGTAGTTGATGCTCCACAGGCTGTTTTTGTTCTGCATGAATACGAGCAGGTTCCACCATGGTTGGTTTCGACAGAAGTGGTGTTTATCATTTGGCCAACTTGCATGCCGATTTGCAAAGATGAGCTCAACTGTTCGTTTTGGGCATCCCATGACTGTAGTGAGCTTGGCGGTTGCATATATTGCCTTGGCTGATCTTGGATGGCCAATTGCTGACATCAGTTAGTATGACCCTGAGTATGGGTATAGGAGGGAATACCATTTTCTGTATCTCTCGAGTCAAGTTCCCCATCGCCATCAGTGCAGTTCGACTGCTTTGTGCCGAATAGCTGGTATTTAGTTAGCACCGTTATATTATTCTCACGAGCTTGCTTCAACTCCAAGCAGTCAAAAAGCAACAAACTCACATATGTAACGCCGTATTGAGCATTCCCTGCACACTCTCTAGATCACTTGCCATGTCACGTAACCCATCCTTTCGGAATGGATATGCCGCCTTTTTGATCTGGGACCGGAATGGGTCTGTGTTGGATGCGGGAGATGAATATCGATCTACCGCTCTCTTGAGCCGTTTCATCGCATGTTCGATGCTCTTCATCTTCTCTTCAAGGTCGCTCGCAATGACAGGGTCAGCAGTGCGGATGTCTTCGATCAGTTTTTCCAAATATCTCAGTGATACACAAAGTCCATTGGCTTTCTGACTGAGATTTTGGATATCATCGTCGAAACCCCGCCATCTCTGGCAATATGAAACAATCTCCCCACAGACTTGCAGACCGAGTGAGATAATACCAACAGCGCTACCGGCGGCAGAGAAAGGATCAGACATGATGGGACAAAGTGAAAATTGGAATGTGGTAAGAGTGACATTTGGGGGATGGGAGGGTTGGGGGGATGTTGCTTTTTCAAAGGCTTAGGCAGTGCATAGCTGGTACCGCGTGTCGTGGCGCCAATCAGATATCCATAGTGAGGCTCAGCCAGAAGAAATCTTTTTGATCCGAGTCATTCCATCAATTCCTGCTAAACGCACTTTACATATAGATCAGACAAAAACCATATGTAAAATTTAGGACTGAAAACATGACGTTCTGAAGAGATAACCATCCAATGTGTTCTTGAATGCTCTATGTTGTATTATTATACGAAGACGATAAAAAGCATGAACTCTGCAGACGACCTTTTTATGTACATATGTCTCACGCTACATGAAACAATCCATCTTAGCATTTGACATAACATTAACCCGAAAATACACGGCCGCCTTGCCAATCTTCCATGCCCATCACCATACACAATTTCTGCTTGTAAAAACAAAACAAAAACCATCGATAACAGATCCTGATAGCATCTCTACATATCCACTACGTCTTTGAAAACCGAGCCGTACACTCCTCCTTATACGCCTTCAGCTGCTCCATCTTAATCCGCGTAAACGACTCCATCTCCGCACGCACCTTCTCATCAAGCAACTCAACACCCGCACCCTCGTCGTGCAGCGCAGCCCAATAGATAGAGTCCACATCAAAGCTCTTCCTTGCCGCATAATCGAACCAGAACCGCCCAATGTTCCACGAATCGCGCATCCGGGCAGAAAGAGCCAGTCCACCGGGTTGCTCGCACTCTACCGCCGTTTCATTTTCCACTCGTTCCAACGCCCGCAAGAACTGCTCCATTCTCGGCTCATAGAGGGTCACGAATCCTTCCATCGAGCAGCGCTCAAGCCACACTTCCGGCCCGGCGAGTAACAGCCACCAGGGCGGGTCATACGTGAACTCGGCCGGCATGGCATTTGTGAACTCGAAATCGAGTACGGCGGTCATCTCGAGGGTTTGCGGGTCTATAAGCCATATTCGATGGTCGCATGTCGTCACAGAAAGGTATAAATAGTCTGCTATCCTCGGAATAGTACTTTGGAATTAGCTGTGCGAATCTATGTCGGGCAATGAACCGTTTCTGGGCGATTTCTGGGTTATCGGCTAGATTGCGCTGGGTCCAAAGGTGCGTTAGGTGCTCGTTCGCGACGGATCTTAGATACTCGCTTGCGCGGTCGAACGGTGCTGTTGGAAATTTATCTTCGGGGTAGCCGGACACAGTAGCTAACTCGTTCATGTTGTATGTCAGGGGTCGTCCGGTAACATGCCATGCACTTGAAGTGGGATCCTTTGAGATAGCTCCGATCCAAGTAAAAGCAAGTTGAGAAAGCTGGAATATATAATGGGCAATTTGATAATATATCTTGTCTAATATTGTCTTGTCGATATCCGGGTTTAGAACCATATCTTCTTGATCCGGTTTCTTTAAGACAGTCGATAAAAGCGTTCCTTTAACATAATCCATGATGATGAATGGACCAAGGTCTTGTGGACTCTCGGCAGTGAAGCCCCAGCTGTGAACACGAGGTATAGGAATATCAGTATTTTGGCGGAGGTATTCCATGATCTGGATCTCATTCAGGACCTTTTCGTCCCTGTAAGCTGTAGCCGTGTCCTGGTTTTGGGAACCGAATAATGGCATTCCGTCCATCGCTGAAGCCGAATCGGAAGCTGAAGTTGAAGGAACCCTTAAGAAATTCAACATATTTTCCAGTTCCTCCTCCAAGGCGCCCAGCAACAAAAATTGCTAATTCGTCCCTTGAATCAAAAGCTCTACTTAACCAAGCTTTGCATTCGTCATCACCGTTGGTCTCTTCTATCTCGTCAAAATAGGTCTTTAGCGGAGATGTCTTTTGTTGAGCCATCTGAGAAATTGGGAGAGGTGGTGAAAATATGTAGGCTAGGTGAAGTGAAGATGGGAGGAAAGGTTTGTGCTTGGAAGATTAAAGGCGCATTAGCAACAGAGCTTTGGCCTTATCAGATGATACAATGCTGAGGGAATCTGAAAAATTAGAGGTAAATAGGTTGAAGCTTTGCTCAAGTTGAGCAATATGTTTCCTTTGATCGATACAAGAATAGTCGGGCCGCTTATGTGGCCTTGTGATGTCTTTTTGGCGATCTTTCTGGTAGTCTGTTTGGATGTTTTTTTAGACCTAACCAACAGGACTCCATATATTGGGATTCTTCAATATAGATCAAACAGAATGCCTCGTAAATTTAGGACCAAAGCCATCACGGTCTAAAAAACCTACCCCACCATGAACACAGATCAACTCTAACCATATATGGTTAGCGCATTATGCCTTGAGAGTGAATGTTATGCATCGAGTCTTTCCCTTTTATGCCTCTATAGTATACAAATATACGTAAGTGAAGACACCTGTTTCCCTGCGACGCTATATTCTGATCGGGCAATACAACCTCCTCGGTCCGCGGGTCCCCCGCATAGCCCCTCCAGTCCCCACTAATCGGCGAACATCCCGGACCATCTATAACCCCCCAACTCCCTTCCAAACACCATTTTACAGCTCAAACCCTCTAGGAACCTCCCACAAAAGCCATGGCAGCAGAATACCCCCACCGAATCGCCCTACTAGGGCTAGGCACAATCGGCCTCTCAATGCTAGCCATGCACCTGCGGCGCGCAGACACCAGCATAGCAGTCTACGACCCGCGCCCCGACTACGAGTCCCAGATCCGGAGCACACTCCCCGCCCTTCTGGACTCCCCAGACTCAACCACCATAATCGACGATCTGATCCGCACAAATCGCCTAAAACTAGCAACCATCCTGCCAGAAGCTATCCAAAACGCGACAATCGTGCAGGAACAGAGCCCGGAAGTCACGGCCTCGAAACAGGCGCTCTGGAAGGAAATCGCTGGTCTTGCTGGGCCCGATACGCATTTGTGGAGCAGTTCGTCTGGAATCCCCGCGTCGGAGCAAGGAGCTGCGTGCGAGGCTGCGGACCGTGTTGCCGAGCGCTTGCTCGTCGCGCACCCGTTCAATCCGCCGCATTTGATGCCGCTTATGGAGATTGTGCCTGGGCCTGAGACTAGTGCCGAGGAAGTCGAGTTTGTGAAGAGGTATTTTGCCGATGTACCTGGTCCTAAGGTTTCGGCTGGTGCTGGTGCTGGTGGGGATCAGCCGGCTGCGCAGCACTACCGGCCTATCACGCTGAACAAGGAGATTCCTGGATTTGTGGGGAATAGGCTTGCTTTTGCGCTTCTGAGGGAGGCGTGTTATCTTGTTGGGGAGGGGGTTGTCTCTGCGAAGGACTTGGATTCTCTTGTTACGGCTAGTTTGGGGCCGCGGTGGGCTTCTACTGGTGTATTTGAGAGTTATCATGCTGGTGGTGGGGAGGGTGGGATTGGGGCGTTTTTGCAGAAGCTTGCACCGACAATTCAGAATGTGTGGGGCGAGTTGGGGCAGGTTGATATTGAGGGTGAGCAGGCGTGGAAGGACTTGGTTGTGAAGCAGACTGAAGATGCTTATGGACTTTATACCCCTGAAAAGAGGAAGAATAAAGAGGAGATGTTGCGGGATGTTGTAGAAATGCAGAAGAAGAAATGGGGGGAATTGTGATTGATAGATAATGATATGATTATGAAGTTTAAGGGTAAGACCATAGAAGATAGGGAAAGAAACAAGGTTACTATTGGACGCTATCTTTTCTGACGGATTACTTTAGGGTTACTGATTTGAAAAGTGAACAATAGAGTGCTCTATTCGCATTCTTGTATATCTAGAGGGCCATAGCGCCCCTATTAAAAAACCAAAACATTTTGTTACGTCATATTCGTTCCGTTCCTTACAGGATCTGCTGGAAAGCACGGTTAATGGGGGAGCGCACGGTGTGGCCCTTGTAGAATTCGATGGTAGCAAGAGCACGCTTGCTGATGCCCTCAGGGGTGAACTCGAATTTCTACGGATTGTTAGTAAAAAGTCATAGGATAATAAGTGAAGGTAACTTACGGCGTACACCTCCTTGTAGGGGCCGGAGGCACCGAAGCGGTTGAGACCGAACTGCTCGTGAGAGTAGCGCTCCCAACCCATGGTGCAAAGAGCCTCGACGGACAGCACGGGGATGCCATCGGGCAGAACCTGGAGGCGGTACTCCTTGCTCTGGGCATCGAAGACCTCGAAGCAAGGCATGGACACAACACGGGCAGCAACACCGTGCTTCTCCTGGAGGTATGTGGCAGCCTCAATGGCGATGCTGACCTCAGAGCCAGAGGAGACAATGGTGACGGCAGCGTTGGGGGTGTCAACAGCGACGTAACCTCCCTTAATACCGTTCTCAAGAGTGGAGAGCTCAAGCTGGGGCAGGTTCTGGCGGGTCAGAGCCATGACGGTAGGAGTGTGCTTGGAGGTGATGGCGGAGTAGTAGGCAGCGCTGGTCTCGTTGCCGTCAGCGGGACGCCAAACCATGCAGTTGGGCAGAGCACGGAAGTGAGCCAGAGTCTCAATAGGCTGGTGAGTGGGGCCGTCCTCACCCAGACCGATGGAGTCGTGGGTAGCGATGTGGATGACACGAACGCGGGACAGAGCCGACAGGCGGAGGGCACCGGCGGCGTATGAGACGAAGTTCAGGAAAGTACCACCGGCGGGGATGATGGTGCCGTAGGCAGCGAGACCGTTCATGACGGCAGCCATGGCGTGCTCACGCACACCGTAGCGAACGTAGCGACCGGCCCACTCGCCGATGCCAAGGTCAGGGGGCTGGAAGTCAACAGCGTTCTTCCAGCGGGTGTTGTTGGAGCCAGTCAGATCAGCAGAACCAGAGACCAGCTCGGGAATGACATCGTGGATAGCCTCAAGACAGGCCTCGGACAGCTTGCGGGAAGCGACGGCAGCGTCAGTAGGCTTGTAGACGGGGAGCTTCTTCTCCCAGCCCTCGGGGAGCTTGCCGGAAAGACGGCGAACGAGGTCAGCACCCTCGGTCTTGTGCTCGGCCTGGTACTTCTCGAAGAGCTGGTTCCACTCCTGCTCCTTGGCAGCACCCTCAGCGGCGTGCTTGTGATACATGTCGTAAACGGCCTGGGGAACAGCGAAGCTCTCCTCGGGGTTGAAGCCGAACAGCTTCTTAACGCCCTGGGCGTCGTCAGCCTTAAGAGGGTTGCCGTGGACACCACCGGTACCGGCAAGCTTGGAGCCGTAGCCAATGGTGGTGGTCAACTTAATGACGGAGGGCTTGTCAGTAACCTGCTGACACTTGCGGATGGCAGCCTCGATACCCGCGAGGTCGTTGTCACCATCCTTAACCCACTCGGTGTGCCAACCGTAGGACTCGAAGCGCTTCATGACATCCTCAGTGAAGGCACACTTGGTGTCACCATCTATGGAGATAAGATGTTAGTCTTTCATATCTAGCTTTCGAGGTATTCGAGTCCTACCAATGGAGATGTGGTTGTCATCGTAGATGGCAATCAGGTTGCCAAGCTTGAGGTGACCAGCCATAGAGGCGGCCTCGCTGGCAATACCCTCCATAGCGCAACCATCACCGAAGAACATGTAGGTGTAGTTGTTGAAAAGGTCGAAGCCGGGCTTGTTGAAGACACCACCGGTGTGGGCCTGAGCCATCGCAAGACCGACAGCGTTGGCGAAACCCTGGCCAAGAGGACCAGTGGTGACCTCAACACCGGCGGTGTCGTGAGCCTCGGGGTGACCGGGGGTGGGGCTGCCGAGTTGCTAATGGAATGAGTAAAAGAGTGCGGTATATGGCTCAGAGAAACTTACACGGAAGTTCTTCAGGTCATCCAAAGTGAGCTCATATCCGAACAAGTGGAGCAGAGCATACTGCAGCATGCAGCCGTGGCCGTTCCTATTCAATTTGAGATCAGCTGGTATTCCAAAAGCATGGTCATTGGCGTTTCAGATGGAAAGGTCGTTGCCAACCCATAACCAGCCTCAATTCAGACGGGGAAAGCACATACGAGAGAACGAAACGATCACGGTTAGCCCAATCAGGGTTCTTGGGGTTGAAGTTCATGAACTTGTTGAACAGAACGTGGGCCACAGGGGCCATGCCCATAGGGGCACCGGGGTGACCGGAGTTGGCCTTGGAGGTGGCATCAATCTGATGGTGAAATGTCAGTCAGAATTCTTCGATTGTACGGATTGAAGCTTCATATGAGGCCAAAGACCCCAATATTGCTCCAATTGAACGCATTCAACAGAGGGGCAATTGCCCGGAGAAGATCAACATACCGCAAGAATGCGAATGGTGTTGACAGCCAACTGGTCCAGATCAGTGTAACCCATGATGGCGGATTCTAATACTGTTAGAGATGAAAACCACTGGAAGTCAGGTAGACACGTACATTTTTGAGTAAAGGGAATGATTTGGAGGATGATGAAAGAGAGAGGAAGAGAAGAGGGAGGGGAACGTATTTGTTGGTGGGGGTATGATGTCGGGTGGGGGGCGGACTGGTGGCTTGCAGCTCAACTGAACAGCAACTTACAGAGGTCACATTTAACAGAGAATTTATTGGGGTATTCTATTTACCAGAGTCTCTATGTACCATTTTACAGGCTAAATCAATGCAATTGTCTTCAACTTGTATATATTGTCTTATCTAGTCATTGCATCATTGGCTGAGTCAGCAACGAGGGGCGCTCAGCTATATCTATCTACTATGTATGAAAAACATTATATACTGACGGACTTTTTACTTGTCAAGTCAACTACTTCTATACATGTATCTTTCATGTCTTTGAATTCCTATTTCCCGACCTGCATCAATAGCCGTTTCTCCCGTTGGTGAGCTCAATGGCCCGCATTTTCCGACACTCTTCCGGTTCGACATCCACATGTTCTATTAGTATACACCGGGAGCCGCCCGGAGGACGCTGCTCCGACTCGCAACCAGCCTTTTCACGGAGAGAAATTAGCCGAATTTCCATCTATGGCTCCTCAATAACCGTGCCGATGATCAGCTGGACAACAGAAAAAAATAAGCAGTTTTGATAGAATTGGTGCCCTGGACCTCGGGAGGCCTTCTTGAACAACTCAGCGCTTACAAACGTGCAGATGACCGCACCTCGGATTCCCTAATCAAGCCAATCCGAGGGAAGACTGAACCCCGTGGACACAATGACAATTATAAATCTGCGAATATAAGTGGAATGGCAGTTCCAATGAAATTACAACGTGACCCCCACAGAACGTAGTCCCCGGAACGCGTTGGGGGAATTCAACGTCAACCTTCATCTCGGTGTGCCGGAAGAAGAGTAGCGCCGGAGAAAATATCAAGTCACGTGTGAAGTATATTTGAACTATACATCTATGTGATACATGTATAGGCATCGTTGTTTCTGTTAAAATGTGGAATGGCTGTATGGTATGGACGTTGAGCCACACCTTGGCTACTATTATGCCGTCATACAATCTCTCATTCGAATACATATATACCCCAGACCCTTGTTGTGCTTCCCCGGAAAGTGACTATCATCAGCCAGGATCACCTAGAAAGATGAGACCATCCCAGTCCAAAATGAAATTTTGAAGGCGTTTCTCGCATCGGACCATTTATGCTGCTTTCTTGGCTCATATTATTAAAATAAGCATTCAAATATTCGAAGGGTCTACGGCCTTTCAAGGCCGCAGAGCTTTACCTCCAACGACTTGTTCTCGGGGGAATTCCAGGCAAGATCAGCCACCTCAAATTCAAACAAACCAAGCCAGGTTGAGCAACAGGTCAGCTTACGCCACGTGTGCACATTAAAATTGACCAGTTCCTCTCAGCTTCTGGACCTCCATGACACAACAGAAAGGAAACTATGACACCTGACTGATATGACCTGGATATCAAAGTATATCCGCCAGGCCTTGCGATAAGCACCTATTTCGTGTTTACGACAGAAATCATTTTACAAATCAACACGGAAGACCCTAGGATTAGGGATGAGTTTGAGATTCTTGTAGCTCCCGGACCTCGTGATTGCCTGCGCTTTGAGTCAGCTTATACGAGGCTGGCTTTGCGTTAGGATTCTGTGACAGCGCAGTATGCCATATCCGTTTATATAAAAGGGCGTCTGTATCGGACGGATGGTCGTCCTTATTTACATTCACGGGTCAGCATTCAGCATATACTCCAATATATCGAGATATCCTGCCGTGCGCCATGGACAAAGAAGAGTCTACTCATTCCCAAGCCGATGTGTAGGTACTATACTCCTCTTTCCTGGCATGGTCTAATATTCTCGCAGCCTCATCATCGGCGCCGGTCCATCCGGCCTGATGGCAGCCTACTGGATGGCTCGCTATGGAATCAACGCACGTATTATCGACAAGCGTAATACGAAAGTCTTCCTAGGGCATGCAGACGGGCTTCGTGCACGCACGCTGGAGCTGTTTGATAGCATGGGGTTCCAACACCGTGTTCTGCAGGAAGGATCCACCAGCACCGAAGCAAACATCTGGGTGTGTACTCGCTTGTTTCCACCGAAATTAGGGCCTGGCTGACGATGCCAGCAAATAGGTTCCAGGTCCACAGGGAAAGCTTATCAGACAGGCTTTCATTAACGTTGCCAGGGTCGACGAGTCGCCCTTCCTCAACACATGCTTGAACCAGGGACGTATCGAGCGGTTCATCCTCGATAGTATTCGGGAACACTCTGATCTTGACGTGGAACGGGGCGTGATCGCCGAGTCGTTAGAATATGACGAGGAATTGAGTAATGATCCCAACTCATATCCTATCACCGTCAAGGTCCGAGTTCTTGGTGAAGATGATTCGAAAGTCAAAGATGGGTGTGAAACTACTGGGAATGAGGTGAACCGCGAGGACTTGCTTCCTGATGACTGGGCCGATCTGGCCCCACGCAGAAAACCACAAAAGACGCAGATTGAAACTATCAAGGCCAAATATCTGATCGGGTGCGACGGTGCCCACAGTTGGACGAGGAAACAGCTAAACATCCCCGTGGAAGGTTCCAACACGGACCATATATGGTCAGCAGTATTCACCATCCAAGCACGCTACAACAGCTAATATAATATAACTATGTATACAGGGGCGTGATAGACGTGATACCCCTCAGCGATTTCCGTAAGCACTACCCATTGTGCACGCTATTCTCCCAACACATCCACTAACTCAAACTCCCAACAGCGGACGTCCGTCGCTTAAGCATCGTGAACAGCGCCGCAGGCACAATCCTAGTAATCCCACGCGAACGCGGCTTAGTCCGCTTCTACGTCCCCGTGCAAACCTGCGAAGCAGGCACAACCGACCGATTCGACCGCTCAACAATCACGCCGGAGCTAATCCGGGAGCGCATGCAAGCCATCTTCGCCCCCTTTACCTTCGACTTCAAAGAATCTAACTGGTGGACCGTCTACCAAGTCGGGCAGCGGATTGCCTCGCAATCCACGAAAGGTAACCGTATCTTCCTTGCCGGTGATGCGGTGCATACGCACTCGCCTAAGATGGGTCTTGGAATGAATATGAGTATGCAAGATGGGTTCAACGTTGGGTGGAAGGTTGCCCTTACTGTGGCGGGTACTCTCAAACCTGAGGTTCTCGAGACTTATGCTTCGGAGAGACACCCGCTTGCGGAAATGTTGCTTGAGCTCGATCGTCATTGGTCGCCTATGTTCAATGATCCCAAACCCGAAATGGCGGATACGAAAGCTTCGGATATGGCCCTTATTGCGGGGAAGTTTGAGGACTTCGCTGATGGGTGGAAGGTCTTTTACCCCGCAAGCAGTCTTGTTCGCAGGGCTGAAGACGATGCTGAATTTGCTTTTGCACGGCATATGATTCCTGGGGAGAGGGTCCGACCAGCAAAGCTTCGCAATCAGGCTGATGGCGGTACAGTATGGACAACAAGAGCGCTGGAAAGTGATGGGCGCTTCCGCATTCTTGTTTTAGCTGGGGATATGCGAGACTCAATGCAGAAGCAACGCATTGAGGCGTTGGGTCAGGCTTTAGATGGACAGTCTGGATCGAGCATTTCACCCTTCGGTCGCTACTTGGAGATTGCTGGTCGATTCCAGTGTCCTATTGACGTACTTACCGTCCATTCTTCGCCGTGGAAAGACGTGGAATTCTTTGATTTCCCAGAGGTTCTGCGTCCATTCGATCCGGTGAAAGGATGGGCATATGACAAGATTTGGTGTGATGAGGCTTGCATATTTGATCGATATTGTGATGGAACAGCATATGAAAAATGGGGGGTTGACCGGGCTCGTGGGGCTCTGGTAGTTGTTCGCCCGGATCAATATATTGGATGGGTGGGTGAACTTGAAGATTTGGAGGAGTTGACGCAGTACTTGGATGGAATTCTTGTGAAAAGGTCGACAGACAAGGTTGACTTGGTCCTCTAGAGAATAATACAGTGACTGGACATAGTAATTGCACCCCTTGGCCCTTCACCGCCATGCCGCCTTCTTAAAACGCGTGCTAGAAATAGTACACGAAGCTGCTTTTTTTGCGACTAAAAGGCTGTATTGTTCACTCTTAGACCACTAAGAGTGCTCCGTATAAGCAGCTGACTATTCTTGTAGAGATAAATACTATTGATATGTTGTATGGAGCTTTTTAATCCGGCAGAATATTATATAGTCTAATCGGTGGGCAGGTGCAATTACTCCCGTGACTGTATCACATAGGACAACCTTTAGCAGCACGAAAGGAAAAATTGAAAATATATATTAGATCAAGCTATACGCTTCAAAGTAACTGACTGGCCGAATAAACAATAAAGAAAGAAAAATAAGCAAGACTATTGTACGTAGCTGCACTGTCTAACAACATCTTACGCAAATATATAGCCATCTTCAAGTTTACGCACGTGTCTCGGGCATCCACGACCCATCCTCCTGCAGCCCTGTAGTAGTATCAGCAACATGAGACGAACCAGGAGCATCCTCCTTATTCAAAGATTTCCGGGTGACATCTGGATTAGCAGGGAACTTGAACTTCGAGCTTTGCCACGGCTTCACTCCCATGCGGTACATAGTATCAATCTCCTCCAGTGTACGGCCCTTTCCTTCGATAACGGCGAAGTAAACCAGAGTCGCTGCAAGGAACAGACATCCGGCAAATACATATCCGAAGCGGAAGTCAATATCGCCGGTAATAAATGGAGTGAAGAAGGCAAGGAGGAAGTTCCAGAGCCAGTTCGATGCAGTTGCCAGAGACATGGCGCGTGCACGGTATTGCGAGGGATACAACTCGGCGATGATCGTCCATACCATGGGACCCCATGTACTGGCAAAGCCTAGAATGAAAAGACAGGCGAAGACGACCATGACTACGCCGGCGGATTTTGTTCGTTCTGGTTCCTCGCGATCTAGGGAGAAATGGCCCACAGAGGCGAAGACCATGAAGCAGACGAACATCCATAGAGCGCCGGTGATGAGAGAACGGCGTCGGCCCCAGTGTTCAATTAGGTAAAGACCGAGGAATGTTGTTCCGAAGTTAACGCCGCCTAGGATCATCTGGGTGACATAGCTGTTTTTGATTCCAGCGCCATTGAAGATTGTTGTGCCCTAGTAGGTGTTAGTTGGTTTCTTTTTCTAGGTGCTATAACAAGATCTCAAAACTTACATAATAGAAAAAGTAATTGGCACCTGTCAGCTGCTGCAGAGCTTGTAGGGCGACACCAACAAGAATCCGATACGCCATGGTCGGCTCACGGAACATCTGGAACCAGCTAATATGGCCGTTGCGCTGCTCCTCCTCGTGTTTCTGTCTGATTTCATCGAACTCGACGTGGAGAGCGCGGTGGTTATGAGGGACACCGTAGATTTTGGTAAGTGTGTGCTTAGCTTTATCCACCTTACCGTGGCGGTAGTCATAGCGTGGGCTTTCAGGGAAGAACATCATACCGAAACCAAGGATGAAGGCCCAAACATAGGTGATACCCATAGGGATACGCCATGAACTGGTGTCGGGGCGATCTTCGGTTCCAAAATTGATACAATTGGCAACGAAGATTCCAAGTGTGATAAATAGCTGATATGTACTGGGAAGAGTTAGAAGGTGATGACTACAGTCTGGGATGGTGTTTGTTCAACATACCTAATCAACGATCCTCGAATGTGTCTCGGTCCTGATTCGGCCTGATACATAGGTACCAGGAGGGAAACTGCACCAACTCCCAGTCCAGCAACCCAACGACCCATGGCAACCTGGTACCACTTGCCAGTAGGCGAGGAAATCTGAATGGTGATTCCAATACACACCATCAGAGCCCACCAAGTGATAGACCATTTTCGGCCCAAGCGGTCGGCGATGGGTGCGGCGATTAGAGCTCCGATCAGAGTACCAACTGATAGCTGTAGGTGGATATGTTAGCATATAAGCAATGAATAGCGAAGAACGCACCACTTACCAAGGCAACAATGAGACCGGAGCGAACATTACTAAAGTGATAGGTTCCATCTGATTGAAGTTCACCATAGCGATGAAGGAAGTCTTTCATCTCCAGGAAGCCGGAGATCTGACCAGTGTCATAACCGAAAAGGAAACCGCCCATAGAGACGAGGATGCACATAATGAACGAGCGCCATGTGAGGAACGGCACAGCCGTATCGACGAGATCATTGGGGCCCTTCTCGTGTTCATTTATGGACATTGAACTCCTAGGGTCCTGAGGATCTGCATAGAGGTCCTGTGGACGTTTCTTGAAGATCTTATTGAACATAGCGCCAGCAAGTACTATTTGACAATGATATTTGATACTTAGCAATTGATCATTGGAAATCCAAGCTGTTCCGGGATCAACCTTCTTATACAGTCCCTGGCCAAGAAACCATGGCCAAGAAACCCTGACGAAAGCCGAGTCCTGGGGTTTCTTGGCACCATTCGTACGATCCAGACAGGCCGCATCATACCGATGACTCGTTGATCCAAAATCCGAGCAAGCTCAATCACAGCCGTCACTTATGTCCACAAAATGAGAAAAATCCGGGGAATTTGCTTTAGATTTGATAGGTTCGCTGGTTCAGCCACGGCTTGTCCGGGTGATTCATCGCTGCTATTGATCAGCATATCGACACCCTTGATCCAAGACGCGAGCAAGACGCTCTTCACGGTTGTTGCTTATTTCTGCACGCAAACGGGAAAAATCCGGGGAATTTGCCACGGGTTTCGCAGCTTTTGGTTCAGCCACGGCTTGTCCGGATGGTTCATCGTTGCTGTTGGCCAGCACATCAACTCCGAACTCCACGCTCTCGAGTGGTGACAATGGAGTCTGGGCCTTCTAAGCCTCGTGATCATTTATTTCTGGAGACCAATTATATGGGGAAATTAGACCGGCTATGTCATCGTGGTTTGGGGAAGTATGACGATGGTAGCCACAAAGCTTGGCAACGACTGCCCCGGTTATGGTGATGTTTATGAGAGCCAAACTCGGAAGTCCAAGAACTTCATGTTTAAAATGTGGTCATTAGACATCAATCGCCTGGGTGGTCTAGTGGGTAAGAAGCTCTTCAGCTCCACAATCAATCAAGTTCATTCATTAACAAAAACACAGTATGATTCGCGCTTAGGGTTCACCCAAAGCATTATTGCGCGAGGTCCCCGTCAATCCCGGGCTCAGGCCCATCTTTTTTTTTTCCATTTGCTATAATCGAATCAATTCATTTAAATAGCATAAAATACTATATTAACTATAGTTATATATCTTTATTTGGTGTAATTCTCGACCGAATTAAAAGAACAAATGTGATTTTTTTGGAATGAAACCACAAACAACTTTGAAGTAAGCAAGTAGTCTTGATAGAAAACAGACCAGTGAGTGTAGAAAGTCATAAGAAAAAAGTTGTTTGTGACTACACTGTTTTCATTGTTCATAGAGAGATAATCTACTCAATTACATTACACTCCCTCAGGGAATCTACAAGATAAAAGAAAAGAAATATGAGCCTCTAAAATTTCCATGCCTCGAGAAAATTTGGGATGGGAGAATTTCCAACTCGTGTGCTTAAATCTATCTATGGATCATGAATCTCTAATAGCCTTCAAAGGTCCACGGTCAACCCATCGCTAAGCAAACCATCTCTCATCCTCCCTCTTTCCAATCAATTTCTAGTTTGCCCAAATTATATCCACCATTATTACCCACTTCCACCGCAATAGCTCCCTACCTAGGCAACCCGACGAAGAGGAATATCCTCAGCCGAGTCCCCATCTTGCCCAATTTCGCGCTGTGAGTCACCGACAGGTGTAACTGTCTTGCTCGTCATGACATGTTTAGCATCAGACTGAGCCCGATCCAAAGCTTCCTGAGCAGCGACAGCAGTTTTACAACGATGCTGCATCGCATACACTGCAATGGTGATACCAACAACCCACCACGAGAACATAATAGGAAGTGCACGGTAGAGCCGGTTATTGCACCCACCCGACCAGATCTGAATCAGGACTTCGTATGCCTCATGGGAGGGGAGTGCGTAGCCCCAGCGGAAGAAACCCGGGCTTAGCTCAAATGGGCTGAGAGTGCTGGCGACATTGAGAATAACCCATGTCAGAACAAGGAAGGGCATGAACTGAATTGGGATGAAAGCAGTTGCGATGTCGAATAATAGGAAGTTTATGTGCATCAGAAGCCATAGAATAAACCATGTCAGCACAAACCGGCTTCCGCGCTGTCCCCACGTCTCTCTGAACGCCCAGATGTACCCGGTCATTACCAGGGATCCGGTGAAGGTGTAGAGCGTAGAGGCTACCCCGCGAATCAGGCCGTTGGCTTTCCAGGATAGTTTGGTGAATGCGCCGAAACTGGTTGATATCCCGTTTAGGGTTAACACGAAAAAGAACTGTTGGATGATTGGCATCACCATGGATACTGTGTTGTAGAAGACTTTTGCGCCTTGTTCCGTGCCCTTGATGTTGATTTCTTCCACGTGTATCGGGTCGAGGAATGTTTTGAGAGTGGCTGGATTAGAGAGGTTGGCGGAGGCAGCCACGGAAGATCCATTATTGGCGTAGTATGTCGACCGTGTGACTTCAATCAATTTTAAGAAGTTGGAGTAGACTGCGCCTTGTGAGAACACTGGGTATCTCACTCCGTTCCAGATATACGTGAGCGAGGTCGGCGGGCTGGAACCATTTTCCAGTGCCGATGCCAGGGCAGCTGATCCACCCTCGGTGGTATAAATAGCGCCCCAGTAGTCACCGCGGCAGACGGCTTCTCGAATATCCTCTACTTGGGGATATTCATTCGAAGGTCCCGACAGCACGGTTGGGAACCCATCTCCTTGTAGCTGCCGGTAGGCATCTGACAGTGACTTTCCGATGATACCACCATCATAGTCAACGTAAAGCAAATTGAAATTATGATAACGGGTTGTACTTCGGAACTGCGTTGCATAAAGATAGGACATGTTGACCAAGAAAAGGATCTGAAGGAAGAAGAACATGGCGACCACAGCCGGCAAAAATCGAGGCCGGAGCTCCTTCCATGCGCCCATTTTGGGATATGAGTTTGGTTCTAGCCTCATGTTGCAAGATGTAGTGTTAAGGAGATGAGGTGTAGACAGTTACTGGGATTCTTCTGAAAAGTGACATTTATAGGGAGTCTCGGAACCCGATTCCTGTATGACTTAGTGAGTGAGCATATTTACTGTTGGTCATCACACATGGTTGCACTATTCGAAGTATAACAATACCCAGTACCTCAGTGTACTAATTGTAGATCCATGGATAACGTCAGATGATTTAGAAAATATACCAATCATATTGGGCCGTACAGCTCAATTTGCCGCTGAGTCAGCGGCATAACGTATGCAGTTACCTGGCTCTGGAGGTACAGGTGCCCAAAGTCCAAAAAAAGCTCTCGGAGTAAAGTGGTCGCACTTCTAAAAGGGGCAATATCTCGGGGGGAATTACGGAAGCCAATAAACCTGTATTGATTTCATAAAAGGAACTACTTTTACATAGTGCGGCTGGAATCATTAGAGACGGAGAAGATATCCCTTCAAATTAACTCGCTGTCAGGCTAATGATGGGATCAAGACCAGCCTGTGAAGTGAAAAAGAGGCTGGTGATCTGCCGCTAAAAAAACCCCCCTCAACTCTACGGAGTAATAGATCCGAAATTCTCCCCTATTTTTGTCTTTTTTTTGCTTTTTCTGCACATGACTAAGGTGCATGAATAAAGCTTCTTGCATGCGTGGTTGATCAGTCTCAATCCAAGCATCATAGCTTAGATATTAAAGTATCAACATACCCAAATTTGACTTGTTCTTGTCAGGAATATCGATTTCATCCGAATTATCACCACATAAGAGGATAATTTAGTTACATGTATGACGCACATCAGGGTTTATATCCCGGCCTGGTAGTCATCCGAGGGAAGTTTCAAGCAGTTTATCTTCGGTGCTAGTCAGGTATTTACGTAACAAAGAGCGGAAATCATTAGTTATACTAGTCTCGATATTTTCTATCAGCTCTTAACGAGCGCGTAGAAGACGTCCATGTAGTTCGTGAAGATTGTATACTTCTGGACAATATCCCTGGTGTAAAACGTGCCCTGTAGCGCAGCTCGGGATTATAAAATGACCTGAGGCGGGAAGATCATCGTGTCTGGCCGGTTGTGTTTTACACGCCAAGGCAAGCCGTATGATTGGTAAACAGGATAGGAGAAAGGAGTGGTGAATCCAATCTCAAAGAGCACCCAATAACCACGACTGTCATATCTAAATATAAGGAAGGCTGGTGAGATCTGCCATCTTTCGCATTTTATAATTTCATCTTTTATCTTATGTTATTTCCTATACTTGTTATTCCCCTCGCATCTTGAATCACAGGCAGTGGTAAAAGTCCATGGAGTCATAGAGCGGTTGCGGGCTTGATATAATCGAAAATCTGGATTGCATGGCTTCGCTTTCGGACATTAATTGCAACGGATTGGTCATTCTCGGTGGAAATGGGCAATGTTATGGCACAGATGTGGCCGCTGCCGCGTTATCGATGTAGAGTAGTTGGGCGGACTGGTCGTCATCTATGATTCGTGGAGATTAGTAGGGAATCAGTGAGGGGTTTGGAGAACTATAAGTGAGAGCAGCTGCAAGTAAGGGGATATAATAGACTTGGAATTGGCCTCGGTATAAGGTAGGTCTGATGGTAGTGATGTGTTTCTTAGTGTGTTTTCTCTCATCTCTGCACTACTCGGCGAGGAGTCAGTCGTGAGAGGTGTTTCAGGTGAGATATAAAGGTTAGACAGGTAAACACCTGCCTCAACACATACTACATGTACATAATTGTCAGACCTGTGGGTATGCCAGTGGATCCAATTCGTCGCGAGGGATTGTGACTCGTAGATACTATTTCAAGGTTAGCCCCAGGCAGCGGGTAGATCCGTAGATCTCGATCCAGACTGAGTGGGTCATGCATGAAGGCAAGCCAAGGTTCTTACAAACTAGTGCATCTTTTCCCGGGCATATAGATCGACGGAGTGAACCGGGGCACCAATTAAAGAGCCCCATGTATATCTACTGTGGATGCAGTTAGGACACTATTGGAAACCCGATGCTATGATGTAAAACAGCCGTAATCATCATCAAATTCATATGTACGCGATATCCTAACCAATACCATCCAAAGGAACAATATATACTCGGCATAGCAGCCATCACAAGAGAAGCGCAAAGACATAGATACAAGAAAATGACAGAAAGTCAAAAAAATAAACGCCCCCAATCCACAGGTATCATGAATAGAACAGAATAGTCGAAAAGCCATTTCAAACCGCAAATTCCTTCCGAAATAAAGCACCAAGCGCTAATAATCAATCAGACGGCCAGCCGTCGGTCCCAGCCACTGACCAGAGAAAACTCGTCGACCTCGTCTTCGCCATGCATGGCGAAATTATGGAAAGGGTCGATGGTATTGATATCATCACAGACTCGGACGTCGGTATACGGCGCTAGAGACTCTTCAGTGCTGCCCATACTCTCGCCCGAATAGCTCAGAACGCTTTGCGTGGTGTGTTCTTGCTTATGGACGTAGTCGCCGCTACTGGCGGACCACGCTTCGGGCGAGAGGTCGTGCATCTCGTTCTGTGAGTGATTGACCAGGGAGTCGTTGGGTTTGCGGCTGTATTCTGCTGCGATGGAGGCGAATGGACCGGGGTCTTCGCCGCATTCTTTGCCGCCGTAGATGCCGGTGAAGATGTTCGAGTATCCGCGGTCCATGTCGCTCAGTACGTATTCCCAATCGGCCATTGTGATGACGCCACCTGTAGGTTCGGAGGGCGTGGAGCAGGACATGGCGCGTGGGTGGTCGTAGCCGCCCAAGGATGTGGCTAAGCGAGGATCTGAGGCTAGATCCAAGGGGGAGTGGCCTTTATCGTTGAGGTAGTGTTGGGCGGGGAGGTGGTCGGCTTGAGAAGGGGGCAGGCTGCTCCAGCTAGGGGAGCGGAGCGACTGGGGCATCAGTGGGGGTGTGGTTCCTGAGATGGTGTTCCGGCGAGAGGCCTGTGGGGAGGATTGGACTGGAGACTGCTTATCACGGGTGGAGCAGGCAATAAGGCGCGACTTTAGGGCCTGCAAGTGCTTCTTGGGGGATTTGGCCGGCTTCTGGGTTGGTGCCACCATCTCCTGGTGGTGTTGCCTGCCCACTGATGAGCGTCTTCTGTCGTCCAGAGAAATCAGAGTGCTAGACAACATGGCGAATTCAGCAGCCGCCGCGATGGACTCTGACTGGAGGTACTGCATGGCGGTTCCAAGCAGTTTCTGGCTATCCTTGGCCAGTTTGCTATCGCTTTTCACATCAAGCATTTGCCACAGAAGTCCAAGTCCAGAAAAAAAGATAAGTTCCTTCCTGTTGATAGAAACCGACAGACACAAACGCCTCTCATCGAGCAGTTCCAGAATCTGAATGATGTGCTTTGCTGAGTCGGAAAGCGCGAGAGCGGATGGAGAGCGAATGTTCCCTTCAGCGTAGCAGACAGCCGGGCGATGTATCAAAGATCGAATGAAATAGTAGACAAGTGACTATAGCAAGTTAGTATTTTTTTGTCAAGCATTAATGAATCCACGCTGGGACTTACCAGAAGCGGCGACCGACTACTGGTGACGTTGGTGCTAGGCTTATCCTGACTGAACTCAAGACGAAGATGTGGCGGTAGTGTGTGAAGCCATTCGTCCAATTGCCCTGTCACTGAGCGCATCTTCGAAACATATACATCATAACCAGATTTCGAAGGGTACAGGTCCTCCAAAGCCTTGTTCAAGATCCTTGAAGCGCCGAAGAGAGCGATGGCACTGGAAATGCGAGTGGATTCGCCCGGAAGTGTCGGCAAAAATCCGGTTTCTGTGACATTCTCATCATCCACATCAACCGGATACTCGGTCTCGATATCCTCTTCGCGCAAAAGCACAGGCAGACCAGTAAGTGCGGAGCAGAATCGGTCAAGCACATATTGCGACCAGAAAACCTTCTTGCGAGTCTCGTCTTGTAGCGGGTTGTTCGAGCTTTCTTGGTTTTCGTGCAGGCCCAGTTGATGGCAAATATCTACACCAAGGGCACGGTAGCGAAGCAAAGTGCGGTAATCGCCTTTGGTCATGCAGTATACCTGACCAAGAACAAAGCACTGCAGGCTAGAAAGTGACGTTTCACTTGAGAATGAATCAAGGGTGGCCGACCAGTTCTCTTCGAAGAAAGTCGGGTCTTGGTTGGTTCGCGACATTGATGACAGAGCAGCAATGCCAAAAATCAAATTCAATTGCGCCATCACATGGGCATCGCGCTGAAGACTCTCAGTATTGTTGAGATACTGTTCATAGGCTTTCAAGATGGTCGGACGATGTACCACAGGGTACAGCGGTGCCCATTCTTGGAAGAAGATGTTGATCAGCTGATCCGACACCAAACGCGGTGGCGTTTTCACAGTCTGGTTAGGGACACCCTGCAATACCGAGGTAGCCAAGGCAGTGAGTGCCCCTGTGGGGACTTTTGTCGCTGATTTTCCCTCACTGACAAGCTTGTCGGTAAAGACATCTGCGCATGTTAGTCAACTTTATTGTTTCCATTCTCAAAACAGGAAACGCATAACATACTAGCAAAACCCTGGGTGCTAGAAAATCCGACATAAGGATTATGTGAGTGTTGGGATGGTCGGGTCGTCGACCGTTTCACATGAAACACGCCATCCGATGAATCCGAGGTGCTCGATTTCGCTGTCGCAGGAGCAGAGGGAGACCGCGAGGAACCGGCTCGCGTTGGTGGTGTAAACGAATGTATCCGGGACAAGACATCGATTTTCTCGTCCTTCTCATCTAACAGTTCCTTCAAATCCTTGACTTCGGTTTCGAGACTCCTAACTCGTTCTTCAAGCGACTCGGTATATCCACGTGGGAAGGCGCGACGGCTCAGTTTGTCGCTGGTACGGCACTCGAAGCCCACATTGGCGCATTGGGAGCAGCAAGGCCGAACACCGTCGCAGCGTATTTTCTTACTTCGGCATCGGTCACAGGCTTGGGCGATACGGCTCGTTGTGCCAGTTCCACCGACCTTGATCACTTTCATAGGCAAGATACCAGGCATGTTGTGCAGAAGGGGCACATGGGCCACCGGGGTTGAGTTCGTATTAGAATTGCCAGAAGTGAACACAATATAAAATTTTTGGATAAGAAGAAGATGCAGAAGTGTAAAAGCATGGGGGAGGGGGGAATGGAGACTGCTGAGTCAGTTTGTGGATCCTGCTGACCTCGGGACCTACCTCGGGCACCAATGAACTGGTTCTTGTTTTCGGTGGTAATTTATTGAATGTGCGTACCTACATAAAATCGGTTTACATAAAAATCTCTTGCTATTTCATTGGCCCAAATCATTGAAGAGATGCACAGTTTACCCCGTATAAAAACCGTTCACACCCGCCCCGGATTCTTCCATCCTCAGACCATATTTTCTAATGTTTTGATCCTTTACCCCCCGCACTCCACATTCCAGACTGAAAGTGTCTACGGAGTAAGATTTGAAACTGGATTTGGCTTAGATTGGCTAGTCCTTATGGAGTAAATGTAAACGGGTATGTAAGTGAGATTTACGGAGTAGTGAGATTGTTTTAAGTACTTTGTAACTAGCAAAGCTCGGATCTAAACCGATTGCGGTATTACCGCTTCCGACTTTCTCCCTGCCAGTTCTGCAGCGTATCTAGAAAAGTATGTTGTAAGCATTGGCATGTAATCCATTATAATACCAAGTGATAATAGAGCGTCCACTATTAAAATCCGATCCGATGATCGGCCTGGTTAATATGTCTTGCTTATCACTGAAAAAACAAATATAGATAACTCCGTGATCCTTCAGGGCAGCGCATCGTACTTTGTACATGACTACATGAGATACTATCTGGCCATTAGGAGCCTTCACTATGGTTATCTTGACCAAAATATGTAACATTCAAATTCAAGTCTAACAATCATAAACCCCGAGAAAACCCCAGCCAATGCCAGAATCATCTTAGAGTTTAGATTCCTGAAGTAATGTGGACTTCACTAAGTGGCGAACGGTTCACCGGATCAACAAAGGGGTCAAACATCAGAGTTTCAAAGGATTTCTAGTTCTTCTAGGCACCTATCAAGTAGATTACTATTATCCGAGTCCAACCAACCCTTGAAAGATGAACAGACACGGGATATAGTTTCATAATCAATATAATATATGCACGCGTTTTAATATAATATTTAATACTACATGCCATGTTAGGTAGTATATGCATTAATATGTAATATATTATTACTTCAAATGTTACATACAACATAGATATTGTATGGTATGGTCAGGAAATTCGAGCGAGTTTTGTCCGAGAGATCAGCGAACCCTGGTCGCCAAACATCCCCACTTGGCACCGGTCTGTTGGGAGATCTACACACGTGTGTACTCCACTACACCACATTCCAATCATTTCTACATATGTATGTACTCCGTATATGTATAGTATATGATCTCTAGGATATCCAGGGAAAATCACTCATGTTCAGGGTTAACCCCGGTCCAGCGAATATCGGAACCTGGCTTCCCCGCATACAAATCCCGTGTAGATCATGATATTCACCCCTTTTATACATCTAGGGTTCTCAAGGAACGTCATAGCCATGGCATTCCGGTGCTTTTCGTCATAATTGAGCGCTAGTGGCGTCTAGTCCGATGCGCTACGGGGCCTGTGGGGTTCGCTCGTTTTTTTTTGGGATGATCTGGCGGGGACTGGGGCTTGCTGCAGCCCTGTTAACCAAACAAAAAAGTGGGCTTTGGATCTGTATTTAGGGATGCTGCGGATGCTTCATGGTTGGAATATTATTGTGTGTCCTACTCTGTACAACATGGTGTCTTCATCAGACCCATCAACAAGATCTGCGTGGTTTTGCAATCATGAAAAGTCATCGGCTTCGTCCGGCTCTCCTGTCTGTGCCTTGAAATATTCAGCCACCGTCTTAGAAGCCAGCAGTTCCGTTCTCTATGTGCCATAGTCAGTTCCGGTAAATTAGAAAAGAAGCGGTCCTTTGAGACAGTCGCTACGTAAGATCACTTACCTGTTTTATTAATTCCTCAACAGCCCTTTCCAGCAGCTCCCCCTCCAAGACCCGGAAGTGCGCAATCGAAGTGAAAATCCCAGGTCGGAACATGGAATCCAAAGCCGCTTGGTCTTCTTGCATATTCGAGATAATCTCCTCAGTCTCCTGGAGAAGAGCGAGCTGGGTCTCGAGCCGGTCGAGAAGTAGCACCGCGGCGCGAAGCTGGAAAATCTCCCATAAGGGATCAGCAGCGAGAAGCTCACGGAGATGACTGGCTGATTGGATCTTTTCGCCTTTCCAGGTCGTTTCCAACTCCCGGTCGCCGTCGGTTGTCTGTGCGATACCAAAGTGAAGCCCGTCTTCTTCGTTCACGCATGCTATCCACGCAAGCCCACTTTCCCACGTTACTTCCTCGGACCCCTCAACGGCCGAGATTCGAAGTCCCGAATTGCTCCGGCAGAACATGCTCTTTGCAACGCCGAGAGGGTCGTCCTCTGGGATATCTAGATTGAGAAATATTTCCCGTGCTTCCGTCGTGCCGCTTTCCAGAAATCCGTAGGAAAATATCATCTCAGATGCGGGCTTTTCATCTCCGTATCTGTCATGTCATGTGTCAGCCAGGTCCTCAATAATGTCCACCGTAGAGGAATCTCACGAAATCGTAACCTCTTCTCCTGGCTGGATACCCTTGCCCCACCGCAACTGAAGTACGGCATTTCCATCCGAGTCTGCATCATACAGCGCCTTGACTCCATCACCAGAGACGTGATTGGCCATATCGATGCAAGGCACCATCACCAGACCACTGCCGGGTAGATCCAGCATGCGCGAGCGGTAAGCAGCGTCAACGTATTTCCAGTCATCAACTGTCAGCACACCAGTCTTCTCATCCCACCAGCTCTGCTGGCACCACGCAATACCCTCCGTAGCGTGGCGGAGCTGTTCAAACTCCCGCTCAAGAGATGAAAACTTCGCATCCAGGGCTTCCGCAAGCGAGGTGCCCCGGAGGAGCTCTTGTTCCTCGGGGGTGTAGAAGGTAGGCAGAGGGAACGATGGAGGCAGGAACTTCACGTATTCGGTCCATGGGTTGGAGATACCGACGGTCTCGTGTGCTGGGAGCAGATCGGGGCTGCTATGAGATAGTTGAATGAGCAGGAATATCAGGATTGCTCCTCTGGCAGTCTGTGTATCTTAGTTGGTTTCCCTATTGTGATGTAGATAGATGTGGGGTGGGGGAGGAGCAGCCCATACCCTGCCAAAGTCACCGAGTGAATCCAGCACCTCGCGCAAATACTTGTCGATTTTGGCATGGTTATGGATGGTCTCTAGGGACAAAACTAATTCCGAAGGAATTTGTAGGAGAATCTTGGGTTTCGCATCGTCCTCGCTGCTCATCTGGGCTTCCGTTGCGATGAGGGCACTGCCTTTGTCTGCGCCATGTTGATCAGATCCAACCTTATGAACCGCGATGCCTTGAACGACAACCCCGTTGAGCCGCTGCCAAGCTGGCAGGGATTCGATCGGGAGGTATTCGCGTTTCATCGTGAATTGAGTTGCAGGTTGTCCGGTTAAAATGTCGTGCCGGTGACGATTGCTGTCTTATCGATAAGCCCGGCCCCGAGCACGAACCGGTGGCTCTTACCCTTTTGGGACGAAATCGCATTGCAGCATAAAAACGTCATAGTACATAGTAGATAAAACCCAACGCCTTAACTATTCGAGGATCTACCATTACTCGCAATTCGCTACGCAATCACTGTATCTCTTCTGCTATGCCAATGCTGCACAACATGTCTGTTTCACGACAAGCTTGGCGGGTCAGCCTACTGTTACAGTCCGCCATACATCCACCAGTTCTCCGTGCACCACTTGGGGCCCGAGATTACTCCGTTTTCGAGGATTGGAAGGGGAGTTCGGCGGAGGAGCACACGCGCAAGCGGGCTAAGCATGGCGATACAGAGGATATACATTCAGAGGCAGCGGCCTCTGCATTGAAGGAGAGGAAAGCAAACCAGGGTATTGCGGATGAAACCAAGTCACATGGAATTACGGAGAGGGGCGGGACCAAGTATGGGAAGAAGGCTAAAGAGGAGCATCCCAAAGCGCCTGAGCCGGTCATTGGCATGAATGACGAGCGGCCAAAGGTCAGTTCATATGAATGATTGGGGAGTAGTTCATGTTGCTGACTGCCTTGGAATATTGCAGAAGGGATCTTGAAGTCAAGTATATTGCAGTGTTCTATTGTGTTCTTCGAGCTCGACATTTCACTGTCGACGCCCCAGATTTTGTGATACTAGTGAATTGGAGTAGAAAACGAGGTCATAAGACATTTCCATTACTAATGTCATATCATGGGAGAGACTGTACATAAACGGACTGGTCTACCGACCAACCTTGAACGATAGGATCTGCAAAGGTAATCAGTCAATCAACCGTATTCTATAGTTTAGCGGGGGACACTCACATCATTTTTCCCTACTGCCACAATATCATCCTCAGAGACTCGAGTTCCACCCACTCCTTCGACATAGTTGATAGGTACGTCGCCCATCACCTTCCGGGCAACATCGCCGACAGTACTGTTTCTGTGGAATGTCAGACAAGCTATATCAGCCTTGGGATAGGGAGTACTCACTTATTAACCAAAACACAGTCGCGGAATACGGCAGTTCCAGTGCCAGAGTTGAATGTCGCCACGTTCCGGACAGGGAACACTGGTACGAGGCCCAGAAGCTCTGCAGCTCGGGAAAGACATTGAACGACTCCGGTAGATCCAAATCGATACAACACCATGTCTTTCATGTTCTCAACCCGACTAGAGCGAAGTCGTTAGCAAGGCTACAAACTTCCTTTGGGCACTGAACATACGTTTTCAATTTTTCGTCCATCTCCTTGAGGCCTCCTCCATCTGGGTCGCCCATTTCGATCAAATCTTCTCGCGTATCGACAAACTCACTGCCCTCAACGTATTTGATGTACTGTTGCTTTGCCAGCCTTCGGAGGAAAACCTCAGATATAGCGGAGCAAAGCACAATGCTTTGGGGGTCTTGCATTTTCGCAATTTTGCTGATATTCTGCAATCCTTGTCAGAACGATATATAGGCCACCAGCCGGATTCTCGTACCTTGTCTGCATCTGGATGGTCGATCTTGTTCAACGCGAACACTGTGGGGAATTTCTCGTCGATGAAAGCATTAACAACAATCTCTACCGTCTCATCTGACCAATCTTCCAACGGCTCTTTTAAGGCAAGTTTATCCATAAATCGCGCAACAGTGGCGTGGGTACTTCCATAACCGGCAAACTGTTTCTGCAATGTGTCGACGGGGTTTGCCTCTGTGCTAAGGGTCAGTTCTGTGTTGTCTTAGAGGGAGTTAGAAAAGTTCACTGACTCAAGGCCTGGTGTCTCCTCTTAATAGAACCCCTAAGAATAGATCAGCATTTGTCCCTCATCTCGTTGTTGGAATTTGCAAACGTACCACCTCTCCATGAGGTTTCCTAGCACCCATCGCACGATCTCTGATCGCAACCACTCAATGTCTACTGATGGATCATATCCTCGAGTAGCCTTTCCTGTATATACTTATCAACACTGATTCGCGCCATTTATTCAATCCAGCACACCCAACTAACCTTCAGCATCCGTGGTCCCGCTCACATCCACAACGTGAATCAGAGCATCGGCGTGACGCAGATCGTCCAGGAACTTGTTACCTAGTCCGCGACCCTGATGCGCGCCTGGCACAAGACCTGCGACATCTAGCAACTCAATCGGCACGGACCGTCGCCCTTCGTGGCAGCCTCCGTAATTGGGCTGACACCGATCTGAAACATTGTGTCGCAGGCACGGGCAATCAATCTGAAGGTATCCGATGGCTCGCTGGGGGTCAATGGTTGTGAAGCTGTCGGATGTCAACACGGCCTGCGCGATCAATTGCGATAAGGTGGAGATGCTCGTGCAGAACAATCGGGGCTCACATACGGGAAGTTTCCTGTTCAGGGCATAGTTGATTAGCCTTCCGAAATTTGTTATAAGTTATAAAGCCGTTTCGGTTCACTTACCAACTTTCGAAGTCGCATCGGTCAAACTGTTCAATGTGGTGGATTTTCCGCTGGACGGCTGTATGCCCCTCGCGGTTAGTGGGGTGATGGAACAATGAAGGGGAACGGCATACCTTGCCCACCAGTCCAATCAACGGATCTCTAGGCATATTGCAGGATGAACGAAGAGCAAAATATAGTCAGAATAACACAATGACCAGATTCACCAAGTCTCCGCAGGCTTCGGAGACTGTCTTTCGATAAGAACATTTTCTGCCGTACCAAAAGGGAAAGCGGTAGTATTAATGGCCTCTATGTTTTTATGCCGCTTTAGGACGCCGACTACTCTTGAACTCGTCGAAATCTTTAGTTACTATGAAATGTGTCGATTGTCGTGCCTGAAGACAATTTTAGGATGAGCTGAGGATGACAACTGGATTTCTAGTCTGTTGGTCATAATTCACAGCGAAACACTATGGCCAACCGTTGTATATCGGCTCCGAGCCCCAGGGGCGGTTCTGGTGCTTGAATTCTAGTCCTTCGAAAAGCCTCATGAGGATAGGCTCCTATTTTGCTGCCACATATGAGCAAGGCGATGCACTAGGCTTAGATCGAGCTTGGGAGATTGCCCCTAATATCCATCGAACGTCCCCGATCGCGATTGAAATGTACCTAACAACCAAGAGCCGCGTGAACAAAACGATGAACTGAAGGGCATTGCATATCCAATCGGTCTATGACATCTCAGCTGTCTAGATTCAAGATATCTATTGGCTTATTGACAGCATCAGGGAATATATATAGCATCTTGTCATCAAAGCAAATGAACAGGTTTGCCACGTCAGGTGGCCAATCCTCGAGTTTTGCCCAATTGCCCAATTAGTTATTCTGCGCTGTTGATCTAACAGCCTAGAACCTCCAATAGAGACTAAATCCCCGAGATGAAGCAGACCCGGCTAGTTCTGCGGGGAGAATATCCATGACCGTAGATGCTATTTCGTCATTGTAGCAAACGTCACAGCGTCTTGCCATCGGCAAAGAAGGCGGTACATATGTACCTACAAACTAGATATATAAACCCTCAGCTATCTTGCTTCAAGATAGTATACTCAGGCACTTCTGACACTTCATCTTCGTGTACACCACCCATTCACAATTAAACTCCAAAATGACCGACGCTACTTTCCACACCACCATCCAGGACCTCCGCAGAGCCGAGTCCAAGCTTTCCCAATTGCACGGTGGCAACCCGCCAGCGAACTCGAATGTTTCTAGAATGAAGGTGGGTAATCCGCAACGCAATACCAGGTAGAAAACAGATCACTAACATATCCTCCATAGTCTATCATCGACCAAAACAGCAACAAGCCCGCAAAAATCGAGCAGGTCAAGGCTAACCTGCCTCTACCTGATCAACCTCCAGTTGCTAGCGACTGGAATTCCCTTGACCAGCGCATTACTGGCACTGGCTCTGGGCGTGTCGAGTTCCCTCCCGATAACAGTGGCCTGCGTGGGGCTCCGGCTTCAGGCAGTAGTGCTAAAGAACTTGGACTCTAGGGTGTTGAGGCACTATAGCACCCTCCCTCTGATGCTACAACCCCTTTGTCCAATATATGATTACAAGGATGTATTATGTGTATGATAGTCATTTTGTCAAGTCATTACGAGTGAATAAATGAATTCAAAATTCCTTCCTTATTAATTTTTATACTATTCTAGAATGAAATCGTAAAATTCTACCATTTTAGAGTATGTTTCATGAACTATTGAACAGTGCAGATCCGAAAGTGGCCATGATATATAGATTTGTCGAGCCAAACTTCATGTACAATAAATGCACAAAGGTATTCTTGCTGCCATAACAATACATATATGCCATCTGACTTAGTTTCAAATTTACCCTAAATACAAGAATAAATGCTGGGATAATGAGGGTTGTATACATCGCGCAGCAAATAAATATGTTTGCATTGTTTATAATTAATTATCAGAGTCTAGACCTGACGTCAATTGCCTCTTCCTTGCAATGCCAACTTTCGGTCTGGAGATGCATTTCAGACAGGGTGCTGGATAAGCATGTGGAGAACGGGTTTCCCATTTTGATGCTTTCTAGAAGTATGAATACATCAGAGGGGGCCTGGTGCCCCACTGCCCCCTTGTATCGGTTTCTCCAGCCACCAACCAGAATGTCAACTCAAGCATAACGAATTAATCCAACGGCGACTAGCTGACAAAATTCCAAGGTCAAGCCTGCATACATCTTGTATAAACCCTACTAGTAGCGTAAGTGTGACATCAATGCTTTTTGGTACGATCGGTTTCGATGAGAGCACCAGATACTTTCAACATGTGGTTCGGTCATAGCTCACTGCTTTCATATATAGATCTGCCACCACCACCGTGTAGCATCTCTATCATTCAATTAAATCCCTCTCTTCTACCACACATATCTTCAATAATTCAAATCTACCTCTCTTACTTTTCCCACCATATCATTATGGATCTCCAAGGCACCCCTATTTCTCACAGCAGCCGCGGCACCAAGGTCACCAACGACCCTCGTTCACAGCAGCCCATAGAAGAACCATCTGGCCCTATCACCAATGACTCGCTTGCCGCCCAGTCTATCCGCCAAGGCGGCGGCTTCTCTGGGAACCGTGGCGCCGAGCCCATGGGCGTCTCAGGAAACCAATCCACAGTAAAGAATACCGATACATCCGCCTCCACCAAGCTTCCATCCGCATCATCTAGCGCTCAACGCCAGGATCGCCATGAGGAACAGAAGTACCCCGAATGCGTGGTTGGTCAGGGTAACTTCCCTGGCACACACATGGACAACTCTGGGTATGCCGGTGGCTCAACTGCGGCCAAGAGAGAAATGGGCATCAAGGCTGGCGAATACTCTACCGCCAGCGGCAGTAGTCGAGGCACTCAGCACAACGCCGGTGGCATCCAAGAGGGTGACTTACCCCCCGACGATGCTAAGAATGCTAGCTTCGCCTCGGAAATTGGCTCAAGCGAGGACCCTGGCCGTGGGGCTATCAACCAGTTCCAGCGCAACAACGCCCACTCTGTTAATGATACTGGCCGCGTCCAGCAGAAGGGCGTTGATGCTCAGAATCTATATGAGCAATTAGAGAGTGACCAGCGCGCTTAAGTATCCATTATTTGAGATTTGGCCCAATGTGTTTCATCTTTTTGAAAAATGCAAGCGAGCGTGCTTTGATTGGACTCTGCCTGAGACTGAGGATATGATGAACTATTAGTATATGATTCTATACACTTATGTACAATCTATAGCACCTAAAAATATGACCGTTACATCTTTTGGATTTTTTCACTCCACATCAATATCTTAGCCTCACTTTCTTCGCTATTCTACATTATGTGCATTATTCGACCCTTTCTTGTTGGATAGGTGTAACTATTCCTTTACTAGCCTAGGAGTGTATTATTCATTGCGTTCATCAAAATACATCATATATTTCTCAAGATATAATTGTCAATTTCAATACCACAAAAGAAAATTAGTCGATCAACGATTGTACAGATGAGATATATCAGAAGAGACGATAATCATCCTCATCCGATTCTGAACCCGAGTCCGATTCATCGCCACTATAAATAGACTCTAGGAACTCATAGCCGTATTCTCCCACGAAGCGCGGCCGGCTTCTTTCCGAAGGAGCAATAATTATTCTCAAGGGGACCTTCATCGTCTCATCCAAACCCACATCCCGCTCCTCACTATCTGGAACCTGATCACTTTCCCTAGCGAAAGCCTCTGCTCTCCGCTTCCAAAGATAGTTCCCCAATTCAAGCAACCCAATGGTGAAAATAGCAACCCAAACCATCACCAGGAGAATAATCACTGTCGTAAAAACTCCTGGAAGAGGATCCTGCGGGAACGTCATGACCTTCGATCTGAAAGGTTTAAAAGAGAAACGGTACGCAAAGAAAGAGATTGAATGGTTTGATGAGGGGTGGGAGGAAGATGCAGGCGTGGTATGTTTGTGCTCATTCTTTAGAGCGTTTTTTGTGTGCATATAGTGTATAATCTTGCTGTAGTGACTTTGTTTCTGAGTGGCAAGTGGTTTGACTGAGCTCTCCTGGTCTTCCGAGGAGTGATGTCCCTGGTTTTCTCTCGTATGCTGGTTGTAGTCATTGTGTATTTGCCCGGGTATTTCTGGGGACGCTGGGATCATGATCGAGATGGTTGGTTTCCCCGTCTCGGAAGTTCCTGTTGTATAGCGATTATTTGGTGTGTCTTGCTCTGTTGGTTCATTGTTTTGCTTGGTTGGCCATGCTGGGTTCTATAGGTGGATATACTAGGTAAGTCACCGAGTCACCAATATAGGATTTGCGACTTACCCAGTTGTATTTGACGGGTGGTGGGCTAGGTAATAGATTGTAGGGACCTTTCTCAAAGACTTTCCATATTCCACGGACATTGAGATCTTGGAATTGTTCTGCCTTGACCCATTTGCTGCTTTGAATAGGATGGGATGTCGTTGATTGAGTAACAGCCAAAATAAGTGCGAGTGTTATAGTGGAGGAGCGGTTGATTTGCATTGTCGGAGATATAAAAAGGGAATTGACTAATATGATAGCCTAGTACATGCAGAAGTAATGAAGTGGTCGCCGCAGAACGAGGGCATTAAGTTCCTTATAGCATTTTTCAAGGACAGGGGAGATATTAACCGCAAGGGCTGTGCCTTGAACACAAGGAAGAAGCTGTGTAGGACAGAGGGAACCCCCTCTCAGATCGGTGCCTAATACTAAATCTGTCCCTGGATCTAGACTAGCGTTAGAAGATCTGCAAGCTTGGAATCGGATTTACCAGGGCTTTATGCATAGTGATTGGCTGAGAGATTGATATCTGCGCGCTCGGGGTATGCACTCCATCCCTTGTTCAATGTCAAAGGCGAGGAGGGTTCTAGGGATTGATCATATTGATCGGCCTCAACCCAGAACGCCACTGTAATAATTTATCATACCATGCAAGGCCAATTGCCCAGGCTAGGCCTTTCACACGATAAATTCATCGCTATGCGGATCTTACGTGCTATCTATAATGCCCGAGGTCGCTACGGAGTACGCCGTGTGATTGATTACATCCGCAAAAATTTACGGTTGCCTGGAATGAGGGAATTGATACTATCGAATACTGGAGGGGCTTGAGAGCCATTTCATGTGCGGCCCGTTGTTCGACCGCACAACGGGATTATACCGTCAGATTTCTCCAGAAGATCAACTCCTACAGCAATCAGGCACAACGTGGTCTATGCAAGTGTCACACTTGCTGTGGGGCAATGACTGGGATTTGCATGGGATGTCCATTAAAATTAACCGAGACCTTACTTAGAACCGACAGTCTATGAGGTTGGTATCTCATTGGAATTCTTGCCTTTTTCGTACACCATTGAAATAACGCCGAGTTGGAACAAAAGAGCAAATAGAAAGATACCCATAGGCCGGACCCCATAAGACATGCACCGTCTGAATAGACGGTATCAGAAACCTGTACAACCAGAGAACCCACTCGCAGTGAACAGTGTGGGAAGAGCAAATAACAAAAGGTAAAACAGACAAGTCGAGAACATTTTTAGACTGTCAGCTTCTTGAGCTCCTTCTGGGTCAAACCAGCGAGCTCCTCGAACACCTTGGTGAACTCCTCATCATCCTCCTTCTTGCCCTTGGCGGCCTTGGGGGTAACCATGACCACACTGGTAGGGCGCTTGGTGGCAGCGGAAGCACCAAGCTCAGCGCGGGAGGTGACAAAGACGTAGGGAATGCCGTGGTCCTCGCACAGGACGGGAATGTGGGAGATAACGTCCATGGGGGAGATATCGGCAGCGAGAACGACAACACCGCTGGGGACACCGATGGGAGCGTTGGCGGCGGGGATGGGAGACTTGCGGAGAGCCTTGACAACCTCCTTGACACCACGCTTGAGAGACTTGTTGACGGCAGCTAGAAAGGTAAATGTTAGCATAAATGATCTGGAGATAAGAAAAAAAAAGGTGCGTAACCATGCGATTAGTAGGCATGGACGATCCGAGGATACGATGAAGTCGACCATGCACACTGATGGTAGAAGAGGGAAGCAAGGTTTTGAAAAAGATATTGCACATACCCTTCTTGACACTCTTCAGGACCTTCTTGGCCTGCTTGTCCTCAACCAATGGGTTGGCGAACGGCACGAGAGCGCCAATGGGACGCTCGACGGCGTCGACCTCAGTCTCGTCCTTGGCAGCGACAGCGCTGGTCTGCTCGAGACCCTCCATGGCCTCAGGGTCAATCTCCTTCTCTACTGCATCGACAAGAGCAGTCTTATCCTTCTTCTCTTTCTTCTCCTTCTTGACCTTGTGCACACCGTCCTTATCCGCACGCTTCTCCTTCTTCTCAGCGCGGTCCTTCTTCTCGACCTTGTCCTTGCCCATAGTGACGGTTGTGGGGGATTAAACGGGAAAAATTGAGTAAAATCGAACGGGAGACCGAGGTGAGGAAGACGAGTCACGGGTGAGGGTGGTGAACTGAGAATTCGATGCCGAAATCGAAATAATTTTTAAAATGGCGCTAACCCCCTTTCGGGTACAGTTTACTGCTGACATAATCCTAAACAAGGCGGCGCCCGCCTTTAACCATCTTCCCTTTGATACAGCTCCAGGACAAGTTGCGCAGTGCTTCTTGCCTCATGCCCCATTAGACAGGAATTTCCGTGGGGCTTATAATAGCCTGATTCTTACTGTGAGCTTTAACGGATCTCCACGTTATTTTAGCGCAACAACTGACCTCTCCTGCTCTTAATAGATGGACCATAGCCAGAACAACCGACAGGCTTCCCAGCTCATTGCTGGATTTGGCTCACCGTCGACACCCTCTGGTGCACGGAGTACTATGCGACAATCTGGCCGTTTCGCACAATCTCAAGCCCAGTCCCTTCAACCCATTCATGGTAACGCGATACCCTGCTCAGACTCGCGAGGCCTGGAACGGAAAGCTGACTGGTTCGTCTAGATGCGGAAAAAGATGAGCTGCGCGTGCAATTGAGTGCTCTCAAATATGAGCTCGAGAATATCAAGCAGGAACGAGAGTTAGAGGCTCTTCGCCATGAAAAAGAGACCCGCGACTTGCAACTGAAAGCGGATGCAGACTTTCGAAAGGCCCAGGTGATTTGCTTGAAAATTCTCATTTTCCAACAAAATAAACTGACAATCTTCGCTGCAGGCTGCCGAATCTTCGAGTAATCGGGCCACCCATAAGAGCGACGAACTCACAAAAGAATTGAAAGAAATTCAAGATCAGGCTTTGAATGACAAACTTGCGTTTGAGCGCAAGATTAGAGGCCTCCAAGATGAGAATCAAAATTTGCAGGAAGAGTTTGATGACATTCAGGCTCGACTTTCCGACCAGGAACGACAATTCAAATACCAGATCAACGAGTTAGAGACAGTCCGCGCTTCTCTACAAAAGACTATCGAAGAATTCCAGAACGATATCCAAAATGCTAGGACATCACAGGAATCAACGCAGGAGAAATTATCCCAGCGCGAATCCGAGGTCGCCGAACTCGAAGCGGAGAATATTCGACTCAAGGCTGAAGGAAACGATGCCGAGGCTCTGACTGTATTAAAGAGAGAACTTTCCGAGCAGGTCAATCATATTCGGGAATTGGAGTCAGCAAACCGTGATCAAACATTGGAGCTTCGTCACCTTCGGAAAGTCTCGAAGAACGTTGAAGTCGTCGAAGAACAAAAGAGATCAGTGGAGAACCAGCTCCAGTTGATGAAGGGCTTTGAAGCCGAACTTAACACAGTTAAGATTCAAAAACAGATTTTGGAAGATGAGCGACAATCTTGGGTCAGTCTTTTGCAGGAAAATGACCAGCCTGCAGAGTTTGACTCGCCAGATGCTATTGTGAGGGCGGTAGTTCAAGGACGAATTGAGATTGCTACGCTCCTTGATCGTCTCGGAACTGTTGATGCCCAATTCCTTGAGAAAGACGAGGCTATCAAGAGCCTCGAGAATGATAAAAACAATATGCAACAGGAGTTGGAGAAACTCCGCGTTGCGACTGCTGCTTCTGCAGGAGGCCCGGGTGCCGCGGAAGCCCGGCTTCGAGCTCGACTGGAGCGCCAGCGTGGTCTTGCAGTGAAAGAAGTTGAATACTTGCGCGCCCAACTCAAGACATTCGATGCAGAAGAGGCGACAATGCATGAAGATCCATCACAGTTTGATGAACAAAAATCCGAGCAAATAACCCAGCTGCAACAACTTGTTGATGAATACCGCGGTGAGCTCCATAAAGTTCATGAAGAGCTCTCCAAGCAGGAAGCACCGAAAGAAGACCAAGCCGAACCTAGGGGAGTTAAGCGACCTCTTTCTCCGACCAACAGCGAAGCTGAAAGCGAACGTATGGCTGTGCTCAGCCGCAAGAACCGTAAGCTCCAGGAACATCTCACCAAATCAGACCAGGCCACGACTCTCGCTCGCCGAGAACTGGATGCGGCTAAGTCACAGATTAAGTCTTTGAAGGCCAAGTCACGTACACGCGTTCTTGAACTGCGTGATAATCCGACCGCCCAAACTGAGCAAATTAAGATGACTACTCTTGCAACTCTCCAGTCGGCGAACAGAGACCTCATGGCACAGCTACGTGGTGGCCACAGTGATGTCAAAGTCGTCCCAGTCAGCACCCTGGAGAGCCTCAAGCTCGAAATGCAAGACATGGAGCGCACTGTCGCTGATAAAGAAAAGCGCATGCGCCGACTAAAGGAGATCTGGACAGCTAAGTCCTCTGAGTTCCGGGAAGCTGTCGCCTCTCTCCTTGGTTTCAAGCTTGATTTCTTGCCGAATGGTAGAGTGCGTGTCACTTCCATGTTCCACCTCTCCTCCGCATACCGGCATGGCGACAGTGATGCGCCTTCTGACTCTGGCCCCGGCAGTATGGGCAATGGTGAAGAAAACTCCATCGTCTTCGATGGCGAGAACGGCACTATGAAGATATCAGGCGGACCGAACAGTATGTTTGCCATGGAACTCAAACCTCTCATCAAATTCTGGGTTGAGGAAAGAAAGGATATTCCATGTTTCCTGGCAGCCATGACCTTGGACTTCTATGACAAGACCACCCGCGCTGCTAGGATGTGATATGTCACATCAGTATCACATCCGCCATGTCTTTTCTTCCCTTATCTTTCATCTCTGTATTTCTGTGATTCCCCGGCACATGCTGATTTGTGCTATGTATGCTCTTGTCGTTTATTATAGGCAATTTGTTTATGCAGTAATTAAACCAAACTGCATATATATTTCCCTTCTTTTTGTATCCAATACGTTCAGAATAAAATGGTTCAATTTTAGATATAGGAGGGAAGCCGCGTCCCGCAATAATCCAATCCCAGTCCCAAACAAACCCCCTTCGTTCACCACCATCCCTCGTCTATGGCCATACACTTCTTCATTGCCACTGTTGCGATGCAAATGACACCGACAAAGGATCAGCAGCCATTGAGCATGGCTGCACCACAGCAGAAATCATCACGGCCAGAGCGCAAGCGACCGGATCACCCGCCCCATGAATCCACAACTCGGCATCTCCTTAACGCGAGAAAATGGACGGTACTCCAGACCTCTATCGGCGGACGAAGTGTTAAGAAATCTGCAAGTCTAGGCACAAAATATGAAAGGGGGATGGTTTGCGAGGTTAGCCATCTCTCGGCTTATTCGATCACCTATCCTAATTAATTCCTAATGATCTTGCTCTAGTTCCATCCTGACAGCTTTGCCGCACTACGTCGTGAATATTCTGTCTTATCTATTATTTCTCAGATCCCCTCCCCGATCGGCCACCCTCGCATCATAAGTGCCGATTTCGAATCTGGTGTTCTTGTGCTAGCCTGCCCGAAGGTCTACTGGACGCCACTTTGGCGGCGTGTCAACGAGCCAGCCCTTGATCTCGATTCATTACTTCAGATGAAACGTGAATTGCTCGACTATATCCAATTATTGTACCTCAAAGGTGTTGAATATAAAGTCAAACCGAACAATCTGTTTCCTCTCAGAAAATCGGCTGGCGGCTGGCTACTATATTTGGGTGGGTGGGTGGAGACGGATTTTTGTTCCACACCAGGTCGAATCCAATCAGCCGAGTGGAAGGCGCAAGAGAAAGAGCAGTTGAATGAGGTAGAGCGGATGTTTACTGAACTCTGTGCTCGTGTGAATGAAAGAGATAAAGCGGTATGTAATGTGGCCAAACACGATGATCAAAGATGAGGAACCAGTTTGAATGATTAATGCACGTATCAAAATGCCTTCTCACAACATCGCAATTACAGACTAGCATTGAGTGAAGTAAGCTAATATTCACCAATTTATGTGACTACGTACTGCTAACTGCCAACGTACTGGGACATCAAAATGTAGCAAAGAATGTTCTTCAATATATCACGCTGTGCTAGCTTTGGTACCACCAACATGGGAGCTTCATACCAGGATCGGCAAAGACGTGGACTATTTCTCAATTCTACATAGGTATTATTAATGACATTTCTCTCGTCCTCCGACGCACCGACACCTTCCAGCAAGTCAGTTGTGTTTTCCTTGGACTGTGAGCGCTTAATAATGACTCAAATCAGTCTCTCCTGCCATGCCGTTCGGCCTCGCGAGCGGCTAAATCCTGGATATAGAAGCCGTCATAGAACCCGATTCGATCGAATGACTCCATTGTCCCAGTGAATTTAAAATTGGAATTCTCTGGGTTGGACATGATGTCTCGCAAATCCTCCCAAAGCTCCTCCCATGTGTTCAGGTCGATGTTCTCATGCACCTGGCCATCATAGTATTCGAGGCGCATAGTCCCAAGATTTAGTCCCAACTCTTTGCAGTTAAACAGTCTCCAAATCGCGTAATTGAGCATCGCTAGAACACGCTCTGGGATCCCATGGCAATATTTGTATTTTGCTCGGAACGCTGATGTTCTCTCGCGATGCTCGTTCCATTTGACGTTGAAGTGGGTCCGTGCCATCTTCATTGGCAAACTGGGCCCAGAGGATAGTCACTTTGATAGGGTGAAGGCGATCAGTATCGAATATATAATCTGCTGGAGGTTTTTCTACATCTCGATTGTTCGTTGAATTATCCCTCGGATTCCCTTTACCCGGCAGAAGGTCCCTGGACAGCCCCTTGAAAGGCAAACGTTCTGGAGTTGCACATTCTCTCAGCGGCAGGAGATTCGAGCTAAGTTCCGCCAGGTTTTCGAGTATACTTTTCCAGCACCTCGATTACTATAGCGTACCTGAAGCTAACTAATAGGGATTAGAAAGCTTATCCCATTCGGATACCAGCCACAACTTCCAAAATCCTCTAAGATCATCTACGATTGGGCTAGCGGAGAGATGTATTATGCCCTATCCTATTATTTACAATGTGATGAGCTGGTAGTGTTTAGGCATATCTGCAGATTTCCCCACCCGGACCGTATTGACACAAGTAGAAAGTGGGATGATCAAATTTACGTGATGTATACACTCGCTCTGGAATCCACGCTGATGGATAAGTACTTTCCCGTAAAGAGCACTGATTTGTATCATGACGAGAAGGGTTGGAGGTGGTAAGTGGCCACAACAAGGCCGCCTCCAGTGTCTCAGCCCTGGTGAAGGTCACCCTAACAATGCAGAATAACATGATTGTCCTGCACTGTGAGAATAGTCCAAGATACTAGTTATGCTTTTCTTGCCTGTTACAGACAACTATCACTTACAGACGACCCATAGACGCTGTGGGAGAAGACAATGTAAGCGACTGACCAACTGACTGTACAGCCCTCACTCAACTTCATCTGGAAATAACTCCGTGGAAATGGATTCAACTCTTCCCTGGGCTGAAAGACTTCGAAGTTTAAATCGAGGAGAGCAAGGGGCAGTCGTTGTCTACATAGCTACTGCAGATATAGATGGATAGACCTGTCATCTCCACGGGTTGGTAAACATAATTAAGTGCAGGTGTCTATGGGACTGCCCAGTAATCACCTTGTGCTTTGAAATAGTACATAGAACTCTATGTTCGCGAAATGAATGTCTAACTACACAGAAACGATATCCAGAACGAACAGACAAAGAACAAAATTCATAAACAAGAGAAACGCTATTTGCAATAGAAAAGACTCGGAACACGAGAGACGATCAGGGGAAGACAGAAAGATCACAAAAGGAAAAAAAAAGTAATTGCATAATCCTAAGCTTTTGATGCTCCCGTTATGGGCCCTATCTGTAGGTAGGATGCATATGCTGTCACAAATAATCCAGACAGTGGACAAATAACAGAAGAAGGATCGCATGGAAGGAAATATATACGACCAGGCGCGGGCAGTTCGACCACGTCTTGCGTAAGAAATATCTAGGAAGAGACATACTTTCCACTGATCAGCTTGCGTGTCGTTGGGACGCCCAGCCATGAAGCTGCGGACTGGGTCTCACGACCCTCGTCTGCAAAGGGATCGGCTTCCATCTGCTCTGACTCCGAGGTAGCACGGCTGATACCTAGCTGAGAAGCGGATTCGGCGTTGCGGAGCTCGAACTTTGCTTCAACGGTACCCTTGCGAGGCCCGGGAGTGGACGTCACGAAACGGACAAGGAACTTGCCCTCTGCACCTGGTGTAGTGGGGGCCTTGACTTCCAGCTCAGGGATTCTCCATGTGACGGTGGAGGTTTTGCGACGGAAGACGGCACCGGTATTGGGGTACATGGCGGCGCTGACGGCGTGGGAAACTGACTCGCGTGGCTGCTTGGTGACTGGGTCCTCGGTGGCGGTGTCCAAATTGATGGTCAAGACCAAGTTCTTGAGGGTAATTGGCTCCCCTGTGTGGGAGACGAAGGATGGGTTGAGCGTGTAGTAGATGATGGCGCTGGCCTGCAATTCTTCTAGGTTCCAGACTGGCTTGAATATCACCGGACAGTAGGCGGAGGGGTTGGTAGGGTCGATATGGAGTTGATACTTGAATGCGACTGTCGGTATGGGGCGGGAGATGCTGCCCAGCTGGATATCGTATTCGCCTCTCTTGTCATCGCCGGCGTCTCTGGAAGCGTCCTTGACAAAGTGGGGATTGGCCGCTACCTTTTCCAGCACTTGGAAGTTATCGAGTCGGATGCGCGCATGGTCTACCGCAGTACCAGGTGTGGAGTTGTTTGCCAGAGCAAGCTCACCAACGACGAAGGACTTGGTGACATTACCCTCTGAGAACCATGCATTGATGGTCTCAATGACTGAAGCATTCAGGCCTGTTTCATATAGATCAGGATGAACTGAAGCTCCCAGACCAGTAGTGTGTCCAGAGCGAATGGACGTAGTATCTGACATAGCGTGATCATCTGTAGCAACACTGGGGGCAATACTGGGGGAGGTCATGTGTCTGATTGGCGAGGTTGGTTGCTGAGACTCTGATCCTGCCGAGGATGGTGGAAGCTCATTGCCAGGAGAAGCAATAAAGACTGTATTGCGAACATCACGGCGTCCACGAATGGTGCCTGCATTGCGTCTCATTCCTGGCTGTGGAGCCCGCTGTATAACAAAGTAAGTATTGTACGCAATGCCTGAGGAGTGGGGAGACACAGGCTGTCACTAACCATTCGGAGGGTATTTGCCATATCATTCATGGCCCGCGTCGCCTGGCTCTCATCCTCGAAGATGGGCTGGTCTCGAATCGTCAAATTCAGACCAGACTCATCCAGGCTGTAGTGATACTTGTCAGCAGTTGTCCATTACCATTTTGACAAGGTCACCTACCCCGATGCCTCATTCTGTGCACGCGTGATTTCGTCAATTGTGGCGGGACGCTGGGTGAATCCTTCGGAATCAACATGTGGCTAAAGATGATATTAGTCAGTGGTTATTTCATTTTAATTCGCAAATCGCTGGTTGGTAGTTCACCTGATTGACATGGTCATTGGTCAACCCAAGACCTTCTGGGGCAGTTCCATTTCTGGCGGCCTCTGGATGCACTTCAGGCATAGCTGCAGCAGTGTCTAATCCAGCACGATCATGCGACACACTGGGATTCCGCAAGGATGAGTTATCAGTAAAGGATGTACCCGGCCGATCAGGAGCGGTCGTGGGGGGAGATTCAGGTATTTGCAAATCGCGAGAGTCGGCTCGCTTGAATGCAGCAAATGGACTACGCTTCTTCTCTGCCTTTCGGTCAAAAGATCCAGCCGAGGGTAAGGCAACGCTTTTTCTCCTGTTCATGACAGTGCCAAGACGTCTCAATCCCCCCAATGGAGTATGTCGTGGCTGCGCTTCCGGAACTGAATAAATCGTGAGAACTTGCATCTAGAGTGGGATCGTAACATAACTATAAAACTCACCTGGCGCTGGCGGTGCCTGAGAAATGGCGTGTCTCTCAGAGGCCTCGGATAGTTGGCTTGCCGCATCATCCTGGATGCGTGGAGGGGGCGGAAGCGGTGCCTCTGTTGCTGGTGTGGAAAACTGACGCTCGGTTGGCGCAGTCGGTGTCCGCTCATATCTCGGTTCAAATGTGGAAGGCGTCTCCGCTCGTTCAGTCTGGCTTCTGGTGATGGCCTGTGTCACAGGGACACGGGGGCCAGCCATTCTAGCAGCAAAGGTTTTGATCTCATCTGCCGTTTCCACATTGAGAAGAAGATTCAAGCAGCTTTCAGCGGCCTGGCGACCACGCTCGACTTGATCCACCTCATGAGTCTCCAATTGTGTTAGCACATCCCGAAGGTGGTTGAGCCGGGTCTCATCGGCGGCCTGAAGTTGCTCGAAAACAAACGGAGCCCGCGAATCCCATTGCTGATGGACTTCTTCAGCATTGGCGATCTCGCTAGCAAGTTTGTCTGCACCCTTGGCACCCCTCGCCCTGGCCTTGTCCACCTTCTTCTGTGCAGTCTCCACATTCTTCGCCAGCCCCGCCAGACTACTCTGGATACCGGGCATCGACTTCATCTCTGGACTCTTGCTGCTAAAATCTCTTAGAGGTCGCTCAACATCCTCCTCTATCTTGTTCGCAAGGATTTCGTGCGACACGGCGAGCGTTTCGGTGGCACTGATTATACGTTGCCAGGGGATTTGGAAAATGCTAGTTTCACATGTCAGAATGATCAACGGGCGCGGAAAAACTTCAATCTTCCAGGAAAGGGCCAATTTACCCAAGAGCAGCTGCATTGTCTAACTGTGGCCGATGCGCCAGCTTCCGCAACCCTTGGGCGTATGCTTCTTCAACGCGACGTCGTTCCTATCGCCAATGTGTCAACACCAATGTCGGTCCCCGCTTGCAGATCTCATTACAGAAATCTGATCGCATCGGATTACAGATTGTCATACCTGCAGGTAATCAGCGATATCCGCATTGATCTTATTTATGACTCGAATGCGATCGTTCAGGACAGTTGTAGCTTGGCCGGGATGCAGGGTGGCCTAGATAAAAGAAATATCGCCAATGGTCAGTATCTAGATGCTGTGTTGGCCAACCACAAAGCTCGCCATGCTCAATCTTACCAGCAGCGTTGGGTACTCTTGTCGTGAGAGTTCCATGATTCAGATTCCGGGGTAATGAGGAAGGTAGCGCACGAAGCGCATAACATGAAACAGAGAGCCAAGGAATTCCTCTAGTCTTCGCACCAAGAATAGTCCAATCTTTAAAGTATGTGAAATGAATGCGGGATCGGACTGAATACTAGTGTCAAGTGTCAGTTGTAGCGTGTCATTCGATGTTGGCCGAGGACGGCAATGGGGATGAATGACGGAGGGAGTTATGGTAATACAGTACTTGGCGGTATCAAATCAACCATATTGCCTGAACACGGTTACTTACGTTACTGAATTGTAATCGCCCGTTGATTGGTCACATGACATCATCCAGGCGGTTGACGTTGGCGCCTTACTGCCTCAGGTTGAAATCTGATAGGAACTCTCCATGGTGGAATAGATCTCCCCCTATGTTTACTTTGCTTTGATTATAGGCTATGCACTGGTATAGCAACTGCAAGAAAGTATAAGGTAGAAGTCATAATAGCTCGCTTAGCAGTGGTTCTTGTCCATCATGTCCTGGAAGGACAATTTTGGGTTCGCAGATCGGCTGCGAGCCATACAGTCTCTGTGAGTGACTTTCCCGTATATGTCAACATGAGCACTGGATTGATGTGCGTGTAGCACAACGGCTTACCAGCAAGCTTCTTCCTCGCCTACGTCAGCATTTGCAGAAGCTATGGCCCAAGCGAGGCGGCTTGAAACCGAGGCATATGACAAGTCGACCTCAAAAGTGAGTCGTGCGCCGTCTAAAAATGGAAATGAAAAAAAAAGCGCTTCAGCTGAACCTGTTCCATCTAGGACGAATATGAGTCCATTTGCCAACAGGCGATTGATGAAGCTGAATTGGCAAGATCCACAGAGCTGGTCACTAGCATCCCACAGCATGGTGAGGATGACCATGAAGAACTAGAGACCTCAACTGGGGAAGTCATCGGTCAATATCAGTCTTGTTCCCATCATTACGGTGGTCTGCACTCCTCCATCTACAAATCAAAGTTGGAAGATGGGACTATTCGAGCAGTGAAAGTCACCATTCCTCATATGATGACAGCGCCCCATGATGCCCATCGTGAAGCAAGGTTGCTGCGAGAAGCTGCTCACACACATATAATTCCATTGATCGAGACTTTTAAGCTTGATGGGGGCAGATTTGTCTTGGTCTTTCCTTTCTTGCGGTATGACTTCGAGCAGTTGCTCCGACGAGACATGGTAAGTGCTACTCAGACACGATCGATTCTGCGGGACCTGTTCCGTGCCCTTGCCCATCTCCACAGCCTGGGTATACTTCACCGGGACATCAAGCCTTCCAATATCCTAATGGACTCTCCAAATGGACCCGCCTATTTGGCAGACTTTGGCGTTTCATGGAAAGACGGCGATGCGGGATCTGAGCCGCCCACGCAGAAAATCACCGATGTGGGCACGACCTGCTATCGACCTCCAGAAATTCTCTTTGGGTTCAAAGAGTATGGAACATCCCTTGACATCTGGGCTGCCGGTTGTGTGGTGGCAGAAGCCATTGCCGTCGGCCACCACCAGCTCTTTGACTCTGGGCCAGTGGGCAGCGATCTGTCGCTAATTTTCTCCATCTTCAAACTACTGGGCACCCCGGATGAACAACGTTGGCCGGTAAGCTCACGCCTGTGACAAATGCAAAAATTATTAATAACCATTGAATAGGAAGTTAAGGTATTGCCAGATTGGGGGAAAGTGGAATTCCACTCGTTCCCCACACAGCCCTGGGAGGACATTCTCCCAGGTGCATCTTCAAATGGCCGTGATTTAGTCAGCCATCTATTGTGCTACGAGAGCAGCGAAAGATTCTCTGCATTAGAGGTATGTGACCTGACCTGATGTCTCACATTAACCTCTGACAATTAGCTTAGGCCCTTGCCCATCCATACTTTTCTCAGGCTTGAAGCAATGGTATGACATGGGCACATGAAGGGAGTAGCTACGCCACACTTGCGCCTCGCACCAGTAGATCGGAGAATCACAAGTGTGGAAGTGGACCTGCAACTGAATTATTAACATTACAACATACAAAGCAGTCAAGTTTTAGCACTATACAGAGTACTCCGTACCTAATAGGGATCTACATGTACTGCCTACCATTGTATCTCACATGTAGGTCACTAAATATTAATACGAATGTGTTTGTAGCGTAACCCCTGGGGACCTGCATGAGCACAACAATAACGTGCCACGCATTATTATTTACCAAAAATTGGGATTGACCAAAACTGAATTTTCGGCAACGCCGGAAATTACATTCAGTGAGCGATCAATTAAATGTGGCGGTTGTGGTTAGCGTGAAACAACTATATATTAGTCTGTGCCCCCGGGGCCCGCGTGCAGGGCCACGCTTTAGCGAATGAGCCGTTTGGGGGCGGGCAAATGGGGTTCCCAGGATACGGGTGATGAGATTTGTCGACTTCCCGTGTTTTTTGCCAAGTTTTTCGCAAATTAGATTGTGTATCAGGAATATTTTTAGCTGAACTACACTATACATAGTACAGTGCACGTACGAAGTAGTATATAGAATGAAAAAGCAATTTCATCTGATCTATAGTTCATAAAAACACCAAAGAGAAGACTTAAAGTAAAGAGGGTCAAGGTGTTCTCGACCGTGGGGCTGGTATCTCTTTCGGGCCAGGTACCGTTTTTACAGCCAATCAGAACGAAAAAATCATTGGACATCGTTGCCTATTTTGGGTTAGCGTGTTGTCTATACAGGGTCCCAAGATCTCATTTCGGCTCTTCGTGATACCCCGGGGCTCATATGGGCTTTTCTCTTCCCTTGACTCTTTGCTTCTTTTATCCTTTCCCCCCCATTCTTTTTTTTTTTTTCAATTTGTACGACCTGGAAGTCGACGTCCTTTCTTTTATTCTAGACTTGACAATCGGCTGTGCTCGATTTCAGTCGTCCATTCTTTCTATCCACATTCCAACTGTCATCGTCCCAGAGACGCGGATTCTCGGAAAATATTCGCATTAGAATCTTGGATTATCCCTCTCTTTAGGAGAAATACCCCTTCTGAATCCCAATCCCTAACACTCACCACCACTTCACGATATCCAGGGATACTGGAATCGACAACATGCACGGGCATGCACACCACAACCATGCGCGTAATGTGGAGGAACTAGCGGAGCGAGGAGATCTTGAGGAACGAGGCGATGTTGTGATTGTTTACAAGACCATGGAACCGGACTTTGAAGGCGAAGTGGGAGGTTATGTAACTGGCGACCAACACACCACTGCTACGAGACCGCACGCTGGTCTTGGTGATCCTATCACTGCGGCTGCGCCTAAACACACAACCGAGGTCAAAACTACATCTATCGATGAGGAGGAGGAGGAGACCACAACTAAGAAGAAGGAGGAACCGACTACCACCAAAGAGACCGTGGCCCACACCACTCGTGAAACTAAAGCAGAGACCACCGAGACCAGCGAGGCTGAAACAACCCACAGGAAAGCAACCACTACGGATGAGTCGAAGGCACCTATCACAACAACCTCCTTTGTGACTTCAGCATCATCCACCTCGGAATCCTCCCAGGATGTCAACAATATCCTCGCGGCAACCTCCACAGGATCAGCCAGTGACTCTGCCGTATCCGCCTCGACCACTGCTATTGGAACTACTTCTCAGGGTATGACTGGTGGCGCGAAGGCTGGTGTGGCCATCGGTGTCATCTTCGGTGTCGGTCTGATCGCTGCCCTCATTTTCTTCTTTATCCGCAAGAAGAAGAGAAACCAGCAAGGATATCAGCAGGAGAATGAGAAGACCTTTGGTAGCGAAGGCCTGCCAGAGGGTGCCGCCGCTGCTTTCCCACCCCCTCCTCCTTCCAAGCCGCAGACTCTTTCGACAGCTCCACAGCTCAATGTTCGTCCCGTCACTCAATTCGCACCTGACCTGAGCAGCGGTGCCTTGAACCCGGCCACCGCTGGTACTTCGGGTGGCTTGAGCCCGGCCACCGCCGTTGTTGCAGGCGCCGCAGCTGCCTCGCCCGCTGTTGCCTCTCGTAATCTCACTGGCGACTCGCCGCCTCCTACTCCGCCAAAGTCTGCTGGGTCTACTGGAAGCAACCCTGACCCGTTCAAGGACCCTGTGAATCCTTTCAGCGCAGCTTCAGACACCACCCCTGTTACCGAGAGCGTGCCTTCGGTTGTCGAATCGGCCACTGGACCTTCTGGATCGACTGTTGCAGCTGCAGCGGTCGGTGCCACAGCCGTGGGTGTTGCAGCAGGTGCTGCTGCATCTCGAGAGTCCAATGATTCTGAGCGCTACCATTCCGCCGAATCCCGCGGCCATTCCCCCAGTGGCTCGACCCAGTCCGCAACGACCATCCCTGCAGATGCTGCCGCTGTTGCTGCCGGCGCCGGTGTCGTAGGAGCTGCAGGCGCCATGGCTGCTGGACCACCACCTCCCAACAACGTTTACCGTGTGCAACTGGATTTCAACCCCTCTATGGAAGATGAGCTCGGCCTTCGCGCAGGCTCACTTGTGCGCTTGGTTCACGAGTACGATGACGGATGGGCTCTCTGTATGCGTCTCAATGGCCCTCAGCAAGGAGTTGCCCCACGTTCTTGCCTCTCGGCTCGCCCTGTGATGCCTCGCAATCGCCCACCCCCCGGTCCTCCCGGCTCTCGCGGTCCCCCAATCATGGGCCCCGACGGTCGCCCAATGATGCCTGGTGGCCCTCCTGGTCCAAGATTCTACCCTCAGGATGCCCGTCCGAGATCCCCCGGTGGCCCTGGCGTCTCTGGACCTCCGCCTTCTCGCCCTTACCCAGGCCCTGGATCTGCTGTCCAGTTCCCTCCAGTTCCCCGCTCAATGTCACCCGGACCTGGGGGTGCGCCTGGCCCTCGCTCCATGTCCCCTGGACCTAGGGGTGCGCCAGGCCCGCGCTCAATGTCTCCCGGTCCTCGCGGGATGCCCGGCCCTCGCTCCATGTCCCCTGGACCTAGGGGTGCGCCAGGCCCGCGCTCAATGTCTCCCGGTCCTCGCGGGATGCCCGGCCCTCGCTCCATGTCGCCTGGACCTAGAGGTGCGCCCGGCCCGCGCTCAATGTCTCCCGGGCCCGGAGGTATGCCTGGTCCTCGCTCCATGAGCCCTGGTCCATACGGAGCTCCCGGAATGCAGCGGCCTGTGATGCCTGTAAACCAACGCCAACGCAGCAATAGTGCCAGCAACACCGCTCCTCCCATGGCTGCACCCGTTGCGCCTTCAGTTTCAAGTCCACTAGCTCCTGCCCCTGCTCCTGCTGCGCCACAAGTTTCAAGTCCACTAGCCGCTGCCGAGCCTGCCCCTGCTCCCACCCCCGCTGCGCCACAAGTTTCAAGTCCACCGGCAGCTCCTGAGCCTGCTCCTGCTCCCATCCCCGCTGGAATTGCAGTTTCAAGTCCACCGGCAGCTCCTGAGCCTGCTCCTCAGCCTGCTCCTGTTCCCGCACCTATTCCTGTTGCACTTGCGGTTTCAAGTCCACCAGCGGTTCCTGAGCCTACTCCTGCTCCCATCCCCGCTGGAATCCCAGTTTCAAGCCCACCAGCGGCTCCTGAGCCCGCTCCTGCTCCCATCCCCGCTGCACTCTCGGTTTCAAGTCCACCAGCCGCTTCTCAGCCTACTCCTGCCGTCGTACCAATGCCAAGTCCCTTAGCTGCTCCTTCTCCTGCTCCCACCACCGGGCTTCCGGCGCTTCCGACTTCTCTGTCCGGCTCGATCTCGCGGAAGCCACTCCCCGGTGCCACGCAGAACGCTTAATCTGAATGAACCTCACCTCTGCATACAGTCTTCCTTATGCAGAACATAGGCATTCCCACTGACGTGTCAGTGTCCCCGCTGGACGGAAATGAGCTTGCCTAATATGACCTCATTGTTCCCCTCGATCTTGATATCCCCCTACCCTTTGCGCCCGTGACGAACGAACCCTCCTTGAACCTATGCTTTGCGCTGGATGCATATTTCCGCATCTGAATCATTTCTCTGTCTTTTTGTTCTCATCTTCCCAATCTTCTGTTCGTGTCCTCGATGCCGTCTTCTCTGTATTTCCACTGGCATCTATGTAATGTTAGTAAAAGGCCGGCCATCTTTTTATACCTACCTTTTCTTTCTTATGCCTCATTTTTTATTTGTGTTGTTTCACAAACTTTTTTTTCTTTTTGCTTTCTCTTCGACTCGAAGTTGCAAGCATCTTCCTCGAGTTTCTTTCTTGGTCGACATCGATCTCGAATAATATGCGTGTCACGCTGAAATGAGCTGGATACCCGGATCCTTCAACTTGTTCCAACACAGATAGTTTACATTCATACCTATGTAGAATTTACTGAAGATTTTTACCATTTTTATGTCCTGTCAATGTATTGCTAGGGTGCACCATAGCCCTGCCAAGCGCCCAACACCTGTATTAGTGCCCCCCAGCAGATCCCCAATCTTTACCAGATACCCAATCTTTTGTATCACCTCCTCATATAAAGGATACTAGGGCTTGATATGAATTTTTCTCAACCCTTGAACTAGCTAAACTCGAAGAAAGCGTATCCTTGGTAATGTGAGCACCACTTCATTAATCTAATGCTAGTACTCATTCTAGTAATATCTGATGTGGAAGAAGGATCATAATTAAACAAAGGCACTAACATTCGAAGTTATAACTTTGAAATAGACTAGGTGCTTTCTTTGCTTCAGTACACTTAATAATTCTTACTAAAGTTGTAATAAATAAAATGGAAATTCTCTGTTGTATATGTCTTCTATCTTCCCTAACTAGTAGGTGGGTCAAGAAATTTTGTGTGGTGCCTATAAGTTGTTTACCTATCTTTTGTACGGAGTATGGCTCGCTCATATAAAAGGTACATAATTTGTAGATTGGTTATCTAGTGAAAATTGGAGATCTACTGAGCCTCACCAACACAGAGAGTATGTAGAGCGTTTGGCAGGGTTATTCAATAGGAGTGGGCACTAAAAACTCTCTTCATGAGAGATCATCGCCCAAAAGACCAACAAAAGGAAAATTCATCTACAATCACCTAGATACCATATATATCCCAAGCTATATGACCCTTCAATCAAAATCCGATATAGAAAGCCTTATATTAACATTCCTTAACATATCTAATAACCATAATATCAAAACAGTCCTAGTGAAAAGATATTAAAATCAAATCACACAGGCACTACGGGTATAAATGAAATCCACCACATCAACAATCAACCTTGTCTATCAACCACTCAAATCTTGACCTCAGTACCACTCTCATCGCTATCAAACTTCCCAGGAGCGATGTGCACATCAGTGCCTGGGGCGACGCTCGTACGGCGAACAGCTTCCTCAATGTACTCGGGCTTGAGTTCACCATGCTTGTCGTAGCGGTATGGCTCCTTGATGGAGAGTGTAACACAGTCGAAGACGTTGGTGGACTTCTTAAAGATAGCGTCCATCTCTTCCAGGGAACGGTAGCGAGTCTCAGGGAAGAAGAAGTATACACATGGGAACATGAATGCGTTACTGCGGTTGTTAGCTTCGAATTCGGTTGATATGCAGTTTTCGAGAACTTACATAACAGCGAAAATAATATAGGTCTGGTATCCGATATTCTCGAATGCAACAGGGGTGATCATGACAACCATGAAGTTGAAGATCCAGTTAGCACTAGTGGCCAGTGCGTTGGTTGGAGCACGGATACGCAGAGGCACGATCTCAGCGGGGTACAGCCAGGTCATTCCGAGCCAACCGATAGCGAAGAAGGTGTTGAAGACGAAGAGGAACACGGCTTGACCAATACCGGCTTGGCTGTCTCCAAGTGCAGTCAAGCGGTAGTTGGTACCGGCTAGGATGGCCATGGAAATTGACATGCCGGCGGCCTTATTTAGGATTTTTGGTTAGCTGATGGGAATATTGAAAATAGGTGTCGGGGGGTGACATACGCCGATCAGCATCAATGGGCGACGTCCGGCTTTCTCAATGATGAAAATAGGGATAAATGCAGCCATGAGATATTCCGTGCCGTTGCAAGCGGCTAGCAACTTTGGTAGGCTGCCGCTTCCAAGACCAATCTCAGCGTATAGTTGAGGTGCCTGTGGACTTGATTAGTATAGAGCTAGTATCTCGGTTTGGGGGGAAAGGAACTCACGTAATACGTGATAAGATTAATTCCAGAAATCTGCTGGAACATCTGGTTGACGTAGGCAAGTGCCACACGATGGAATTCACGATACTCGCTCATCTTGAACAGACTTCTAAAGGAGCCCTTGTTCATTTCCTTGACAGTTTCCTGGATGGCGATGAGCTCATTCTGGATGTAAGGGTCATCCCGAGATTTCTCATTTAGACACTCGAGAATCTCCAAAGCCTCGTCGTTCCGGCCTTGCATAACGAGCCATCTGGGAGACTCGGGCAGGTTGAGAATAGAGCAGAAAATAATAATAGCGAAGAGAATCTGGAAGGCCAGAGGAAACCGCCAGGCAACCTCTTTATCACCGATGAACGACATGCCTAATTCAAAATTAGATCAGTAATTGTAAATTGAGCGAATTTTCAAATATGAAGTTAGACTCACCGTAGTTCATCCAGTAACTAAGAGTGATACCTCCTGTGATGAGCATACCCTCGATCATCACCATCTTACCACGATCGTGTGACTTCGCTGATTCAGACTGCCATGTCGGTACTGTACTTGTATTCATGCCGTTGCCAACACCTGTAACAATTCGGCCAACAATGAAGTGAGGTAGAGAATAAGCAGTGCATTGGAGTAGGGCTCCAGTAGCCATGATTATACAGCCACAGAAGATAGTCCTTCGTCGACCAAGTGGGTTACCGATGAAGATAACCAAGAGGGAGCCGAAGAAACATCCGAGATTGTACGACGCAACTGCAATGCCTTGGTTCAAACTGCGCTGCGATCGGGCAGGCTGGTTATCCTTGATAGCAGGGTCCAAGGGATTGATATCGGGGAAGTATTTGATGAAGGAGGGCAAGTCAAGAAGACCACCCGTGACACCTTGATCATAACCAAAAAGCCTTTGTATGAGGTTAGTTTTTCAAGTTTCAGAATATATCAGCACATCAATAGCAGCATACAAGAAATCGAGACTGCCAAGGGAACTGATAGCCAAGTTGAGAGACCGGCCTCTCCAGCCAAAGAACTTCGGAATGCCGAACATGATGCCCAAACATGCAAAGAGGATCGAAGCAAAATACGGGGGACATGATGAGAATGCCGATCAGCGGGTTATATAGCCCACTCACAATTCCCCCGGATTGACAAAAGCGGTAATCCGAGATGACCGGGGTACTCTCCAGTGTCTGGGGCTGGCCAAGATACGGGGAAGGCGTCGGGCGACGCGGGGATAGGTAACCTCCCATGGGCGTAGGATTTGGGGGCTGTTTTCCTACATTGTGACTGGTCCAAGGGAAATAGCGCTAACTCCATCTATGTAGTAAGAATATGTAATTTACCGCTTTGTTTGGAGAAAAAAATAAATACCTCGGCGCTATAGTAGGCCCATCGCTTGGCGACACCATGGCTTGATATAGCGTCAGCCCCGAAAAGGAACGTGCTGATATGACATATATTTCCCCAGAGTTGTCCGTCGTTTTTCGCTCCGTTTTTATCCGAAGCATTCCAACCCTCGGGACTACCACGGTCTATATATTTACGGAGAATTAGAAAAATAATTGCGGTTGGATACCAAAAGGCCCGGCCAAGCCAGCCAAGACCGAGGCAACCACCCGTTAGCAAATAAGACGGGATGCCTTCAAGCTGAATGTTCTAGAGCCAATGAAATGTGACTCACTAATACTACCCCCGGTCTTTGTTACCCTTGTCGATGACATGCGCCAAATACGCCAAATACGCAGGGAACCCGGGTAAATGGAAAAAAAATTGTTCTAAAAGTACGCAAATGCAATCTTTGCATGTAGAGTTCGCTCAGTTTTGAGGCTCAGATAAGAATAAATATTCCGGGCACATAAGACCCTATTATTTTCCTACCCCAGAATGATCTAGAATAGTTGGAGAAATAAGTAAACAAATACATAATCTACATATACTCCATACTCCATATCCCAACTTGGAAGTGCACGCTCTCGGATATCGGCTAGGGTCTTTAATCTATCAAAAGACGTCAGCGGCACCCGACATACTACATATGCGGCTTGCCTAGATAGACATACATCTCGGGATACTCGAATTCTCCTATCCGAGTTTCACCCGTTTTATTTCCAGGGCCAAACTTCCTAATTCGAGCTGACCTGACCTGACTTTCATTCACGCCGATCCTTGCCTCCGGAACCTCAGCTTGCATTATATAGCCACAACATCATAGTTTCAATCTTTTTATAGTCTCAAGCACCTTAGACTAGTTATGCATCTCATCTCACATTCAGTATGCACTTGTCAAAGTAGATCTATCTCCTTAATATGATCCTGGAGGCTCTAACTTTCCTCTCCACCGCCATTCTCCAGCGCCCTCTTTAGTCGACGCCATCATCAACCCGCTATGTCTCTCACTCAACATCACGCGCACTCACAGAGTTTTAACACTTGTCACGCGCAACCCACATGGCTCACAACTACAACACTGGCTTCGACTTCGGAATACTACAAGTGGGGCCTTAAGTATAACGACGGCGTCACTCTATAAACTCATTATTAAGTGGCGCACTGCCTACGCCGAATTTGCCAAGGTGTGCAGTCAAACACGTTTTAACTTCCGCCTCGTACTTTTTCCCTCCTTATAGCTATTAGCATTAGTAGCTTAACAGGTTTTGCCCTTCCGACAGTTAGAGCTCCGAGTCGGTGCTTATTAGCACTTTCTCCGACTTTTGTCATTTCCGACCTCGGGAAAGCCGATATCTCACTATTCTCCTTTCTATAACATCATTTGTAGTATGACTTTTAACAAGCCGATAAACGCCGCCACGCAAAGCCACGCCTACTCCTGAAGAATCCTCCCCGCAACCCCGCCATCGCTCAATCGGCTATCCCGGTCTCCGCCAAGATCAATGCCGGATCCAAGACCGGGAACCCTATCATACGATACAACTTTTGTTTACAGAACGATTTGTGGGGGAACTACAGCCCCATATTTTCATGTTCGTGGGGGAATTCCGAGCTCTCTAGCACGTGGCTTTCTCAAAATTTTCAATCTCACATTTACTATGCACCTGGACGTCCTCGTAAATCTTTTCTAACACATAGCCCTTCTTCATTTATCCTTCAGCGTTATTCTGAGTAGGCCTTCTCACAATAATCTGTTCCTTATACCAGTATGCTGCCTCAAACTTTGGTTCGTGACATCCATTTGCTAGGGCCGATCTCAGGGGCTTCTTCATCTACACCATCATGACATCTTCACCATGACATCTACATTGAACTCTGATTTACGAGCATAAATTTTCCTATTTCCCTTCTTTCAACACAATTCTAACTGTATGTTAGGACTTCATTCTTGATATCCCTTTCCGTGGTATTAGGTGACAAAATCCGAAAGAACAATAAAAATGACCCTGGATACAGAGCTTCTCACCGGTTATCTCGGTGGTCTCAAAATCAGCGAAAACTCAAACTCTTCGGATGAGGGACCTATCATAAAACATGCAGACACGCTGGACGAACTCATAAACATCTGACTCCAGCCTGCTCTTCACGCCCAACAACGCCTCGAGGCAATTATCGCACCACATCCTGTTTTCCAGAAAGCCAAAAAAACTCTGTAAAAAACATGAATGGCTGATGGAACGATTCAAAAATTTTCGAAGACTGCTATGCGGGACTCGCAATTTCCCATGTATCTTGCTTTTCAATCCAAAGAATGACCACCTTCCATTCGATCAAATGGTCGAAGGAACTCCAACTCTAACGTGGCTGAAAGATATCCTAGAAGATATCGGTCTTCGGCTTGACGATGTAATAATCATGGGTTTATTTCCTATGTTGACTGACGAATGGTTGGATGAACACCCTGATGAGCGCGAGCAAGTTATTCGCGAGATGTTTGTGCTGACCCTTGACTGTATTCGAGAGTTCAAGCTATCTATCATCCTTTCTTGCCAATGCTTTCCATCTTTCCGAGATGAGCGCTGGGGTTCATTCAGTGGCGATGATGTGGTTCAAAATCTACGCTCATCGATCAAATGTGCCGAAAGTAAAAAAGTGTCCTGCTTCCATTTCGAGAAACATTATATACATTTTGTTCAAGGATTCCACCCTGCCAAGTTGTGTTATGAGGAATATGATAGTTTGGACAAAATGCTCCGTCAAATCTTTCATTCTTTGTTCCAGCCGTGTGCAACCTGGAAAAAGGAGTATAACATGAAGCTGGAGAAAAGGCTGGATCGCAAAAGACGGTATATTCAAACCTTGGTCTCAAGTCTCCGGGATCATGTGGCTGAATATGATGAAATTCGCATGAGGGCAATTTCTCAGGGCATTTCTTGGAATCGCGAAGGTTCCTTCACAGCTGAGCAGTGGAATGAGTCAAAGAAAGCACTGGATTGGATTGTTCAAGCGTTGTCTCCTGACACATCAGGGAAGTCGGACTTCAGGGACTTGGTCAAACAATAATATCCATGGATATCTTGAAGATCTACAGATAGAGTGTCCTTTGACAGTATATCGAATTTCTAGCTAATTTGCGTTGTTTATTTGCCCTTTGGGAAGCGATTTAATTTTAGCGTCTGCTTTTGTTTGTTCTTCAACAATGCACTGTCTTTATCCATTAGATACTCAAGCATAGCAGGCTACTTTGTTACTTGCCGGTCTTAAAAGAAACTAAGTGAACTTGATTGGCTTTCTAGCCCTTTCTTTCACAAAGTCCTATTTACTTCAGATTCGCAAGTATAATTGAACGAACATTGTTAAAATTTTCTTTGTTCCACTCTTGATTTTTCCAAACTAGTCGCCGTTGTTCTCAGTTCAAGATCCGGTCTCTTTATCATTCATGCCTTTGAAACTTTTCACTATGCACTTGTTTCCATTATTCAATCGTCACTTCCTTTGTTCCACTAAGACTTATTTTAGGATGGCCCTATGTTCGTGCTGTTTCATCCTTACAAAGACTAGGGGTCAGGCGCATGTCAAACAGGAACAGATACATTTGCCAAAATGTATATAGCTGCGCCTGTGCCCGTCCCTTACTCTCCATTCCATCATCATCATCATTCAAAGCACAATACACCAGATCCTACTAAGACTATATTTTATTCCTACAACTCTCATCTATCGCATTTCCTAAGCTACATCCTACCTTATCTATAACAATGAGGACAATGAGGCGTTTCTGTCGCAGACTCAATTGTTTCAGCTGCGACTGTAGCGATGACGAGGAGGAGTCTGTCGAATCCTCAATTTCCCTACAAACTTTAGGACCCGAGTCCGTGGACCAACCGTCTCCCAAGGTCGCGGACAAACCGTCTCCCAAGGCCGCGGACAAACCGTCTCCTAAGGTGGCTAGCCCTAAGAAGAAGAAAGATGCTGGAGCTAGTGAAAGTAGCAGCAGTGAGGAAGCTCCACTCCCAGAGATAATTACAAGGAAGGTCGCAAAGGCAAAGGCAACCAAAGGAAAGCCAAAAGATGTCCTGAAGGCAGTGAAACCAGGTAAAGTCCAGAAGCAATCTTCCCCCAAGAAAACTACTAAGGCTCAGAAGAAGAAGAAGCCCGCTGGCGCCAGTGAAAGTAGCAGCAGCGATGAGGAAGCTCCACTCCCACCGTTGAAACATACAGGCATCTCACCTGCAATGAGTGATGTCGGTCTGGACAGTCCTAGCCGAACAGTCGATCTCGGTGATGACATATTGAACGCCCCTCTAGATGAATTGTTAACCTTCCGTCAAACCTCAGAAGGCCCTAAACCCGATGAGTCCTCATCCGATGACGATTCCCCATGGTCCGGTCCTAAGCAAACCCATCCTCTCGAAAGACTCATTGCCGGCAGAAAGCGGGGAACTTCAACAGAGTGGGGAGCTTCTTCTTCGGATTTGGGAGCTTCTTCAGAAGATTCTCATGATCCTCATCCGGCTATCTGGGATACGGATTATATGCGAAATATGACTATGGAAGAGATTCGGGCGTTGGGTAAGAGCTGGCCGAACCCCCCTTGGGGATCACTACCCTTTGGGCCGGAAGGAATAAGACGAAGTTTGCTAAGAGGAACACGAGCAAAATGGGGAGGAAAGATACCTGTGGGGCCAAGATTACCTTCTCCAAGACTGTTCCCTTCTCCAGAAGGTTCGCTTCAGCAAGAATCCGCTGAGGCGTGGGATGACATTCCTACGGAGGAAACAGTCGCTGAATACCGAGTAAAAGGAGCTCTATTAGTAGGTTGGTTAGAAGATCCAAATGCACCAGACTGCAATATTTCCCCAGCAACTCTAACCATGCAAGACTTGTTGGGGCCACCATACAATTTCCAAAGTATGGAGAACCTGTGGACTAATCTAGGTTACCTTATGGATGGAGGCGAACCCGAAACTGTGGGGTCACTTCCCGTTGGTGATAGGTACCGCGAGACCACAATCGAAAGCTGGGTCACGGACCCAGAGGTCCTAGCGGGATTCGGAGCGACTGATGTCCGTAATAGGTACAGACACCTAAGCGGACGGGGTCTCCTTGTTGGTCATGCCGTTTTCAGGTTCGATAGTGTTCAGTGGAATATCGTTGGCAGGGCTGTGTATGAGCTTGACTGGCCCATATCCACTTTGAGGTATATTATGTTTACTCAAGTAGTCAATGAGGAGACTGCACCATATATCCGGTCCATCCTCTACCCCAGACTTGGTCATGCCTTCTATTCGTCGCGGGAACCGCCATGCATAAAAGTCGAGCGCGGCACTCGTGAGTATGAGGAACTCCTGGGCACAAAATTGGGCAAAGCAGCTACAATCCTTCTTATATCATCTCTTCCCAGAGGTACGAGACGTATCGCTCGAGCTGTTATTTGGACAACTACCTGGAGCATTATGCTAAGATTTGAGGTTGAGCCCATCCCTGGTAACGCATATGACGAGGCAGAGGGGGCAGCTACAAGGGCACTAAACGAATTGGAAGAAGCGGAGGCAGAGGAATTAGATCCAAATAAAAGTAGAGAGGAGCAGCAGGAGGAGGATGTAGAGAGTGAAATAGAGTCTGAGACTTCAAGGCCAGAAGATCCTCTATGGTTCTGATTGGATTGAGGAATATTCAGGCACTTTTACCATGTTGGAGAGAGAACAAACCACTAGAAATATACATAGTATGCAATAAATTGATTCTTCTTTTGAATATCATCTTGAAGACGGTACAAACGAAAACAAGACTGGCTATAGTGTGCAATAGGATACCATATATTCTCAGTTCAGATAATAAGGGTACATCAAGACTCTTTCTGGGTCTGGATGAGCGGGTTAACTTCTTGATAGATATAGTTTCGGAACAGAACAATTAACCATCCTAGGAATCCTCAGGCGCAAGCTTTGATAATCCCCTCAGTTTTGGGCCATATCTCATAAACAAGAAGGGTACCGGCAATAAAACTGCAGCCACAGCTCCAACAATGGAAACAGCAGGGCCAATCCCCAAAGCCTTGATCATCGGTTTAGCCGCCAAGGGAAGCCCGGCAGCCAGCAAACTTCGAAGGAACGTAACAGCCGCCGTTGAGCTAGCAGCATAGATCTTATATACATCAATCAAAAAATTCAAACACTGTTGGAAAATGCAGTTGAATCCAAAGCCTAGAAAGCCAGCTGCCAGACATGGTAGGATCCAGTGATGAGGTGGTTCGGCGGTCCAAGCAAACCAGAATAGCCCTACAACAAAGAATACCGCCCCAAATGCCATAGGCATCAGTCGCGCCTCGGGCACTGCTTTCCCATTTGCTTCCCTGGATATCCGGTTATAGCGGTGTTGGTTCCAGATGTTAAGACCCACGGATGATATGACACCAATCAGCAATGCCAGGAACGGCAAAGAGCCGACAAGGCGATTCCAACCTCGAGATTGTTGGAACGCAATTGGAAATACCTCAAGAGTCAGGTACATGACCCCGTAGGCAAAGGCAGCATAAAAGGCAATACAGGTGACAATCGGCTCAGTGCACAGCATTATCAATGGGCGGGCAAGCTGCTTGGTGAGAACGGATTTGACATCGAGTTTCAAATGTTCATGAGGGTGATAGAACCGCGGGTCATTAGTCTCCTTCCGAAGCCGCTGTGCTTTACGCTTGAGGAGAACTAGTGGATATACCTCTGGCAAGCAGAAGAAGGTCAAAGTGAAAATAACAAAGACCCAGATGGCGTGGATGTACGCCGTCCAGCGCCAGCCCATATTAGGATTCAACAACAACGCTGCCCCGATCACTGGCCCTAGCGCCGGTCCGCCATTCACTGCCACTGCATAGAGGCTGACTGCCGTCCCGCGTGTCTCTTTACTCCATATGTCACCTAATGCAGCGGTGACATTGCTAATCGGAGCAGAGCCGAAAAAGCCCGCGAAAAAGCGCGTGATGAACACTGACGCTGTATTCGTGCTTACCCCAGTGCCGATGGAGAATAGTGCTAGACAGAAGACGGCGGGGAGTATGCTGACTCTCCGGCCCCAGATTTCTGAAAGAGGAGCCCAGATGATAGGTCCGAAGACAAAACCAAGACTATTATTACTATTAGCATTATTATTGACGTTTTGGTTAAAACCTTACTCACATATAGAGAGATACATCCAACACGGCAACCTCGCTGCTCACGCCAGTATATTTCGCGATGGTGTCATCGGCCGGCGTGGTGATACTTGATCCCAGACTACCCGCCAACGCAAGCATGCCCAGTTGGAATGTCACCCACCATTTGTACCTGGGATTCCAATTTTGGGGATTCAATACATCCTCCTCATCCCACTTGACGAGATATGCTGGATCAAGAGGTGCAGGGTCTTTCTCGGCTTGGGTTTGTACATTTATAAGACTGCCCTTCGGCCAGATGTGTATCATTATTGGGAGCAATACCGTGGAGTGCTGATCGCTACTTCCATGGACAACAATTCATATGTAGCAGGATGATCCTTGGGCGAATCGATCTTGATGTCGATCCCGATGTCGGAGCAGGCCTCGGATCGCTTCGAAATACGATTGACAATTTTGTCGATGGTGGAAAGAGTCCATTATTTGAAAAGTTATCGTGTTTCTTCAACATCTCGGAAATAGTGATTCTGCTTGGTAATCCCGAGTTGGTACAGCGGTAGGGGAAGTGAAGCTCCCCAGCTTTTGCTCGGATTTTCGGGCTTAGGTTATCTATCGGGCGGAGCCGACCGTGGGTGCGGCCGCCGGGGTGCCGGGGCACTCAACAGGGGTGTTTTAATTGATGCTTGAATCGAGAAACGATCAGATTCATTCAAGCATAAGGGTAAAAGATAGTGGGCTCCTTAACAAGCTACTATATCGTTAAGTGAATGACATAGCTTGTGTTATTTTCTCTTCTATACTTGTAAGATACAGCCTTTTGAGAATCTCCTATATGGCACATGGGATCAATACGAGCCAGCAGGAATAGGATGCAGGCCATACTAAGGAAGTGGTGTAAATTGAAAATCATGAAAATCCCCGAAAAAATGACCCGAAATCCAATTAAGATCGTCCAAAAACATCATGTATAAATCCAGCACGCGCTTCTAAGTCACAAGAAATGCAGAATATAGACGGCAAAAAATCGTTTTATCATGCGCTCTTCAGATGTGGAACGTTTGCACTTGCAAGAAGAAGATTCACAATGCTCATGATACCTTCGCCCAAAATGAGGCCGGAGGCAAGGACAACGACAGTTGAGGAGGCAGCATCTGCTTTTTCAGATGCCTGCTGGGTTGGTGTTGATGATTGCCCAGCCTGCAACCCAGTGTCTGTAGAAGAGCCATTGTTATTGGCGTCTCCATCGGCCACTTGTTCGTTGGCCGTCGACTGTGAGTGCCTGCGCGCCCACCACCATGCAATAATACCACCAATAGCTCTCGCCAGGGTAAATGAAGGCTCGTTAAAAATACCAACGGCAACAGCAATACCGCCAGGGATCCAAGCTCTCCAGGCGGGGGGTTTCCCGTTGCGTGCAAAGGAAGGGGACGCAGCTGCAATCCTCAGTGCGGTAAGGAATGCCCACACGATACCAGCAATTAAAGAGACTTGTCCAGCCATTTTGGGTAGCCCTTGACCAGTCACAAGGCGAGCAGTGAAGATCCAGACATACGCGGTAGGTGTCTGGAACATTTCGCCCGGGACTTCGTAGACGTTCACGTACAATTTGTATACGGCAGTTGATAGAACTGCACCTACAAGACTACCGATTATCTGGCCATAAAACTGGGCCTTGGGGCTTGCACCAAGAAGATGACCGGTCTTCAAGTCTTGCATCATATCACCGGCTTGCAGTGCTCCTGACTCGGAGACTGCACCAGCGAGTAGGTTTGTCACTAGCGCGGTGCGTCTGGAGAAATGGGATGATGGCGTGGCGAGTGAAAAGAGAAGTTGTGTCAACTTGCTGATACCTGAAACTGGGTTGAGGTCGGTCTCGCCAAGAGCCCTGACACCCATAATGGAGAGAAGCACTGCCAGCAGAGTCGCTAATGTTGATAGAACGGGGGAAATGATGTCACCGAAGGCAAAGTGCATGCACACGACATTTAAAAGCAGAGTGAGGGGAAGCAGAATCACTACTGTGCGAGTTGAAATGAGTTGAGATGGCGGTGCATCTTCATCTTCTTCTTCACTTGTAGTCATTTGTGTATGGGGGGCGTCACCATTTTCATGAGGCAAAAGATGAGACTCTGACTCCAAAGCGGAGTAGTTGATATATGAGTGCTGAGAAGACTGCAGTCGAAACGCAATCCACTGACCAACGCGAGTGGATCGGAACCGGGCCATCCATGTTGGAGAGTGTTTTATGATGGGCTTGAGCACCAGCCACCCAAGACTAACAATTGAATCAGCAAGCATGATAGCTAGTGATACCCAGACAATCCATGCTTTGCTACCGGTTTCCCAGTTATTCACCGGGCCGGGGGCCCAGCCGTGGGACTTAGCCAGCGGTGACAGGACGCCCCACCCCAAGGCTGCCCCGAAAAGCATGTGCATGCATGTTGATGGACCCATAATGATACCCTGACCAATATACGCGGGCGATGGGTTAAGAGTCCACAGCCAGTTTTTCGCCATGTCCGCGCCAAATAGGGGGATGGCATGGACTAGAGGGACGAAGTAGGAGAAAAGAGTCTAATTCTGTTAGCATAGAGTTTACAGAGCCCAATTTGGGGATATTCACATATACACCCGATAGTGTAAACGATCCAACTAAGATGCGCATCTTCGAGCGCCAATCTTGCTCCTTGGAAGCTTGATCTTCAGCATCGCCAACCTTCAAGAGGCCTGTGTTTTCTTGCGATCGACGAGCTGCTCCAGTCTCTGTACTCAAAATTCCCACAGGGGGAGTCTCTGTTGCTATAACCTTTTCGTTGCTCCCAGAACCATGCAAGACCTTGAGCATCAATGCCGAGGCGGTACCGCTCGGAAACGGCAACTTCTCTCGAACGATAACCTCTTTTCGTAGTGGGACCGCAAATACCACACCGAAGAGACAGACTCCCAGACTCCAGATAACCAACTTCCAGAAGCCGAGTTTCAGAGGACCTCCTTCGCCTTCTCCGCCATCGCCTTTGGGTCCATCTTCGCCAGGCTTCAACAGGAACTCCAGAGCAGGGATGACGCCAACAAATCCGCATCCAAGTGGCATCGTTCCCACTGCACCAGCGACCGTCTGTATCAAGACATTCTCAACTGGCGTGAAGGGGAAAGAAAGGTACTTGGTTAGAACCTTGAAGACCGAAAAGCCAATCAAGGCCGAGGGCATGGCCATTGTGCTGATCCATCCTGTCTGCAAACCAAAGTAGGTATTTGAGAATGTGATAAGGGCACCGATAATAAGACCGACGAGAAGTGAACGCGGGGTGAAGCTCTGTGGGGATGTGGCGGGAGCTTGGTGGTTTGTTGTGGGATCATCGATGGTATATGTAGGCGGCGGGTCCAAGGATGGCCTTTCCACAATGTGCTGGCGCGGTTCGGAGGCATTGCCATCCATGCTGATGGCCTGGTAATTCATTAGACCGACCGATCAATCATAGCGTGGTGAATGCTTGGGGAGGAGGTCCGACTTTGGGGAATTGGAAGGGTCTCGCTGATTAATGCGATTCCTCTGATAAGGTCACCTGACGTCACATCCTTTATCCGTAATAAGGTTTGTTTTTGGCCCCGGGGTGTTTGTGTCGTTCTATTGAAATAGCCCTGACAGTTTTGTGTGGTTATGCTAAGGGAATAGAATTTCAAGACCTCGAGAGCGGACACTTTATTGGATATCTGAAGGGTTTGCTATCTTAGTATGTAGAGCTAATCTACAAAACCAAAGCTGGCACGCGAGCAACTCTACGATATATGTACGCAACAACCAAGTAAGAAATTATCTAGCCCTGGTAATAGCTGGTTTCTGTACTATAGGCTAATTCCAGGGTATTTTCCGTTGTCTTACTATCCGAACTCTGAAATAAATAGGAGCAAATGCAAATATATAAATCCAATCACTTTGAAGTCCACGGGTTATTTGAAGGCAACGCTAGTTGCGGGATCTAAACCTAATTAGGATAAAGCAGCGGGGTCTAAACCCAAAAGGGAAGTATATCATTAAGTCAGCCTGGCTCCTTCCTAAGTTCCCAAGGTTATAAAGTAGGCAGGCACCTGGGCACTCTAGGGTCCCGTACAACATAGCGTCTCTGCTCCTTCCTATTTTCTCTTTGCTTCTCGCTTTTTCCCCCCTCCCCCTTTCCCCTCATCTTCCTCTTTCTCTTTCTCTTTCCTTTCCATCCTTCTTCTTTCCTTCATCGGTTGTCACCATTCCTTGATCGTAAGTGTACTTTTGTCGGAGTCCATCCCTTGGTTTTACGTCAATCCAATTAACATCATATTTCAAGTTCTCAAGATGGACGACCAAGTCAAGTCTCGCCAAAAGCAAGACGACCATCGGGTTGTCAAAAATTCGCGTGCGGACTTCAAGAAAGCGCAACTTTCCGGTGGATGGATACCCGGCATGGATATCAAGGTGGACTACTCGGATGAGTTCGAGTTTGGCGGCTCCCTGGGAACGTTGGCACTTATGATTGGCTTCCCGTTGTTGATGTGGTACATGTGGATCGGCGCTGCCTACTATGATGGGAAGCTACCTCTGCCAGAAAACGGAGAGTCCTGGATGGACTTTGGGAAGCATCTGTGTCATCTTGTTTACACCGGTGCATTCCCGCATTTCAAGGCGTGGCGCATTTATTGGACATACTACATCTTCGAGGCAGCATGCTACATGTTGATGCCTGGATTCACATGCTATGGAAAGCCTCTCCAGCATCTGGGAGGCGCGCAGCTGAAGTATTATTGTTCAGCCTACAGTAGCATGTACTTCACAATCTTCGTGATGGTCGTTCTGCACTGCACGGGACTGTTCCCAATCTACACTATTCTGGACGAGTTCGGTCCTTTGATGTCTGTGGCGATTCTTTCCGGGTTTCTCACCAGCTTCTTCGCTTATTTCTCTGCATTTGCTCGTGGTACTCAGCACCGCATCAGTGGTTACCCAATCTACGACTTCTTCATGGGAGCTGAACTGAACCCACGGTTGTTCGGGATCCTCGACTTTAAGATGTTCTACGAAGTCCGTATTCCATGGTTTATGCTCTTGGGTTTGAGCTGTGCAGCCGCTACTCGCCAATACGAACAATACGGATACGTCTCTGGTGAAGTCCTATTCCTTGTCATGGCGCATTTTCTTTACGCCAACGCCTGCGCCAAGGCAGAACACTTCATCACCACAACATGGGACATGTACCAGGAGAAGCTAGGATTCTTGCTGATCTTCTGGAACATGGCTGGTGTCCCGATGTCATACTGCCACTGTATTCTGTACTTGGATAGTCGCCACCCGTCAACATATGCATGGAGTGAAACTGTATTGGCGCTAATGTTTGTGTCATATATTTTCGTCTACTGGGTGTGGGACACTGCAAACAGCCAGAAGAACGCCTTCCGTATGATGGAGCGAGGCAAAATTGTGGAGCGCAACACATTCCCCCAGCTGCCTTGGCGACATGTTCAAAACCCAAGGACACTTGCAACGGAGAACGGCGATACTATCTTTGTTGATGGGTGGTACCAATTGGCTCGCAAAATTCATTACAGCTGCGATATGTTTTTCGCTTTGTCGTGGGCACTAGTCACCGGGTTTGATAGTCCCCTTCCATGGTTCTACCCTGTCTTCTTCGCGGTTATGATCTGCCACCGTGCCCTGCGGGATATCCACAAATGCAAACATAAGTATGGGAAGACGTGGGATGAGTACGAGAAGCTGGTTCCAAACCTTTTCATTCCAGTGAGTCCCTACTGCACCTTTTTTTTTTTTGAGACTATACTTACTCCTGACAGTATGTTATCTAAATTACTCTGACTTTCGGGCCCCCATTATTGTGGTTAGACCGTTTCTGGTCCATTGGTCCACTTGTCTGCCTTGTTCCCAACAGCGAACTCTGCACCACTACCTCAGATCAAATATCTTAGAAAAACTATCTTTAGTTTCAGAGTTTCCAAGTTCAAACAGACTTGTAGATCGCACCGTCACGTCAGCTAGAAGAGAAGATTTTCACAATATGTCATTGGTTATTTCTACACACAATCGGGCCAAGCGCCCAACACACCTTCACCGTGTAGGCCTTGTGAGGAGCTTTTTACTAGGAGCTACTAGTCTACTAGTAAGCTTAGGGCTCTTGCTAGTAAACGGCCCTTGACAACCTGACAACCTGACAACCTGACAACCTGAAAGCTGGTGTTTGCAGTGTTTGGAGCTATATATTTTCTACTAGGAGTAACTAGTAATGTCCTGACACCCTACTAAGAGTTACTAGTAAAAGTCTACTAGGAGCTACTAGTAATCGAAACTCACCTGACCACCTGACCACCTGACCACCATTTCGCCTGGTCTAGTAGACTTCCTACGTGCATCTAGTTTTCAGTCTGCGAAATTCTTTTCGCAAAAGCAAACTATGAGATCAGCCTGGGCCTACACCACGAGCAGTGGTGTAGCAGGCCCTAAAATCAGACGATGGTAGCCAATGATGCGGACCATGGTTACTTACGGGACTTTGGTATTATCCATGGACTATAGCATTGATTTATTTGCTATATGTGCGTCACAAATATTCCATCGGCGCTATCCAGCTTTGAGGCGATTTCGAGAAGTTGTCTCGTCTCTGTCGCTTGTCTCTGTTGCCAATACAAATACCCGCGACCTTGTACGTAATGTGGATATGCTATGGACTATCTACTCTCATTGATCAGGCTCTTTCGATGCTAGAGGATGAGGCAAGTCACGGACACCCATCGAATTTCGGATGCTTCGTTGAAAGCTCAAACCGCAATTCCAATAACAATGGCTTTGTAAGCTAAGTATCAGCTATAGCTGCTGCAACCCAGCTCTTCGTTGGATATATGAATCCTCCAAGTTCCTTGGTGGGTCTCTTAATTAACCATCCACGAGGCCAAAGCAAACACATCCACGTATATGTGACAATAGTTGAACCTTTTCTCTCAACCCTCCATAGTATTCAATCCTTTTGATTATCTCGTTACGAGTGATAACGAGGATCTCAAATACTAAATCATTGTGCGAGGTGGGCCTTTTTTTCACGTAGGGTTCTCAGATGTAACAGCAGGGTTTTTGCTATTCCGAGGGGTATAATGTATTACGCCTTTGATGTGGTCTTCAAGGAAGGGGATAGGATCCTGCCCATTGCCTTCATGTAGGTCCGCAATTCTTTTGGCGAGCGATGAGTCTTGGGGCTTATACCGAAAGATTGTCCAGGTATGGCTTTTCCTGGACAGCCGAAGTAGGTAGACAGGTATGACTACCACTTGAGTGTGGGCGTTTTTATAGTTGTACTCGTAGTTGTTGAAATCGAGTACAAAGTAGGTGTGTCGCGGCCAAACCTCCACCGCTAAAAGCCGCAAATCTGCCTTTTCTTTCCAAAAATCGACGAGGCTTTCGATGAATTCACGAGTTGAGGCCAGATAGTCTTCACGATTCAGTTTTTCGGTAGGCAGGTCACCTAGGATTCGGATTGAACGATGCGTTTCAAGGGTATCGGACACAGTCTGATTTACTTTCTCTATAAAGCGTAGAGATGGCCTTTCACTTTCAGATAGCTCACGTGATAGAATAAATAGTTGACAAGAGTCTCGGAAACCAGGTGTTTCCAGGTCTCAAGGGTATTTATAACCAAGGGCGTTGTGCACGGACCAAAGTAAGCGGTGGAGCTTAGTTATATTGTCTGTTGCTCAAGGCAGCCAGCAATTTATGCATTGAGCTTAGAAGAATTCTTACCCTGCTATACGACCGCATGATATATCAATTCGCGACATTTTCAATATCCTTGTTTGGCAATTGAGAATTGCACTACACTATATTTACAGTATTAGACTAAATATATAAAAAGACGTTTATTGAACGAGCGTGGAGCGGCGATAACCCCCCTGTGCGACTGCAAAGCCAGTATATATCCGGTCGTATATAATGCTCCCACTGAAAATTAGTAGAAAAAGGAATATAACCGATATACCTTGCCTCCTCGTGAAAGCTTGTTTAATTGAGCTTCCCAAAGTTCTGATAGTGCCGGTGTTGCGCACCGTCGGTTCCTTATCAACCTTCAATTGAATTTTTAGCGGTAACAGCGTTCGGTACAGATCTGAGGGGACCAATAATCGCAACTGAGACACTCACATTGTAAGCTCGTGTTCGGGGAAGCAATAGGGAAGAATCTGCAGTATCACTCACCTAAGGGGACATGGTACTAGCTGGGGATGGATAATTGCACGCAGGGCAGAGGCTATCATCCCCTATGACTGCGCTAATCTCCTGCCGCGGGTTTTCGGTAGATGGTTGTGTCATTGGATCCCCAAATAGCCTTTCAAATCAAAGTCATCAGATCTGCTCAAACAACCCTGTATCTCAGATCTCGCACACGTGGTGAACGCCAGCTACGCTAAAATCAAGTTCGCCATATCCAAAGCCCGACTACAAACCGACTCCGCACTCTTGAGGAGAACGTAGCTAATAATGCATGTGTCGAGCAAATCTTGCACCGACATGCCTGTCCCGGAGACTATGACCCAGCTGCTGTTGCTCTCCTGCCAGATGCACAATACCGCGGCAGAGCTATTGTCAGACATCTTGCAGGGGCATGTGACGAAGAAATTTTGCGTCAGCATCGGGTTAATGGGAAAGATGGGTCGTCTCCAGTACAGATTATGATTTGGAATGTTAAAGAAAATAGTGGTGCCTATTGGCTGAAACAGGGATTCACTGTTGTTGGTAGCCAGAAGTGTCCTAAGGGAGTCTGGAATTTGTTGGAGGAGTTTACTATGTGGGCTATGGTGCGAGAGTTGTCAGTAATATAGATGGAATGTTATTATAGCGGGGAAATCCAGACTAGTATCATCGGTGTCTTCTCCTTTGCCTCGGTAGTATGAAATTCTTTTGGGAGATGCTACTGTTCAACGCTTCGGTAACTGAGTATGGGAAACCTCAGTGTCACCAATCAGGCGCAATAGAGTAAATTCCTAGTATTCATCTTGATTGGTGGCTTGATTTTAAGAGGAGAAGTATAAAATATAGGGGATTCAACGGGCTCAACAAAATCCTACCGAATTTCGAATCCCTTGACTATGAGTATGGTGTACAACATACCTAGGTAATGAACGCCAAGAGATATATAGATAAACGGACAATCACTCGGCCAATAAGCAGCTAGGATGGTTCAAGCCACTGGCTCATACGTTATCTTCATTCAAACACCAACTACTCCGTGAAAACCGAAAAAAAGATTTTTAGACCAGAACCGGTCCTTGATTGGCATTGAAACCCATATATTAGCCCTGAACTTGGGGGCCAGGGGCTGCCCAAATGAGCATGAGTAATCACGATATCACGTGTCCAGGTGTTGGCCTCGGCTCCCAACAAAAGGGAAATTCGTGATACATAGTCATCATCTGTGATCGGTAGGCTCGGATTTGAGACTTCTTAATCCAGGTGAACTTAAATTTGCCATTCCATTCCTTATCATACTTTCCGTTTCTCCTTGAGTGTGTTTTGGCCAAGTCTGCCTGATTCCAACTGATCTATCTCATCGTCCGAGACACCTATAGATGAACTGGAGTATATCCTAGTCAAGCCTTATCCGTGTACTTGTACGAAACCATCGGACACTCTTTTCTATTTTGGTTTCTCTGCGGCTCAATTTCTGGGAGTTTTATCATGGAGAATACACGCGAGATACTAGCAGGGGTAATGTCGTTCGTCTCATGGAAGAACTTGGCCTTGCTTCTGGCAGTGATTAACTTGAAAAATCTCCCATTTGCCTGGCATGTAAGTGTTCCTTGACCCCTTATTCATCTATCAGAATTGACTTCCTCTCTACGATATGTTACACTACTGACCGCATCCATAGTTCCGCCTGTTGTATCACTTTATAAACAACCTGCGTTTGAAACCCAGTGCGCCACTTCTCCCCAAGGGGAGAGTTATCGTGGACTCCCTAGGCAAACCAACGCACCCAATTTTTGTACCATGCATGGTCACATCTCGCACACCGTTGCTAGAGACTGATTACAATCTGCACAAATCCAACAGCACTTATTTCACGGATCTGGACGTTTCACGTACAGCGCTCGTGACCAGAATTTACAGTCCTGGAGTGGGCAATGTGAGCAAGGAGCTAGACCAGGAGTTCCTAGCCGTAAGCAAGAAAGAGGGAAAGCCGGCGCCGAGGCGCAAACCCATTTTGATTGTGCTTGGATCTGTTTACTGCACATTCAAGCGTGAAATTAAGCCATTCGAACTATATGAGATGCACTCCAAGGTCCTCTCTTGGGATGCAAAGTGGCTGTACGTCTTGACCTGCTTCATGCGACCTGCACGCAGTGGCGGTGAAAAGGTTGTCCTTGCTGTGGGTGTTAGCAAGTACGTGGTCAAAAAGGGCCGTCTGACTGTTCCCCCGGAGCGGATTCTACGCGCTAGCGGATTCCTCCCCACGCCGCCCCCGGAGAGCGAAGCCAAGACTGCACTAGCGGACATCGACTTCTCGGTTGAGGCTTCCGGTGTTGACACTCCTGCTGGCAGTGAAGGCATCACGGCTACGGGAGGCGTGGATGGATCTTTGGTCCAGGAGGTATTGAAGATGAACGATGACGAGATCCCCGGCCAGGAGACACTCGATAAGCAGCAGAAGAAGAATACTGACTCGTGGAATGTTGAAGAGTGGACCTGGGAGCGCATTGAACAGGAACGCGTGCGGGGACTGGAGGTTGTCGATGGATATACCAATATGGATGCCAAGCTGTTCGACGAATGGATGTAATAGTTTTGAAGAGCTACAATATATAACATAGATAGTCGGTGACTAGATAGAGGGTGATCCAAGCGCCTTGGTGACCTCAATGTTCTAACTAATATTAGATCTTGGAGATCCAAAACAACGGGCCCTTCATACATCCACAGATCTGCAATTTAATTTCCGAAAGAGACCGACCTGGTCCACTCTTATGTATTTTTTTTATACATGTGATACGATGTACAAACTACGGAATATGTATGTTGAAGTTGTATGAATATATATATGATGTCAGCTAGCTAGGCAGCTAGCTGTAGGTACAGATACAGCTAATAATGTAACCATACATGTGTACATATCTACCTGCGTACATAGGTACGATGTACATATCCCAACCTGCAGGGAATATGAATGAACTGCCCAACCATACCAGTCGCAGAGCCTCATTCCATCCGCACCTTCATTTTCCCGGGTTAATATAAGAGGAACCATGGATAGTATGTATCGTAGTTATAATACAATTCAGGACTTATAATTTGGACCTAGTACTTTATAGGTAGAAGATACAATAGTAGTTAGAGATAATACTACACTTATGTTGTAAGTAATTGTAAGTAATTTGAACGTTGATCACTGATCTCATCAAGGGAGAAACAGTTGACGGGTCCGATGTTATCCGAGATTGGCTGAGCATTGTACAATTTGTGACAATACAGGACATGCTTTTACTATGGGGATATGAATAGATAACGGTAAAATAACATGTAATTAACATGAAGATCACATAATCTTAAATTACATGTATGTCATGTGATGCGACAGCGAAAGCTTCAAGGTGCTTTGACCAAGCTCTATCTCGACCATCGTGATACCACCTGGGCACCTTTGCTTCTTTTCATTTCCTTGGGAGTTGTAGTTAATCTGCCCTTCCAGCGATTTGGTGAGTTTGAACTTGTTTTCAATTTGTACACCCCCCTGAGATTTGGCAACCCTTTTACCCGTCCGAGACCGGATACGGTACAAATCATTTCGCGGTCCTTAGGCGCCCAGGCCAAAGTCGCCCACTTTACTCTCTTGATCGGACGATTCCCACCCTTCCCATCTTTGCCCTCTGATTTGTCCAATTTCAAGCCCATCATTCCTCACCCTGTTCCCACCTGCCCCTGCCTTTCCTTTCAGTATCAGCCCATCGTGCACTCCACCTTCGAGCGTCCCCAGCACCTGCATGATTGGTCTATTCCTGGTACTGCTGCACTCTACCTTTTCCATGGAGAACCTAGCGCTGCTTTTGCAGTTTTATGGAAATCACCTCTTGCTTTAAGGGTCTCCTCTGACTTCACCTACAACTTCCTGTTCCTATATTTTGCCTCACAAATTCTTGTTTCTCTTGGCGACTTGACTAAGACATTTCGCTTTTTCCGTTCAGTTCAGGCAAAAACAATCATCCGAGCTTATCGCAATCGTTTCAACTACCTCCATTGTACACTCCTTAAGTGTACCGACAACCATCACACACCTGTACCGGTCCCTTCTGACCTCCACAATATCGTACTTCCTTTCGCTCGGTCGTAGCCCTTACTTCTAATTTCCCCGACCGCTGGGAAATATTTCCTTATCGCCGTCGATCAGCGGTCGCACTATCCGACGACGGCAACTACATCTACTGAACCCGTTTCCCCAACCTTCCTCAGTCGCCCTCGAGGATGGCGACATCGCTCGATCAGTCGCAGCGCGACTCGCTTGGAGGCGAACCCGTCATCGAATCCGTCTCCATCACTCCACCACACAGTGCCAACGGCAAGAAGGAAGCGCCCGAAGGTGTGCCCTCCGAGTTGTCTGACCTCGAGCTTGACCATCAGTCTGCACCGGCACCTGATACAACCAAGATAAAGCAGGAGGATATGGAGGAGAAAGTGGAGGAAATCGAAGAAATTGAACCCGATCATTACTATGGCGGCGGCAAGGTTCCTGTTTTCAAGCCGGTAAGTACAGTGCGAATGCCGTGGTTGCTCGATGATCTAGCGATGGAGGCTTCGCCCGTTGCATCAGACTAGCCAAAGCAAAGCCTACACCCTCGAGAGCCAGGCTGACTGTGGTATCGTTGTAGACAATGGACCAATTCCGAGACTTTCAAGGGTTCATTAACAAAATCAATAAATATGGAATGCAGGCAGGCATCGTGAAAGTTATACCTCCAAAAGAATGGTGAGTCGATCAATTCTCGGCCAGTGTGGATGGTTATACTCATGGCGTTGTTCTTTTTGAAGGTCCGAGTCTCTTCCATCGCTGGACGAAGCCGTCAAGAAAATTCGGGTGAAGAATCCCATCATGCAAGAGTTCCACGGATCCCACGGTACATACACCCAGGCCAACATCGAACGCCAACGCTCGTACAACCTTCCTCAGTGGAAGGGTCTATGCGAGGAAAGCAGTCATCAACCCCCCGCTCGTCGAGGAGAGAGACGCCGGAATCAAGAACGCGTGAACCGTGCGGCCCCGACACCACGGCCCCCATCCGCCCGCCCGGAAGGTCAGAAGCGCCGGCCTGGCCGTCCCCCTAAGCGAGCAAATCAGGTCAAAGTCAAAGAGGAGCCCCCTGCGGATGACGCCGACAAATCCAGATTGGAGGGTCCTCCGACGCCTGTATCACCCGAGACCAACCCGGTGCAGCCAAAGACCGAGGATTTAAGTGAAGGCGAGTCCCTACCTATCACAAAACCAAAGGGACGACAGCCCAAGTCTGTCACCTCACGCCGAAAGAACAACCGCGGCGATGCTATGGATCAAGTTGATGAGGAGGCGTACACGGGCTTTGATTACCGGATCCACGACCACGAAGAATACACCGCAGAAAGATGCGAGGAGCTTGAGACTAATTATTGGAAGTCACTCATGTACAACAACCCGATGTACGGTGCTGATATGCCCGGTTCGCTCTTCGAGGATTCTACAGAAACCTGGAATGTCGCCAAATTGCCGAATCTGCTCGACGTTCTCGGACAGAAAGTTCCTGGAGTCAACACTGCTTATCTCTACATGGGCATGTGGAAGGCTACCTTTGCTTGGCATCTTGAGGATGTAGATCTGTACAGCATCAACTACATCCACTTCGGTGCCCCCAAGCAATGGTACAGTATCTCCCAAGAAGATGCACCTCGCTTTGAACAGGCCATGCGCAGTATCTGGTCCAGTGACGCGAAGAACTGCGATCAATTCCTTCGCCACAAAACTTATCTTGTCTCGCCTAGCCTTCTCAAATCGCAATATGGGATCACCGTCAACCGGTTGGTTCATTACGAAGGGGAGTTTGTCATCACATTCCCTTATGGGTACCACTCTGGATACAACCTCGGATACAATTGCGCCGAGTCAGTCAACTTTGCGACCGAGCAATGGTTAGACTATGCTCGCATCGCAAAGAAGTGCCACTGCGAAGCAGACAGTGTCTGGATCGATGTGGACGAGATTGAGCGCAAGCTACGCGGTGAGAGCACACCTGAGTACTATGGCGAATTCGAAAGCGAATTCGATGGATTTGAAGGTGCTTCAGATCTTCTTACACCGCCACGTAGTGTGCCCGAGAAGACATCCACTCGTGGCCGAAAGCGGAAGAATCCGGGTGACGGGCCGAACACCAAACGACCCAAACTCCACCCCGAAGGACCTCGGAAGCTCCCGTGTTTGTTGTGCCCTAACAATCTGGACTATGAGGATCTTCTTCCGACCGAAGATGGTAAAGGGCATGCACACAGACGGTGTGCGGCATTCATCGAAGAGACCACAATTCTCCGTGACGCATCAGGAACGGAAGTTGTGTGTGACATTGACAAAATCCCCAAGGCTCGCCTGGGCCTCAAATGTCTCTTTTGCCGCGAAGTCCGGGGTGCCTGCTTCCAGTGTAACTTTGGCAAATGCACGCGCGCTTATCATGCAACCTGTGCCCTTCTGGCAGGTGTTCAAGTTGAACATGGAGCGATTGCTGTGATTGCAGATGATGGCACTCAATACTCAATTCCGAGTGTTGATTTGAAATGCAAATTCCACCGTCAAAAGCGACCGAATGGAGTCTTAGGTGAATCTTCCGATGTGGATCGTCGGGTAATAGAATCGGCTCGTCGTTTGGTGCAAGGAAATTTGATCCAATTTCAAGCCGACAAAGAGATTAATGGCGCCATCGTGCTTGAAAATCGTCCCTCGGAGCGAACTCTTTTGCTCAAGGTACTTCCAAGAGGGTATGTTATCTGTTTTTTTTTTCTCTCTCTCTCTCTTTCTTATCCCTTCCACTAATAAAAAAAAATCTACAGGGATGTGATTGAAATGCCCTATCGCTGGATGCTGGTTGTTCGAAAGAGCAATTTCACCCCCCTCGCACTAGGAATTCAACCCCTCCCAGCCCACCTAGCGCGAAAACCCGAACAGCGAAAAGAGTTAGAATCTGCGGTACCGGCGGCAGGCAGTGCATTTGGCGATTCACGATCTCCCTATCAGTGGGCCGAATTCGAGACGGTGGATGGAACTAGAAACCAATTCGCCCCACTCCGTACGGTCAACCTTCAGGGCGAACAGATTTGGTATTATTTGGGCACGCAGTCCACTGAAAGTAGGGCACAGTATACACACAACCCTAGCGTGTCCGTCCACAACCCTCGGGCCAATTTCCTGGACAGCGTCAAGTCGCTTGGCATGGGTGTCAGCGCTCGTGCATCGAAGATCTCACCCCACCACTTTCATTATGCTCCCACCGCCCCTGCCCCTCCCTACCAGAGAAACCAGCAAAACCAGCAAAACCAGCAAAACCTGCAACAGAGCCAAAATATTTACCCTCAATCGAATGTCAACACCCCTCACCTACAATCCCGACCGCCCTCATCTGCCTTGCAGCACCTCGCCCCTCCCCCTCCTTTTATCCCTGCTACCGGTGCTGCTGCTGGAACTGCGATGCCGTCGGCCTTCCGAACACTACACCAGTCTGCCCGTCATGCCCCGTATCCTTCGGTCAAGTCGCACGCTCAGCAGCAGCATCACCTCCCATCCACCAATACTTTTGCCAATGTCCGAGAACTTATTGCTCGTCGCCGCCTAGCACAAATTACCGACCACGCTAATGTTTTTGCCGGATATACGATCGTTAGCCCCGAATTGGTCGTAGAGACTCTGTTAGGTCCTATGGGTTCAGTACCGCCGGCCAATGGTCTCGAGAAGCTGGAGCTAGCGATGGCCCAGCAACGGGTTCAACCACGGGCTGCAGATGGGACTCTGCTGCCGCCTCAGACTCTAAACATGCGGTCGGAGGAGGTCACTCGGCTTCTTCAGATGCTCCGATTCTCGCTGGTCAGCCACCGTGAGCGGCTCGATGTAATTCAGAAAAAGGAGTCGGAGGGTATCAAGCAGGAGACCGTTGATCGAGGTAGTGTAGCCGCTGCTAAGATGCCTGGAAAGTATGCCTACCTCGATCAACAGCGGTCGCTGGCTCCCAATGTCTATCAGTCTCCCTACAATATGCCGTCGGGTCTCTCTGAATATGCCAAGTCTACCTACGGATTAGTTCCTGCGGCAGACGACCCACCCAAGCCATCGTTGTCGAACGATTACTTCAACAATTTGCCACAGGAACATCAAGAGAAAATATTGAAGACCTGTGGTAGCTTCGTGCAGCGTGCAATCGAGCGGTCGGCTAGTCACAGCCGGGCAAGTTCATCCTCAAATCTCCGATTATCGGCGGCTTTGGCCCAGCAAACGGACAATCCGACAATTGACATCACCCCGGTGGATGACCCTCCCCTTCTCTCGGGTCTAGATATGCCGCTCCACGCAGATTCTCCATGCTCCAGTTTCGGTCGGTCGCATCTACGATACCAGTCGCCAAATGAGTTCCCCATCCATGGTCCAGACCCTCACCCAGACCACCACGATTTGTTCGGAGATCAGCAAGCAAATACCCGATTCTGGCAGAATGGGCCGTGGGTTGGCGGGGATGGCAACACTCCCAATGACGAGAACCGGCCGTTCTTCGGACCACACATCTTCGGACCGCATGAACGACTCAAACATGACTATGCATCCTCCGACATCTCCCTGGGCAAAGGACCTGGATCCTTGCACTCTGTCGATATGGCAGGGTTTGGCCTCGACTTGAATGATGACCTCGGACTAAGTCCATGAGATGTTGGCCTCGTCATTGCCCTCACCTTTGCTTTTTAAACTCGCGTTTGCCTCGACTGTATTTGCATCTCATGTAACGACTTCACCGGACTGACGAATCTGCATGCATGGGCGTTTTCTTGTTTTTTCCCCCCCCATCCGACCTCGATTGACGATCGTTTCACGGGTCCTGTTTCTTTTACGATTTGGAGTTGGCACTAGCTGGCTGGTCACGACTCAGCGCATTTTCGTTTCCCCCCCCTTTTATTTATCTCCCGAGGTGCGACTTCTCGGAAAAGGCGGTCGACTGACCTACTTGACTACTGTGGTCATATAGACGGAGTTTCAACTTGCACGGTTCCTTTGCGGCCGAAAAATCCTGCCTTTTCCCTTGTCATCTTTCTCGCCCCTTTCAACAACCCAGGGCCTAC